ATGGGCCTATGAGTAAGTTTCAGAAAATATAGGCTACTGCAACGGCTTGCTAAACAAATGTATACTTAGCTTTAAACAGTTAATTACTCTCGCCGTGTCTCCGGCGGTGTCTGGGTGCGGATGGGTGGGTGGGAGACGCTTCTGTCTGTCTTCCTTTCTTTTTTCCAGCAGGGGAAGGCCTATATATTTTGCAGCTCATGTCTGAAAGGCTGGCTCCAAGCACTAGGGGTGGGCTCTTGCTCTCTGATGGTTTTCCAGTGAGTATTTGTCAGGTCAGACTGTGCACCGCCCGGCGGTCTCCGCTCCTCTCCCCGGGTTATTTATTACCTCTCTCCCCCGCCGGCAGCGCTGCGGCTCCGGGGCCGCTGCCAACAACGGCGCAGAGGCGGGGGCCGTGTTTGGTGGGTTCCCGCAGGACGATGGTGAGGAGGAAAAAGCATGGACATGAAACGCACTGTCGGGATGAACAGAATTGCAGACAACCGTCCTTGACAGTTTCAGTAAAATCATTTCCACTTGTGGCAAAGAGGGGAGACATGTTATTTTTCTTTCACTGCTAAATGTGTGTGTATAAGTACAAACTAAAATTATCATAAAAAAAAAAAAGTATTTTTAAACTTTTTTAATATGTGCATTGGTCTACTTGAATGAGGCCTATATTTGGATGTTTGACTCTACATTATGATGGCAATTTTTTCGTTTTTGACAAACATATGCTAATAGTGCTATGTATAGACTATATGTAAAATGCATTGTTTTTCAAAACAGTTATCCACATTATAATTGCAAGCTTGCAGTATCAGAGTACTCCTAAAATGTTAAAAAATTGAATGAATCATTATTTTTATTGACTTCATTATGGCTAGTTTCCAATTTTACAGAGTTTTCAGACATCTAAGAAAGTGTTTGCTCACACTTAAAGTTCTGTCCAAGTTGATGTAAGTTAGAGCATCAGTTCATTCAAAAGTCCTACAAACATAGTCTGGCTAGACAAAAATTTAAAATATCTGATAATTTCAAAGGATCTCCTTATCTGTTTGACCTTCGTGGAATAGATAATGTATTTGTAGAAACACAGTACTACACTATAGTTCTACACTATCATACCTCACTGCTGATTATTATTTAGATGTTGAAATTGAATTTTAATTCTAAACAGAATCCGATTTTTTATTTAAAATGTTTTACATGTGTTTGATTTTGATGGGTAAGGACTATGCTCAGGGTTTTCTTATATTGTGTGAATGATGAGTCTTGTCGTGTTTGTTCTTCAGTTTAGAAAGTTGTGGATTTGTGGTGCTTCTGGTGACTGTGTTGAGAATTTGACTTCATCATAACATAGCACTTGTTAAGAGCTAGCACTCATGTACATTTACAGCCTTGAGAATGAACATTTGGACCTTAACACAAATTACAGGTGTACGGAATCTGTCAACTAAAATTGATAAAGAATTTTATAACTGTATTGAAAAGGCCAAGCGTTGTACAATTACCATGTATGACAATGAATCCAGATGACAGTCCCTCTGCTTCCTCCTCTAATTCTTACTCAGACCACTCAAACATCATAATCAGGGCTGCAGTACCCTGGTTGTCAAACCCATGAGTGACATGATTATGTATGCAATACCCACACAAAACTAAAACTACAACAGATATGTTTTCTAAAGCCTGGTACACACCAAAACACACCACAATTTACATATGAAGACCCTTATTCACCAGCAGCCAGAGTCCCGAGGCTCATAATGTGAAATCTTATAAAATCTTGCGCTGTCAAACGTGACTCCGGAGTAGGAAAAACTGCAGTCAATGGGAGTTGATGGTTGCTAGCTGCTCAGCTCCCTGGTACTTCCCCTGAAGTAGCAATTTCTCTCAACATCCCTGCATGTCAATTTGGTTGCGATGTACCTTGCTGAATACATTGTGTCAACGTGTATTTTCACAATGTTCCAGTGAGTGGTTATTATCCTTGGGAGGGCCAATGCCAATATGATGAAGATGTCAAAATGCAAATAATTGACCTGATTCATGGGTCAATCTCTAGAGTGTTCTCCACTTTAGTTGAAATGCCCTCAGTTTTAAGTGGGTCTGGTCTTGGAAAACGTGATTTGTCAACTTTTCCAGCAGCTGTAAACTGGGTGGCAGTAGAGGTAGAGTGGTCGTCCAATAACCGGAAGATTGGCGGTTCAATTCCCCCTATCCCAAGTCTGTCTGTTGTGTCCTTGGGCAAGACACTTAACCCACCTTGCTCCCAGTGTGTGTCCTCAACTGGTGTATGAATGTGAGTGATATTTGGTGGTGGTCAGAGAGGCCATCGGTGCAAACTGGTAGCCATGTTTCCGTCAGTCTGCTATGGTAGTTTACCACCACCAGGGTGTGACTGTGTGAGTGAATGAATGATGTATCCAAAGTAAGGCGCTTCGAGGGTCTCTGATAAAGTGCTACATGAAATCTGATACCAATAAGATGGATTAAAAAATAAATATGTTAATACCTCTGTAAAAATGCTAAAAACTATTACTTCAAATAAACACACTTATTGGATCAACAGCATTTATGCCTGTGTTTCTAATCAAAATCATTCCAATATGTTTGTAAAAGCATAGTAAAAATTTATGGTCCTGTGCAATGCAAGCAGGAGTAACTGTAAAATGAGAAAACAGGTACCTGTTTACTGTTACATAAGCTTTTGCTGATATTTGGGTTTCCCACTTCATTGTTAATTCACAGGAAGTAAGTGCAGCTTTTCTGTGTAGCTTTTTCTGTTCAGGGACAGACTCACACGCTGTAGTTACAAAAACTGAAAAGGTTAGATGTGGTAGAAAGGTTGAGCAAGGTTTCCCCATCACTTCAAATATTTTTCAACAGAAGACACATGAAGGCTGATGGAAAAATCTACTCAGTCAAACAATTTATGGTGTTATAAAAGCCAAAGAGTTGTTACCAGACAAGTTTGGGGAACCCCTCTGTGATGAGCCACCAAGAATGAGTCACTATGAACCAAGAGTGGGCGCATGAGTGGGCATGGGTGTCCCCTTTATGACTGGTTTCATCAGGGCTCTCCCAACGGTGCAACCCCCGCCATCGGCACACGCATCAACTAGTTTCCATCGAGATATTTGGCTGTGGTACACACGGGTGTGATATGGAAGAAATCAAAGAGGTTTTCATCTGAAATGTTGTGTTCCACTTCCTCGAAACGGTTTGTAAACAGAGACTGTAAATGTCAGCGGCCCAGGATTTATGTCAGTGTTACTGCTCAGTGTAACATGTGGGAAGTGACATTATTGTTCGACTGAAAAACTGCCTTTCGATTTCATTTTCAGACCTGAAAGGTACCTTTTCAGCTGTTCTATGAGAGAGAGTCACTTATACCTATCATGGTCCTTGGTGAACCAGTTGGCATGTGTTGTGTATGAATGTCTACCGTGGGTCTGCCTGCCTGGTCCTGGCTGTAGGCATAATACCAGCTCTGGCCAAGCTGTGGTCTCTGGCCTTCCCGTACACCGCTTCCGCCTGCGGTGTGGCGTGCCTCCTTCCTGTGTGTGTCAGAGGCAGTTTGGCCTGATTTATAGGCCCCCGACACACAGCGTTCAGGACCCCACCTCTGCAGCTGAAATGGCTATCCCATGTGTTGGTGGTGGATCTACCTGGGTGGTTCTCCACTGATGGGGGTCAGATGTGGCCTTGCTCCCAAGCTCCAGGAGCTAAGGGTAACATGGCCAGCAGACAGTGTGGATAGAAAGTGCTTTAAGAAAATATAGATCTTAGCTGAGGACATATTCTCTTTTTTAGAGCAACAAACTGACACAAAAATCTGCACATATGAGATTTTTCTTTTTTAATACACATAGGCATTTTTATGCAAAAGAGTCAAACTCCCATGATTCCCTGCACCTTGTTCATTGGTTTTAGTGGTGGCCAACAGAAGCTGCATGAAGCAAGGTGGGGGAGAGAGAGCGAGACAGTGCTGCTGTTGGTAGAGTATAATTAGATTGTTGAATTTAAACACATGGAGATCATAAAATTGTTGATTTAGACAGATGGGAGAACATAAAATCTCCAGTGTGTGGACCTGCTGCTGATGTCATGGGTAGATCTGGTTGACCTGTGACATCTCTGTCCAAAGATGAAAGTCTGATTTTAAAGTTATAGCTTAAATAATCACCAGGACAAAGTTATTGCTGTTGAACAGATGGTTAGCCTCAAAGGTGGAGGCCCAGATTTGTATTTCAATGCTATTTTGGGAAGAAAAAGTACAGAGGAAGAGACATTTAAAGGTGAAAGTCTCAGTCTGAAGTAACTGTTTCTACATGAAAGTACCACTGTTCTAATGTGCTGTGCATAAACCATGTCACTGAGGACACAGGTGTTGGTATGAAAAGCTTTTGCTCACCCTCTCGTGCTAACTGATGAGGGTTTCTCTATTTGACGCAGCAAAACGCCGTCCCTCGGAGTCCCCCCTCCTGCGGCTCCCGCCGAGCCTCCGCTGTTTAAATGGGCCAAGTTGAGAAGCGGCGGAGAGTGCAAATCTTGTTTGGTCTGGGTCTGTGAACTTCAGCGTGACTCCAGCGACATACACAGGGGTTAAAAACAACTCTTTCCAAAACTTTGTGAATGTTACCCAAATACTATCCAGAAATATCAAGCCGTGGCGCGTTTGGCTGATGCGTCTGATTAACAGCATGTTAAAATGGTTTAAGTAGCAGAAGATTTTAATTTTTTTCAATGTCTGTTGTGGATTTAAAGGTGTATTTCACCAGTTTATGAGCTCCCTCTCATTAAATCAGTGTTTGCTTTTCTGGCAGCCAAATTAGATTTGGATTCTACTAAAGTGAAAATAATTAAAAAAAAACCTCGTGCAACTCACTCCCCAAAAGCAAAGAAACAGGAGACAGACGCGTAGCTGCTTCTGCTAATGAACACAGGAGGTTGCATTATGTCCGGGGCTCAGGGCTGCCCAGCATGTCAGGTATTAAGAGAGCGCGTGTGATTAAATGTGGGAGGTAGGAGCTGCGAGGCTGGCGGAGAGCGCTGCTGCTGCTGCTGCGAACTGGAAACTACTGAATGGGAATCTATCCGGCAACTTCAGCAGCAGACCGCTGTTACACGGCGACACGGGGGATCTGCGTAAAACCAAGCGGCGCGTCTCCAAGTCTGGTTCAGCCCCAATCACAGACGAAGGAGACGCTCAAGTTGGATCGGGCGTACAGCTTCTCACTTGTTACTGGCGCTCGGCTCCCACTACCATGCCTGCCATCAAAAAGGAGAGGCTGGATGGAGACGACATGGCATTGACTGCGTTCAACCAGTCCGAATACCTGGCCCCTTTAAATGCCACCGCCATCCCCGTGGTGACCCCGCATCCGCCGCCCTACGACCACATTTTCGCCCATCACCGCGCGTACTTGGGGCTCCACGAATCGGCGCTGCATCACCAGCACCTCCACCATCACACGGACGACTTAATGCTGGAGAGGTTCTCCTCCATCCCTGACTTTCAGCCTTTCTTCGACAACGGGGAGCCGTGCATCGAGGTGGAGTGCGGGGAAAACAAGGCTTTGCTTTATATCAATAAACTGTGTCAAGGTAGCAAGGGACCCTCAATTAAATACAGGGGCGAGTGGCTCACCCCCAACGAGTTCCAGTTTGTCAGTGGACGAGAGACTGCCAAAGATTGGAAACGGAGTATTAGACACAAAGGTAAGAACAACCTGCTCTGTCCTCGCGGGGACACATCATCATCATCACGAGACAAATACTTTTTAGACGCCGCTCATTCTCGGTACAAACTTAGTGTGGTGGTTCGATGCTGAGTTTTGGAGTGAAAGGGTTACAGCAGTCAGTGCGTAAGGAGACAGATGAGAAAAGGCGCAGATCCTCCACGCACCCACCGAGGCTTTGACACAGAGTTTGGGCTGCGGTCCTACACTGAACCGGGGCATCTGGAGCGGACTGCACCGGAGCTGAGGTGACAAGTTAGACCTGTAGCCGCTTTAATTTGATACCTTGAAAGATATTTATCCCCTTATCATGTGCAATCGATCAGAAAAGCACTTGTGCATGGGTGTTAACACTTTTACGCACCGTGTGTTCGGTTCAGGGTTTTTTAGGGTAGTACTTAATTTTTCTAGTCCAGTGTCACAGCTTGTGTAATATGTGATCAACTTGCAACCAATTAAGAATATATATGTCGAACTCACTATAAATAGTTCAGCATGCGTGCATTTGGTCGCTGCTATGAGACTGTGTTGGCAACCTCGGCAGCATCACTGCTGTTGTTCCATTCCGATATTTTTTACGCCGACATTTATAGAACTGTATTTCTATGCAATAATTAGGCATAGCGCGCACCCCCTCACCACACACATTCACGCACACACGTACACACACACACACACAAGGTTACTCATGCAGAACTGACACGCGTTAAGATGTGTTGGGGGAGAGTGTCGCCCCCGGGTCAAAAATGGAAGCCTAATAGTTTAATACACCGATTCTTATAGACAGATGACAGTAGGCTGCTGTCTCTCATGCTCACCACACTGCATGCTTTGAGCTCGATGTTATTTTGAGAGATATATGAAGTTTGTCTGCAGTGACAGACCCCCTCAGAAAACACAGGGGTTACTTAAATAATCTGTAACAAGATTTGACTTTAAAATCTGGAGATCTGATGTGATGGACAGAAAAGTCAAGAACCCACTCTCAAACAGGTAGCTCACGATAATTTATCTCATGCTGTGTCATGGAGGCAGTGAGGACTCTGACTGCAGACTGTTGTTGGTAGTTTTCACTCAGTGTTTGTCATTTGTTTTTCAGGGAAAAGTCTGAAGACTCTGATGTCCAAAGGAATCTTACAGGTGCACCCTCCAATCTGTGACTGTCCTGGTTGTCGAATCTCATCTCCAGTGGTGAGAATATTTGATCCCCATTACTCTTTGTGTGTGTGTGTATGTGTGTGTGTGTCTGTGTTAGAGATAGGTTTGGCTTGTTTTCGTGGAAAACGTCTTTACAGTATTTAGCTTTAAGGGTTAACAGTGTTGTGTTGATCTCTGTGGTGTTCAGGATTCACCTCATTTGTTTCAATACGTCAAAGAGCAAAATGATACAGACTGAGCTTAATTATAGCAACAAGTATTACAGTAAAAATGCTTTACCCTGTGTTAGTTATTGTTGGTTTATTTTACAGTAAAGTACTGTGAAAGTTTGGATTTTCTGTCAGTCAATTTAAAGATGAATGCCTTTTCTCGCTGTCATGAAGAACGGTCACACACACACATATATATATATTTTTAAAACTTTTATTTTGTCTTTATCTTGTCTTTTGTCTGAAAATTTCCCTTAAATTACTCTTTGTGCTAATTAAAAATGTGTTTAGCTTCTACATGTAGTTTCTCTTCATAGACTGTTTTTGCTCACTTGATAAACTTATGCTTTTGTTGGTTTGTTGAGCAGCTCTTCATGAAAACGTGTGTGTGTGTGAGAGAGAGGGTGTCTACTGGAGCATTGTCTCTCTGTAACCTTGATAGTTGACGACCCCACAGGCACACATGTCATCTTTGATGGTAATTTCTCTCAGCATGAATATCAAATCCACTTTCAGCCTTTCACTGACACAGAGTATCAGGCAGCCTTTTGTTCAGAGGCATTGAGCGGTCCAGTCTGTCTGTTTGACGCTGTGTGTCGTTGCTCTGGCTCCTCTGTCCCATTGAATCAGTTTCCTCACCTGGCTGTTGAACTTTTGTTTGCCTGGTGCTTCCCTCAGGGCTCGGCTGGGGGCATGATGCCAAACCTTCAGGCTGTGCAGGTGTGTCACGATTACAGCATCACCAACTCCTGTATGTGTGTGTCTGTGTGTGTGTGAATGAGTGTCAGCTTTGAGCAAGCACACTGCCGGCTCACCGTCGCCAAATCTGTTCACACAGGTGCGGCGGGTTGTGAGTGTGTGTATGTCGTGTGTGTCTTTGAGTGTGTGTGTGTTTTTATCACCACGAAGCGCATCTGTCGTCGCTCCCCAGCACTAATCTTGAGGGAAGGGTGTAAGAGGCTTAGCGAGCTACTGAGCGTGGCTACTGCTGATTATTGTGTGTGAGGCACGCAAGGCAAAGGCGGTTTAGATAAGCCGGAGGTGTTTGAGTGATACAGGTAAACTGGTGACATTTTTCACAGCCAAGAATGAAGACCTGCACCTTACCACTGAGGGTTCAGCCAAAGCGAATTACCTGAGAAAGGCCAAAGGGAGGGGGAAGAGACAGGAGAAATGCCCAGCTGTAATTTTTTTACTGAAGGATTCAAAGACTCTCAGCGTGTTTGGTTATGTTTAGGCTTATTACAGATATCGCAGTGATTGGCTTTTGGCTTGCCAGGGCCTGTACGGTTCCACATCAATTACATCTGTGACGGAGTACAACTTTGTTATTGACGTAAGCAAGGATATGAGAGCCTTAAGGTTGTTGTTGTAGACTACTCGCCCTCTCTTCCTTTCCTTGTCTGGTGGTGAAGCCTGAAGTCTAACCCAACAAGTGAATACCACCGTGACGCTTTGGCACACACATCCGCACACACACTCACACGCACACAGTCACACACACACACACTCATATACTGAGTAAGTTGGCAGTTCATTGCGAGGCGGTGAGGGTTAGGCGGAGGAGGGAAGGCAGCGGGACTTGTATGGCCTGTACTGGCGTCTCCCTCTCTCCCCACTGACTCCCCTCAGGGCATGGCAGCCTGCACTCCCTCACTGATGAGCTCTCTCTCTCGCTCTCTCTCTTTCTCTCCCTCTCTCTCTAAGGCACACACATACACGCACACAAACTATATGCCTGCCTACTGACACAAATTACCTCATGCAGTCATTTATTTTGAAAGTTTGACGGCTGAACTTTGAGTGATCTTGTTTCGCTATAGGCATGAGGCAAGCGATCATAAAAAAGTGCAGCAGCTGGTGGGAAGACTTTTCACCTGCCTGCTCAGAACTCGTGGAAGTTAATTTGCTGTGTCGGCCTGGGCACAAGCTGTTCATAACAACACGACACAAACTGAACTGCGCCACACTCAACACTTTTGGATTAAATTGTGCAAATGAAGTTGATTATCTGCACTCCTTAATAGAAGGATCATGATTGAGGTGTGTTTGTTAACTAGCTGTCAGAGCTTTTTGTCGAGCTTGTCATCTGATCAGGTGTCAGATGATTTCATACTCTCTCTTGTTTGGAAGGGTGTACCCCTGAAGTGGTTAGTTGCTGCCTCCTCTCTGTGTTTGGAACTGTATGTAATAGTTTCGCATGTATACAGTGTAACACATAGTACTGCATGTTGATCTTTATTCTTAGCTCTGTATGTTTGTGTTCCTGTCTGTGCAAGTGTTTGTTTGTGGCTGCGTCTTTATCCCTGCATTTCTGATTATTTGCACACCCGCTTTTGCTGGCTGACTCGCCTGCTTGCTGTGTGTGCATGTGTGCGTTTGTGCGTGCATGCGTGTGTGTGTGTCTCCTCCTGGGAGAGCAGGGCTTCCTCTGCTCTGTTATTTCAGCGGAACTGGCGGAGGCCGGGAGGAAATTACACTCCCCTCCTCCGGCTCGTAAAGACCTCCTCCAATCAAGGGCTCCTCCAGCAAAGTTGAATTAAATACACACTCATACACTCACACGCACATGCAAACACAGACATGCACACTTTTGCCCATAACTTTAAGTGTATTCTCATTACATTTTCATAATGCCATTTCCAATCGGGTTAATGGGGAAGATAATTAAAATTAAGGCGCACCATATTGAGTGAAATAACAAAAGTTAAGCTGTTATGAGTGAAGTCATATTCATAGATCAGCCACCCACTGTACATGTCTTCTGTCATCTATGTTGTGTTTTGTGTATTTGTGCGTTTTGTGCTCGCAAGTTGCTTAGGCTGTGTTGCTATGGTAACAAGAGAAGCACTCATTGGCCCAGAAGTGTGCAAAATAGTTGTCTTGAGTATATTTGTGTAGTTTTGTGTGCATCCTGCTCTATGCTTCAGTCAACTTATACATAAAGTAAGATCATAACAGTTCACACATTTAAACACAGCAACAGTCCTACACACTCATCTAAAAATGACTTCCATAGGACTTTTTCATTTTCTATTTTTTTTCTCCAAGGAGATTAGTAAGAGACTCGTGATTACGAGAAAGCTGATTTTGTGGGTTTGTATTCTGTGAGGATGTCTTTTAAGGCCTGTACACATTTGAACATAGAATGAATGGATGTAGTCTATGTGTGTTAACAGGCAGCTAAAATAAGTCAGGTCATCTGTCTCTTAGCCAAATGTGGTTTATCATGACAAGCCAACACGGATATTTCTGAGAACCCCCCTCCCAACATCTGTTTGTATCCATGTGTGCACTTCGGTGTGTTTGTGATTGTTATTTGCCACATGATTTCCTCTGATAGTTGTGGGCTCACTATCGCATCAGGCCTTTGCAGATAGCACTTGGACTATCATCCTCCCATCAAAGCACTCAAACCGGCTCCTATATGCTCCACACATACACAAGAGTGCTAGAAAATAAAATTCAACAAAACTCAATTATTTATTTTAAATGCTTTTATTTTGCTACAAAGCCATTATGTATATATCTAAAGGTATGTCAAATGTAGGTCAAGTTTTATTTGGTCTGCATGTGAGTCACATAAGTTTATCGTGGTTGTCCCCCTACAACAAGTGCAGCAGGACTTGAACTCACCTCAACAAAAAGATGTTCAAACTACAGTGAGGTGTAGAGTTAATATTGTATCATTGTACTTTATTAATTGTCCCAAAGTCCTAGTGTATTTAATGATTGTACCTAAAGTACATTTAACCTCACATGAGATTGTTTGGATCACATCTATTCTTGCTGTCACACTCATAAGAGAAAATCACCAGAGTTAACCAACCTATACCAGTATCTACCACTGTGTTGGTGTGTGTGTGGTGGTGGGTGTGGGGGCTTGTTACCTGTGCATAAAGCTCCCCTGCTGCAACCTTGGTGGGCCTATCCAAACAGAGAGAGAGAGAGAGAGAGAGAAAGAGAGAGAAAGAAGAAGTAGAAAAAGGAACTAGAGGGAAAGCAGACTGCGAGAGGTGCACTGGCACGCTTGACTGCACTGCCACTGACCTCCCAGCGCCGCCCCAGCAGCCCCTCCTCCCGCCACCACCACCTCACCGCCTCTTGCCCTCTGTGCACCTCCCCCCCTTCCCCCTACTGCTTCCCCCATCTCCCTCCCCTTGCCCTGTGCCGCTCCACTGGGCTGCAACTGCCCGCTCAACTCAGCGCGTGGGGGCTGAGGGTGCAGGAGAGCATAAGTGTGTGTGTGTATGTGTGTGTCTGTGGGAGGGCGGGGCATGTGTGTGTGGGGGGTACTTGGTCGCATGCCTATCAGCCCTACAGTGCTTTTCTCACTTTTTTTCTCTTTCTCTCACATGGACTTGAACAACCAAGTGTTTCCTAGAGTCTGTAGATGAACCACATACACACAGACGCATATCAGCACAAAGTTCTCAATCTCAGATGAATTTGATTACAGATTTTAAGGTATTTCAGAAGTTGACCGCAATATCAACCTTAAAGGGAATCTCTACAATACCTTAGTCTAATGACTTCCTGTTTCTAAGACTAACCGGAAACTCCATAAGGATGTAGTGAAAATGTAAAGCTAAGTCAATAGTGCAGACTTCGTTGGTCACGCCACACCTGTTGAAAAAGAATAACTGTAATTTATTCTAAAATGCGGCACATAACAGCTTTGAGTGAACAAGGTGCCAGGAAAATGTTTGGAGATACTAAAAGTAGAGATGCTCAGTATTAGATTTTTTGAACAATTATACTGATTACCCCCCCAAAAAAATAGTTCTGACTCTGTTTTTGCTTTATTCCCGGGAGCAAGAGCACTTTTGGGCATGTATTAATGTATTTTTCACGTTTAATTTTTTCATCCAGCCTCTAGGGCGTCTAAACTAAACATTTACTTGACTACCATCGAAGTTTATGGGCCCTTATCATACACCTGTTGCAAACCATTATGGAATGCAGCCTAAGTGCCATTGTTCTTTTCAATCTGTCAATTTTAGGCCCAGCACCTACAGTGTGGTCAGGGTCAAAGGTGGCACTTTACAGTACTTCCCTGGTTAGTAGATGGCGTGTTCATGAGATAGTAAGACGAGCAGGAGTTCACATCAGGTATTCTGTCTGCAAACAGAGACATGCAGCAATGCTCTCTCTCATGATGAAATATCAGCGTTTTTGCTGCTCAACCATAATTGAGTTTCCAATTGGGGAAGAAAAACTGGAGATGAAGTCTTATTTCCCGCATCTCCAAATATTATGATTCTGCTTTTTGGACGAGGCTGATCTAAGAATGCAAAAAGACAAGGACACCATCACCATTATCTCTCCAGGTCAAGATTCTTCTGCGAGTTGATGGCGACTCAGGATGCTGTTCTTAATACATTAGCTAGATTAGGTAGTCCTTTAACTGAAAAAAAAAGGTCTCAGGTATACGTTCTGCAGTTCTCAGATTTGTATTTTTTCAGTAAGTCTTTTAACTTTTTGCCTCCTCAGAATAACTGGTACACGTATGAACTGGGCAGCATGTTAATAAGTAAATGAAGGTAACTTTTGTTTGTTGTTTTTTATTATATGAACTTAAGTGCATATTGGTACGGAAATGGAAAATGCTATCAGACAATTTAAAACTACCCAGTGCTTTTGTGACCTGTGTAGTTTTAAGGGTGTCTACCCGTTTCTTTTTTTTTTCATTGGTTTGATGCAGAACATACAGAAGAGAGGTCACAGAGTACAGTGGATGCAAATTGGCATTTTTATTGACAAAGATTCCATAGTTAAAACTGATATTAAATTGATATTAAAACCTCATCTTGATAAGAGGGTGTCTTCCCTCCATATACGAATCCTAGAGAAACCTAATCCTGGCCATCAAACCCATCATGTTTACTTTCTTATTGGGTTACTGAAATCTGGTTACTGTGAACCATGTCAACATTTGATCAATCTATTACTTAAACCAGATTATTCACAGCACAGGTCACAGGTCATGGCATGGTCAAACTAAGGGAACTATTTGATAAAACTGACAGATGTGTAGATTATCACTGTCAATCAATGCACCTGAGAAAATGCCACGGCAGTCTTTCATGCCACTGAGTCAGAGATATGAAGGTGTATCACAAGAGACGAAGATTTAATGTTTTGTATTTTATGATGAACTGGATCTCAAGCTCACACAAACAGACGGCAGACACGTTGTTTGTTATAGGCTTGTTGCAGAGCTCAGTAATGACCGCTTCAACCCCCTCTTCCACTCCCTTCGCTCGTTTTTTATTCCTCTCCCCTTCTCTGTCGTCCCCTCATTCTCCCTCCCCCTTTCCCCTGGTGCTCGCGCCAAGTCGGCCCGCCATCCCGCCTCCACACATACGCACACACCCATACACACACACACGCTGCGAGGTAACGGCAGACAGGCGCGTGACTCATTAGGCATTCGTCCCCCAGGGAGATCGCTGGGGGGGCGCGTGCGAGGGAGAGAGAGCGCCGCAGCTGCAGGAATGTCACGGGCGGCTACCGCTGCGTGTGCTTGTGTGTCTCGTCTCTGTGTATATGTATGTGTGGGTGTGTGCTCACTAATGCTGTTTGGAGCCAGCGGCAGGGCACTGCACCTTTCAGGAAATAACGCAAGGAGAAAGAAAAAATGCTCTCATTAGTCCTCTTTTCCACCAAGAGCTTATTTAAGAGTCTGAATTTAATTTTTACTGAAAACATTAGACAGCCTGATCATTTATGCGTGGATTCCGTTCCTTTTACTCTTCAGTGATGAACTGTGATATTACCATTGGTCATTTTTCATTCTACAAGAAATTAGTTGCTTTGTTGCGGTTTTTCTGTTTGTTGTCTGATTTGTATTAACCATTCACATATCAGTAGTCTTATTTGTATGCAGGATACGGTCTGTATCGAGAGCAAAAGCGAGCAGAGGGCAATCCATTGTAATCCCATTGGCAGTAATTTGACGATGATTAATTTACCTCATGAGAGAGTAGCTAATAAACTTGAAAGTGTTCTTGAGCATATATTTAAACTTGAGTGTCATATCTGCTTGACGCTATGGGCAAAAGTCAATCAGTGTTGAGTTTTCCAAACATCCTGTAACACATCTGAAATGATTGATCCAGTATGTGCTGAGAAATTTATTTTTACTTTTTATGAATCTGAATGACGTTCTTACTTTAGCTAAACTGTTAATTGCAAGTAGATTATAAGAAAATTATTTTCTTGTTACTTTTCACTGCTGAAAGTAAGCTAGCCTGAAGTCTCTGTGAACTCAGACTATTTCTTCAAGTTATGGTTTTTCTTTTTGGGGGGTATGTATTTTGGTTTTGTGTATTTTGCCTCTATTAGACAGGACAACTGATAAGGCACAGGAAATATAGGGAAATAAGACTGGGGGGACAACATGCTACAAGGGGTTGTGGCTAGGAGTGACCGCTGTGACATGGATTATAGCCTCTGTACATTCGGGGGCATGCTCATATCACTTGGCCAACCAGCACCCTGGTCTGAGGCCTACTTGAACAGATGATCAGACAGTACTCCTGTGGTTGTAATGAACCAAAAATGACCCTTGTTGCATTGCAGATGTCAACACTGTATGGTATGGACAGATTTGGCTGAATGTTTTACTGCTAACCTGTAGCTGCATTGGTGTTACCTGTTTTCCTGAGAGTGGAACAAAGGTAAATTTGGGTATATGATCTTTGACACAAATGGATCACATGACTGAGTCATTCAGTCTGAAGGTCAAGCTTTTTAGTGTAACCCCAGTGATTTATGGAAATATAAATATGAATGATTCTGAATTGTGTGTTATTTTAGGGATATTTTGGGGTTTGTCATGTGCTGGTAACTGTCTTTCTCTTGTGTTATAAGTTTGTCAGCGTGTCCTTATGTCCTTGTGCATTTGGGTCTTTCTCCTGTGTCTAAATGTGAAGCCCAGATCTAATTTTTGGCTGCCTGACTGTCAGACAGAAAGCGTGGGAGGCGATATTCATAGAGGTGCTTTTAACGGGACTTTTATGAGAGACTTTTTTCCATGGCTGAAAGGAGGTTGACCACACACAGTAAGGTTGCCTCAGCTCCGTGCAGACGCGTGTGTGTTTGAGCGTGCGTGTACGAGCACTCAGGCGCCCTTCCTTTGAGCGCTTCTACGTGGGCTGCCAGGGGTGTGTTTTGCTTCGTGTTTTGTTTCGGAGAGCCCTCCCCCGTGCTGCGGAAGTGTTGCCGGAAGCAGTGGGAGCTCACCCCCAGTTCTGCGTCAGTGCCACTAAAGAAAGGATCGGGGCTTTCCGGGAGGAGAGAGAGAGAGGAGGGAGGAAGGGGGGGTTGACGGGGGCTGTCAGCCTGGGTATGTCACGGCCATGTGGGTGGTTGTCTACACGCTCACACACACACACACACACACACATATACACACACAAACGCACACACAGTCACGACTGATTTTCGACCAACTATTTCTGTATTAACTATATTTCTGGAACACTCAGAGTGAAATCCCCTGCTTTTGTGGAAGCCGGGGATTTCAGGTGTGTGCGTGTTCGAGCCTGCGCGTGTGAGGGTGTGTGGGGGGGTATACATGTGTAATACCGTGTTTTCCTCGAAAACATGAGGACAGTTTTTCATAGAAACTGAGGCGGAGTATTTGTACGTAACAGATGTGCGTGTTTGACAGATGTGACTGCAGTAACATCCAGAAAACTGCTGTTCTATTGCTTTAAGAGATTTTTACTCTAGTTTCCGTCTGTAACGAGTAGTTGGAGGCTCAGCAGCAACTTCCTACAGCCTTGTATATAGGAAGCTGAAGTATCGAAAAGTGGTCTACTGTCCTCAAAAGCTGGAGCAGAACTTGGAGAAAGCTCCAACTGTAAAGAAGAAAGGAGGAAAAACCTCTTTTCTGGCATGGCATGATAAAAAAGAGAAAGGAGAGAAATGTGCAGAACTCTGTGGCCTGCTCATCCTGGGGGATGTTTTCATCTTTCTCTGTCTTCCCCCCCTCCCAAACTCTTTTTAATGTCTGCCATTTGAGAGACTCCAGAGGGGCTGCACCTGTTTGCCTCTTGGCTAGGAGCCCCCAAATCCCTCCTCCTGCCCCTGCCTGCCACTCACACTGCCGCGCCTCCTGGGATGGAAGGAGTGAAGGAAGGAGGGAGTGGTGGAGAGCGGGGTTGCGTGTGGTGGAAGGGATAGCTGGAGGGCTTGAAGGCGTCCGGGAGTAACAGCAGAGATGTAGGCAGAGAGAGAGAGAGAGAGAGGGAAGAGAAGGAGGGAGGGAATTCAGTTTTAAATCCAAGTCCACTCCACTCTGGACAGACTTTACTTCTGTGGAGCTTTCTCTCTCTCTCATGTTCTTACTCACCATATTCTCTTTCATTTCTGTTTTTTCTCTCACCTTTCCTCCTCTCTCTCTTGTACTAACCCACATCTGCTCTCCTTCTCTTCCCTTGCAGTAAACTTTTCTCCTCAGCCTACCCTTCCCCTGCTCTTCTCCAGTTTCCTCCCCCAGCTCAACTTCTCCTACTCTCACCATGTCCCTCATCTCCTATCTCAACTTTTCTCTCGTCTTTTTCTCTCCCCCTCCTCCCCTCTCTCTGTGATAGGACTGTGTTAATCTGCACTGACCTCTTCAGGTCACATTAAAGGTCACCCAGCTTCACTTCCTAACACCCCCAGGGCCACGCGCTCCTCTTTAGCCCTCTTTTTTCTCTGCCTATTCCTGGCAGCTTTGCGGAAAAATAAACACTCAGTCATCAACCAACCTTTTGCCACATCAGTTTACCTTTAGATAAGAAAGTTTGATGAAAAGTAAGACTGATCAGATATATGGTATTGGATGGGTTATTTTCCAGTATTACCCCCAGAACTTAATGACAAAGTACACAATAAGAAATCTTTGAGTCTGAGAAATTTTAATAATATCTTAACCACTATACTTTGCTTTAACAGCCATTAGACTATGACTCTAAGACTAGTTACTGTGAGCGTCCAGTTTAGTTTGAGTGTTTCATGTGTCTTTTTGGGTCTTTATGAGATGTCAGGTCTTTACTGAGTCTTGCAATCTAACCCCAAGGTACACGTAACTCAAACTGACTCAAATTTCCTGACTAAATTTAAATTAAATTTGCCATTATCTTTCAATGTGCCCCCTGTTGACTTTATGAAGTTCTTCTATGCCAAGAGCTGCCCCTTGTTGTGGAAACAGATGATGCTGGATTAATTGGGATGACAGATTGCTAAATTTCTACTGCAAAATATAAAGAATTTAAGGCTGAATTTGTTGTGTATGTTTACAATTGAGTGGAAAACTCATTTTACTGCAAATTGAAAATGAGATATGAGCCAAAAGTGACTAAATACATTTAACTTTTCAGCCTGTAAATGTTCTTCCTAAATTTTCTTTCTTGTCCTTGGTGCCTTGTTGTGCAGAACCGTGGGCGCTTGGCTGAGAAACGCACCATCCCCCTGCCTCCCAACCGGGTTCCCAAGAAGGAGCTGGCCTCCATCTTCAGCAGTGACGACAGCGAAGGCAGTGAGCGGGCTAGTGGGGATCATGCCCACATCAAACAGGAGGACGAGTTACATTACAGTATCATGAGAAAAAGGTGAGTGCTCTTTGACTTCTGTGGCTGTGACAAAAATATACTTAAATATTCTGTCCTTTACTGTGTGTGTCTGTTTATTGACAGTGACACACTCTGTCGTGTTTGCGTATGCTTTTATTGTTCCTGAAAATACAAACATGATACGGTGAATCATGATGAGGAAAATGTCATGTTAGTCTCTGAGTCACTTTTGTTCAAAGTATTTCAAAAGATAACTCCTCCGTTTTGTTTGACTTTAAATCCCTGCGCATGTTTCTTGTCAGTTTACCGTTTTCTTTTCAACAACACCTTAGATGGATGCGTAGGATTTTCATCAAAAGTGAATTCAGGATCACCTCTAGGTGTAAAAGGCACATTTCAAGATGAGCAGATGAAGAACAGTGTTTCAGAATGCACTCCCAGCTGTTTCTTTGGGACGTCTTATGGAAGAGTGTGTTCTGAGCTTTGAAAGTGTTAATTGGTTTGTCGGTTTGTTTGTTGCTCCTGCCAAGTCTGACTGTATCTGTCTTGACTTGATGTTGAAAGACTGAGTCACCTGAGTAACCACTGTCTGCTTCATCACAGTGCTGTGCCGTGTCTGGAAACGGTTGGGTCATAAAACAGCTAATATGAAACATAATGCTTCATGTCACGGGACTGAACTACTTTAGTGTTGTTGTAAAGAGTGTTTTAAAATGGTTACAAGTTCTATGTAAAAACAGACATGAAGCAATTGATCGTGAACACTAGCATAAGGATCCGTACTTTTACTTTACAGGGCAGTAAAATACGTTACGTTTTGAGGATTAGTGTTGAGCTAAAACTGAATACCATCACAAGTGATAAGTATTAGCAAAGACATTTTTGGAAACCACAGTGGTTTGGTTGTGGGAAAATACTTATGTGTTCATCATAGACTGTGTATAGAATGGACAGCGTCTGCCTCCTCGCTGGGTGAAACCTCCACGAGAACAGCACCCTCTGGTGACGGGCTGCAGTATAGGTCATAATCCTCTCCTCCTCCAGCAATCCCTATGGAGTAGTGGCCAAACTTTAGAAATTAATTACACAGAATATATTTTTTTCTTCCCCCTGCTTGGGATGTAGACATGTTGTTATTGTAAGACTGGTTTGTGCTCAAGTCCTATTTTTCCGTGCAGCTCCATTTTTAAAAGTTATTAGGGGGTTCATGTTTTCTATGATTGACACTTGATACAGCCTATGGGCGTATGAAGATTGCATAGCTCACTCAGGGGATACACTGTATGAACTGATGTTTGCACAAAAATGGATATTAAAGAGTTTTTTGGGGTTTGGGGCATATTATATCCACATTGTCATGCATTCAAAGGGTTACAGTAAGGTCACTTCGTAAAGATGATCTAAATGGTCTTTTAGGATAGTAATGCCCAGCTGATGAAAGATAACTTTACTTCTGTCCTCATTTACAATCAGTACTCTATGGAACAAACCAAGTGAAATAAGCTTCATGTGGATCCTTGATTAGTTGGTATGTAGAGATGCAGATTTGTTTGATCCAGAAATCTAACAGGCTTTGAAATGTTATAATGCAGAAGCTGTTCATTGATTAACCACAGAAAGTCCCCAGCTGCATTATAAGCAGCTTGTGCAACCTCATTACAGGAGGGGATGTTTTTCATGTCTTGAGACTTGCGTGTGACACGGTGGACAGCACGGCAACTGTGAAGCTTTAAATGGATCCACTAACCTTGTTTAAGAGGGCTTCCCCTCCCCCTGACACTTGTGCCGCTGGCGTGTTAAGATGATAATGAATTTAAAGAACACTTATGACTAATATGTCAGGCTTTTACCCTTTGAAAGGCGACGGACTCGCTGGAGCCGCAGCTCCCGGTCTGTCCCGGGCATCCGTCTCAGGCCTGCTTTATCCCCCAGTGCAGGCCTGGACGAACGGGATAATGGGATGTCCAATCACGGAAATGTGATTTCCATTGACCGCAGCTTCGTAAGTGAGTCGTAGAAGGGTCTTAACAAATTGGATTTGGCCAATGGATGTGAAAAATACGGGGCCTCTGTATACATGTGTGAGTGTATCTGTGCTGTCTCATACACACATCATCGGGCTGGCAGCAGTACCATGTCACACCCACTTGATTGCTGCAACATGCCTACTGCAAATACAATTTAGTCTACCTGGAAACTTTACAGCAGTGTGTGTCTGCTATTTTATTCAAACACATATTTTTCCTAAACATGCAGTAAATAAACTGCAGGTGACATTTCATAAATAGATACCTTCTTTATTTGTTGATCAGTCTAGGCTGACATCGCTCTGTTAGATTATCATTGGTATCTTTACGTCATCTGATGTTCATGATTACACCTTTTAGATTTTTTAAAACTAGATTAATGATCATAGATGTTCAGACAGTCAGTTTTTACTTGGTACTACATTGATCTCCTTCAGCTCCTCTTGTAAGCACCAAAAGTCTATGGAGTGACAGTAGCCAAGCACGTAACAAACCAAACACTGATTATGAGAAAAATGTGTGTGTGGAGGATTTTTGGGGAATCAGGAACAAAGTCTTGTGGGGTTCCTGTTAAACACACACACTGTTTCCTCTGTGGGACAGTATTTCATCGGTATCGGTGCTGCAGATGTTTTTATCTGACTTGGATTGGTTAACACTGATTTATGGATTTCATCTAGAGGTCTAAATATTTGATGGGGGTAACTGAGGATTTTAGTGAGAAGTCTTACTCAAGGGCAAAGCAAACTCTACCTTAGTGCTTGTTGCAGTTGGCCGTAGATAACAAAGCTTTGATTAAAAAGTGCTGACTGAGAGTCTGGGTAATTACTGGGCAACCACCATGGATTTTATAAGTTACACCCGGCGACGTCTGCCTTTTAGCTTGTGGAAAAAAATCACCATAGTCATTATTTACATTAACTATTAAGGCAGTTTCTCAGTCAAAGGATATTTTCTCCTTTGTCATTCACAAATATAAATACTCCTACAACAAAAGACAAAAACCTATGTGAGGTAAGACTCAATAGGTAGAAGACAACTGACCCTCAGATAAACAGAAGGACAAATCACACAAAGCTGTGTGGTTCCATATTAATTGTGCAAATTCAGTCAACAAAGAGGAAAGCTGAGCAGAACAAGCGACAATTTGCCTTTCTAGCTGCTTATCTAATAAGTTTCAGATATGTGTATACATCTTTAGTAGCAGGGTTTACTACAGCATAAGTTCTTGTGTGTGTAATTTTGATGGAGGTCATCAAAGGTAGATACAGTCTCTGTGCCGGTTAGTTCTGGCAGGAGGTTCAGTATTGGTTTACATTTGTTAATAGAGATGAATCCCTAAATCTGTGCCACAGCCAGAAACAGAGGAAGACGCTGACGCTGGATTATTTGCTGTCTGCGTAGTGCATCTGACATTTTGTCCTCTGTCTTTATTGAACAACCGTGTCATTGCCTTATGCCAGTAAGAGGTCATGGACAGTGTGAAATTACGGTAAAACAGCTCTCCCCTAAAGCACTAATTAGTGAGCTTGGAGGTTTTATAGCTTTCTAGAGGAGCTTTCTGCTTCAAAAACTTTTGGCATTGTTTACACCCATTTGCCATAGCAACAGAGTCACAGCAACTTAGTCGTTGAGTGGGTGCTGGCCCTTAGCAAGGCATTTGTTGTTTTCAAATTAGGAAGCGTTTAGTCTATTAACTCTGGGTCATAACACAGGATCTACAAAAAATGACCCATAACTCAGTCTCAGATTTGAAGCTTGATAGGAACATGAACTATGGAGAAACAAACATCTCTGTCGTGTTGGGATGAAGATATCCTGAAGATATCTTTTTCAAATGACTCTGAAAGTTGTTTGAGGATTTCTGTCTGAATTTTGGAATTGAAGCAGCAACAAATTTTGTGCTGTCAGAAAAGGGGACAAAAAATGTGAGACAGAGAAAAAGCTGGTGGTACAACCAGCAGACTGTTCACGAGAGCCTTTTGCAACAAAGCAGACTTACTGTACTTTCTATTTCCCTTGTATTCTTCTTGGCTGGCATATCAACCTCATGTCAGCTTGTACAGCAGAGGAACAACAAGGAGAAGTGAAGCCAGGCTACTTTCACTTATTTATGTATCTATTTCTGTATTTATTCATCAGACCCTGTGGTTGCAGGGTTCCCAGTTTGCCTTGCAATCGGACTGTGAGCAGCATGACAATTGTTTATTGCTGCTCAGGGATCAGACAAAACATAAAAATTGCATGAAACAAATCCACGCTCCTGTATTACTCCAAACGTGTCCTAGATTATGGATATGTCAGATAAATGTTGCTCATTCTTTCCTCGCTCTATGCCTTGCTTTGCAATGGTTGTTAAATGATGCATATTGCCTGGTGGTTTTTGGATGTTGCTGTGGGCCACCTGTGCAGGCTGGAGTGGACTGGTTGTTGCCTTGAGAGCAGAGGAAGGGTGCACAGTTAAACTATGAGCACCAGATGTTACACAGCTCCTGAGACCTGTGCTGGTCGCTCTCTCCTCTCTCTCTTTCTCTCTGCCTCTCCTCCTCCACCTCCACATCCCTGCTGTCTGTCTGTCAGCACTTTCCCAGTGGTGGTGTGAGACATGGCGTCAGGGTGCCTAGGCTGCCAGCTTCTGCCAGCTCACACTGTGACCTCCAGCCCAGCCACCTCAGCTGTGCGTGCCAATGCCACAGCAGGCCACTACTGGGCATTTAGACTGAGTCGCCTCCCTGTGCCAGGAAAGGTTTTCATGTGGTGTGTGGACCATTTTAAATGGTAAAGCTCATTGTAATGCACAACATCTTCGTAAGAGAAAGTGCCCAAATGATGACCAAATTTTACTAGAAATCTAGCCCCTTTTCAGCTCTTTTTTTCTGCTTAGATGTTTGACAAGGAATACTTCAAACTTCAACTACTGTGAAAACCTACAAAACAATCACAACAATGTATTCTGAGTAGTGGGTACAGTAGACAATAGTGACAGACAGCGGAGGAAGACTTTGATATTATCAAAGTCTGCAGCAATAAGAAGAAAAAGTTTTAAGTGATGAGCTTTGGCATCAACAGCTTAGCCAGATTTTTGGACTTTTTTCCTTTCCTGTCAAATATTTCCTGGCTTTAATCAAGAGACTTTCCATCTTTAGACAGTATGTTCACAAACTTTATTCCGTCACTCTAGTTATATAAGATAAAAAGTAGTTTCAATAGACTCATCTTAGTTAGCCTGGTGTCTGGGTCAGTGTGTCTGACCTGTGGACGGGATGAAAGAGTGGTATTGACAAGTTTGGGGATGAGCTGAGGATGAGATGATTGTCTCCAGTGTGCACCTGTGTGATAAGAAGGCAGCTCATGTCCTTCTTATCTATCCGGCGCGACAGCCACAATATAACCCCCCTCCATTTTCTTCAAGGCCTCCGTCTTTCCCACCCAACCTGAGCCTTGGAAGCTCTTTGGGAGCTCCTCAGGGAGTGCTGACTCAGGTGACTGGGTTTTAAAATCCATCCCCACCCCCCCACCCCCTCTTCATCTTCTAGGGCTTGAGTATGACCTTGCCTCCACCCATAGAGAGAGAGAGAGAGGGAGGGGAATAGAGTTGAGGGAGGGTAGAGGTGGGTGGATATGAGGCTAGGCCCTCATTAGCCCAAGACAAGGCGGGACAGCTCAGGAAAAGTGCGCTAATTACCCCACTAACAATGTCCTTGCTGTTCATGGCTTAGAGCGGCCACTTCGCCTCAGGATAATAACCCGATCACCTCTCTGAGAAGTTCAGGATGGTATTATCATGATCACTTTAAATGATGGACAGAGGGTGGTGTTGTAACCTGGCCTGCAGATGGATGGATTCTGCTGCGGTTTCTCACAGTGGAGCTTGTAACAAAGTGTCTGAGTGTTGTGATGGAGTCATTGGATGGCGCAGTGTAAGCACGGGTTAGAAACTTAGAAACCTCTCCTGCATCTCATTTCCTTTTTGGAGAAAACTACTGAGCTCTCTGACACAGATAGCTACTAATTTTAGCAGGTTACTCCCTATAAAAAGAAGTCTATCATTAGTATAAAAAGTTTGCTGTTAGAGTCCAATCAAATGTCTCCTTGCTCAGCGACAGGTCCTGACTGTTTTGTCTGAGACCATTTTCTGAGTCACTGTGACTGAAAGGTGACCGTTGCAGTCAGTACTGCCGGCATTAGGGCCCTCCTCACTCTCCTCCATCTTTTCTGTTAGCGTGTGGAAAACAGCAAGGCGACCGACAGCCTGACATTACAGCAGCAGCCTGTAATCATGGGACTGTAAAAACCCAAATCCAGCAGCCACAAACAGTGTGGCCTCGTCATAGTGGTGGCAGCTAAGAACCATTCACCGCCTCTGTCCCATAAACTGTGCTTGCTGTGTCATACCAGACCCCCTTCATAGATGATTCTGCTTTCAATAAAGTTGCCAGTTAAACCCATAAACAAGATTCCTGCTGACATGAGAGGCTGCTGAGACTGTCAAACTGACATGTCTAAATAAAATATATTTTCAAGCTGATTCTGTATAAAAAGCTACCCAGCTGAGTACTTCTTGTTCTTTTGTTGCTTTTCAACCACGCTCCCATGCAGCGTAGAGTATACCAGTCCTCTACCAATACCTTGACTTTAGGTTTGAAGAATATCCATTCAGCTCCACTCCCACTACACTGTTGGTCCTCGCATCCCCTACACCCATTCTGCTCAGCTGCTTCCCTGCTCTCAAACTCTTAAGCACTGATTTCCCATCATTATGCCGTTTAATGTGATCAGGATGGTAATCAGATTGCAAAACGAAATACCTCAATGACACAGTTGTTTGTGTCCAGTGGCGTGGGGTGGTTAGACAGGCGGTGCTGGAGCATTTAGAAGGACAGAGTGGCTCCAACCAAATCTTGACCTAATCTCTAAAACCCTCCCACTGCATCTCCTTTGGGCGCTGAAAGAAAGGGGAAACTTGAGTAACTGTCGGTGAAGTAACAGCGTGAAAACATTCACATTCATTGTCTGTGACTTCACTTATGAATGTATTTGACTTGCTTAAGCCTTTTTAATTTTGTTTTACACACGTGTTAACAATCTCTTCATGTCATTTCATTGCTGTGGTCCTTTGAAAAAGCTGTTTGGCCGCCAGATTTTGAAATGAGCCTTAATCAGGTTTTAAGCTGCTGAACTACTTATGAGTTGTGAATATGTTCGTTAATACATCTTACCGTGAAAGATGAGCAGGGATGAGACCCAAAAGTGCTGGATGCGGTAGTCTGTCAGAGTGTATTACACACCTCAGAGCGAAGAGCCAACTGACAGGACAGCCACTTGTAGCTGCTGAGTCTGTATGGAGGTATGCAATTTAGAGGGGACAGTGCTTTCTGGATAGAGGATTTGTGTGGTAAGTAGAGTGTGAAATAGTATGAATTCATGCTCTGATGCTTTATCACACACTCGTTTGGATTGCATTGTGGAATTAAGTTTGTTTGGGACTGCTTTTAAATGTGTTTATCCTCTTTCCCTGTGGTTGTGTGTGTGTGTGTGTATGTCTATTTTCTACAGTCGTGACAGTGACCTCTCTACAATCATCTCAAACCTGCACCACACCAGACAGCACGGCATGCCCGAAGGCCAGTCAGCCTCTGACCACAACAGCAGTTCTGGACACACAGGTAGGACCCCAAGTGAAAATGTCAGCTGAAGTGTGTGTGTGTGTGTGTGTGTAGACTGAACAAAATGCTCTATATCGTCTTCTTATCCCTTACATTTTTTGTCGCCCCTACACTTATGATCAATCCCCCTGAACATCGACTCCAACATATGTAAACGTTCCATTATCCATTAAATTTGCTTTAATTTGTGTGATTGGGGGAGTTTAATTTAAGCTTATTACTCATTCCTGGAGGTCTCTCTCAAGTTGATTACTTAATGTTCTTCCCACATTCTCTTCCGCACTCCAGGATTTTGTTAAACCCCCTGTTTTAAATTACCTCTGAATAAATAGCTTTGTTTGCCATTAATCCAGTTTTATTTGAGCTAGCCGTGTGTGTCTGTGTGTGTGTATGTGCGTCTGCTAAGAGCTTTTCTTACAGCTTACAGACAGAGCACAGACAGCGTTTAATCGCAGCTATTTGTCAAGGAGCTTGTATGAGGGTATTGTGCAGCCATCAAAGACATATGGTTGTTTAACAGCCTCTGTGGATATCACTATTTAGCTATCTGCCTACTTAACTCGATGTTTTTGACCTTTTAAATTGCTTTACTCTACATGCACTGGTCACCTAATCACAAACACATTCACACGCTCATGGTGCAGGCTGCTTACCTGCTCATTGGGATCTAACCTCCAATTTAAGGTTCATTATGATTTGTGATTGTAGGCCCTGCAGGAGCTAGAAACTATTCTGACAGTCCTCCGTATAAAAGCGGTTCCTATTGTTGAGGGCAGCTTGAACAAAGATAACCAATCACTATTTTATGTTATTGTAAGGTGACCATACGTCCTCTTTTACCTGGACATGTCCTCGTTTGGGGGGGCTGTCTGGCCTGCCTGGGGGAGTTTATAAAATCCTTCAAATGTCTGGGGTTTTGTATGAAAGCCCGTTTCTGAATATTTATACAGCACTATTACAGACCATATTTGTATGTGACTGATAATTTTGTTGAGGAGAAATGCTTTTGATGAATGAATATACTGTTTAAATATGCAACTCTGTGTAAGTAATTTTCAGTATCTCCAAGAGGCCTGGCGAAGTGTGTTTTGGGGAATTCAGAATATGCGTTTAACTGAGTCAGAAGTGTGTAAAAAACACTCGACCCGACCCATGTAGTGTCCTCTTTTTCAGTATTCAGAATATGGTCACCCTATGTTATTGTATATTGAACATCTTACCTACTGTGTGTCCAGTTTTTCTTTAAAAATGTCAAAATTGTCATAAAGAAATATTCATTTTGAGAATGAAATTGGCTAATTTGAATACTCTATCAGCATAATTACACACAAACACATGAATACACACATGCTCAATTGTTAGTTAAGACCATATCTGTGCTCATACATGTTGCCTAGGGTTTGACCCCATCCCTTCTTATACCATTAGATGGAGGCACAGCAAGTGCTATAATCAGCCCAGACCTAACACCTCCATACCCTCTCTCTATGCGCTCATCCCTCTGTCTGCCGGATTAATTGTCCATACGGTGCCTCTGATATCAGCCAGGGTGGGTGTAAGGTGGTGGGTATTAGACTGCTCAACAGCCAGCCCAGCCAATGTCTTAAACCTTGGTTTGTGACGGATTTCCACCCAATACCAACCCTAATCAGCTGCTTAACTTAGTGGAGAAATCAGGGCCCTGAGTGGTTATCTAAATGGAGAATGACACAAGGGAATAGAGGTGGGTGGGTGGCGGGTGATGGAGGGGGTGAACACTGTGTGGCGTGAACCAGAGGGGGTCCAAAACCCTAAAAATCTGTCCGTTTGACCATTAAAGGGAGATTTAAGAGGCGCTGCCTAAGCAGCTCGCTCCGCGTCTGTAAACAAGTCCAATCCGAGCCACTGGCTCTAATTCTGTCTGCCAGTGAAATTAGACACACACACATTCACAAACACACAATTACACACAAATGACACATAGTTATACAAATGCATGCCCACACAAAATCAACACAGGTTGAAATTTGAGTCCAAATACATAGGTGGGTGTATGAAGTTTTAAAGCAGTGGATTATTTGACTTTGAGATGGATGAGACGGTAAACACAGCTCACTGTCTATGATATTGTGTTGACTCTGTTCTGTCTGTTAGCTCTCCTATTTGACTTATCCTCTAAAAGTGTTTAAAGTCTCTCCGTGAGCTGTGGAAGGGGAGTCTGAAAGTTGGAGGGTAAGGTAGAAGAGAGATTAAGAAAAGAAGAGGGCAAAATATGAGACAGATGCACTGATGGGAGAAACATTTGGACATAGAGAGACAGAGGAAAGAGAGATGAATTAGTGCTGTGGTGGTATCAGGGGAGGGTAGGCGGCAGCTATGGCGGCGGACAGCTCTGTGTGTTTGTGTGTGTGTGTGTTTGTGTGTGTGTGTGTATGTGTGTGTGTGGGTCAGGAGGAAAGAGAAGCAGGCTTGCTGGGTCGTCTCTGTGCCGGAGTGGGCCGTTAATTAAATCTGAGGGACAGACAGGAGGGCTGCCTCCCTCCTTCATAGCTCTCTCACTCCCCAGCCGCTGGCTATTCAGAGGCTCTGCGAGAGGAGGGAGGAGGGGGAGAGGAGAAGGAGGGGGAGAGCAGGGGCGCCGGCGCTGAGAGTCTGGCTGCCTGTGGAGACTGTAAACCGTGGCTCTGCGGTCAGACCGGAGACTCAAACAGGCAGATAAGGTGTTTTTGGACTGCCACACTCTCTCTCTTCTGCTCCCTGCTCTCAGACTCCCAGAGGCAGTTAAAGCCTGTCCGTGTGTGTGTGGTTGGGGGTTGTAACAGTGGTTTGAGACTGGAGCACATTTGTGTGTTTGTGTGTGTGTGGATATCAGCATGTGCACCTTTCGTGTGTGGTTTACTCGGTTCTGGATGTTTGCTTGCATGTGAATCTGGAGCCCAGTCTGTTAGAGCAAGACTTTTTTTCCCCGAAACTGATTATGGGTGAAGATTACTTTTGCAGTATTACCAACATATTATCACATTATTAGCAGAAAACACCACCCCAAAATAGTAAACACTTCATGATTTTTGATTATATTAGTTTGGTTATACAAAAATAAAAAAAAGAGGCATCATTTTCTTTTAAAACATCCCACCGCTAAAGAAGAATATCATTTTTCTGCCATAACAAAAAGGCCTCTCAGGGTTATTCATAAAACACCTTTTCTACTCATAGTCACCCATTGTTGTCTTTCCATGATTGGTTGATATTAAATGAAGATCTACTCTTAAAAAACATAGTGCCAAAGGACAGGTCTGTCTGATGGAAAAGTTAAGCTCTGAAATGATTATTATTTCTATTATTATCATGTGGCTTTTTTTTCATCAGTCACTCATCACAGATGTGATCAGCTGATCACTGTAGGCTGAGGATGATATAAGTGTGTCACATCCAAGAACAATACTTCAACAAATGGGCTTTTTGAAGACAAAGTAAAGCGCTGAAAATCTTCCTATTTACAGCTTTTTATCAACCAAGGATAGTGCTATGGTTGGAGTTTGCTGAAATAAATCAAGTTATGTGGTAAAGCTGAACTTTTTTTGGCTGATTGTCCAGTTCACGCTAGGGTTCTTTGGCCACTTTCATGACAAAGTAGCTGAGCTGACCCAGCACCCCGTGTGGCTAATACATAAGTATCTCATAAAAAATAAATTAATTAAAAAAAAAAACACTCAGGAAAAAAAAATGAATAAAATAAAAAACTCAGATTGACAAGGAAAACATTCATCATTTATGGTTAGAGCTAATGTTATATATTTTTTCATTAAAAGTTAGGAATAAAAAGTCTTTAAAAATAAAGTTCACCCTTTTGCTTTTATCAGTATGCTACACATTCATGTTTTCATGCTGTTCTTTCTTTCTTTTGCCTTATTCTCATTTTACCATTCTTAATTACTCTCTTCCAGTGAAAAGTCATAGAAAATGACAATCAGAGCAGTGGGGTAGCTGGTTGTGTACATGTGCACATGTTGCCAGTGATGCTCCCTCCCCTTAGCGTGAGCAGAAGCGCCTCCATCAGTCGCCATCACCCCCCCACCTCCTCCTCCTTTCCCAGCTGCATCGGCCTGTAAGCCAATCAATGGCAGGGCTTTCAGGGCCGGCGGAGGCCCCGGCACACGGAGGGGGGATCAATAAGTTATTAGCACCATTCTGTCAGCTGTAATGTGGAGATTGATCGGGGGGCTGCGGCTGGCGGCCCACCCCACGTCCCCGCCTGTCACTCCCTCCCTTCTCCTCTCACAGCTTCCCCCTCCCCGGCCTGATAAAGATGACAGATTAACGGAGTAAGAGAGGAATTAAGGAGTCTGGCTGTCTGAGCTGTCACCACGCTCCATGGGATGGAGAGAGGAGAGGAAGAGGACTTAAGTTTGAGGGAGGAGAGGAAATCAGAGAGTAGGGAGAAATAGAGGGATGCTCCCCTGCCTGATGATTTGCCCTGGTGGTGTCACATGAAAGAGAAGTGGTTTAGGTCCTGTTGTTTCATCTTTGTCTATCTGTCCCTCTGTTTTTATCCCTCTTTTCTCTCCACGGGAGGAACATCAGATAAGAGGGAGGTTAACTAGTGAGGGGGGCTAAGGCAGGGGCTAGCATACTCTGTTTAGGTTGACAAAGCAAAGTTATAGCCTGAGACTGTTTGCTGATCAGTTTGGGTAAAAAAGAAAGGGCTTTATTGTCGCAGATTAAGTTTTTAATATCAAATATAGTTCTCTGCCAGGTAACATCACAGCCCTGATCTGGAGTTAAACTCTTAACTCCATTACCCTTAATTCTTCAGCAATATTAACAAGGAGGTGATAGGGAACCTCCCAGGCTAGCAAACTTTAATGTAAGCGGTGTTAGTGGGAGTAAAAGGGTTAGCAATAGGCGCTAGCAGATCTCAGGGCTGGGCATTAAAAGGGAGCGCCGGTGCTCTAAGAAGCCCCATTTAATTGGCTTTAAAAGCTTTCCACCCTCAAATCTCTGGCCCTCGGGCACTGGCTCAGGAGACGTGGTGTCTTGAGTGAGGTCGGCTCAAGAGACGACTCAAGTGTGTATTTGATCATGAGAGGCTCTGGGTGTGGATGTTAGCGTGTATGTGTGTGTGTGTGTGTTTGTAGAGAGAGGGGCTTTAACTAATGGGGGCTCTCTATCTTTGTTGATGTCTCACTAATAGGATAGATGGAGACTTTTTTTTGAGGAGCCAGTGAAAGAAATGTCTTGAACATGATTTAAAAATGAGAGAGAAATCAGAATAATGGAGATGACATCAAAAAATCTTATACAAGACATTCAGCCTACAGTATGTGTGTATTTCTGTGCATGCTCTTGTCCATTAGTGCCCCTCCCCCCTTCTCTTCTTGTCTCTTTGGCTGGTATTGGGAGTGGATCTCCTCAGGACCTAAGAGACAACATCAAACACTGGATCATTAGTGAACCTCCTTCCTCTCCCTCTTTCTCGTATGCTCGACCTCTCATCAACACCAGGGTCTTCTGCTGTAGCCCAACAAAATCCTCAGAGTCCTGTCTAAATCTCCGTCTGTCTCGTTCTCCTCGCTGTCTCTCTGTGTCTTGTAACAAGGAGGAAGGAACATAAGTTTAGGTGATAGGTTAAAGGTTAAAGGTCAGGCTCCACTCCAGTTCTTACTCCTTTTATGATGACTGTCCACTGGTTGCTAAGGTAACAACAATATCCGGAGTGTATACATGACAAAAAATGTTGCTCGCTTGCATACTGCCTTGAAATTACGCCTTTCATTTTTACCTCTGTTCATCATTTCACCACTCTGTTTACACATGCTGCGCAAATGATGAAAAAATTGCTTTGTTGAAAAAGAAAGAAAAAGAGAGAGAGAGAGGAACCATTCTCCTTCAGGGAGGGAAAAACAACACCCCCCATCCCTAAAAATACGCACCGAGAAGTGAGAGAGGCAAAGCAAGAAAAAAAGAGAAAGAAGGGAAGCAGTTGCTGCTGTGGCTTGGCTGTCTGAGTGGAGGAAGAAGCCGAGTTACAGAAAAAGCAGAGGTGCAAGAGATAGAAATAGAGAGAGAAAGAAAGAAAGAGAGTGAGAGCGCAATGACAAACGGCTTTTTCCTTCCTGCCGGCGCTGCGTGCGATGTGCTCTGCATCCCCTCCCTCCCTGATTAGACCCGTATTGATTTGAGGTGTGTTGGGAGGGGGAGGAGGCGAGGGGAATGGGCGGGAAGGAAGAGAGGGATGAGACAGGAGGAGAGGAGGAGGAAGAGGCAGTAGGGGGTGCAGTAATTGTACACTAGATGCTCCTCTTTGGTGGCAGGGGAGGAAGAAGGGGAAGAACAGAGTGGAGGAGGAGGAGGAGGTGGTAGGGGAGGTGTTAATGGAAGGAGAGAGAGAGAGAACTTCTGATGGGGGGGGGGGGGGGTCACAAACACACCTTGAGGAGTGTAAAGGGAAGCAGATGGAGACAGAGATCCGAGGGCAGATATGTGTTTGAGGGGAGGACAGCAAGGAGAGAGGGGGAAGTGGATGCTATGGAGGTAAAAATAAAGACGTGATATAGACATAATGCAGGATGAGAGGAATTTCTCGAGCAGCTGAGAAGTTCTCATGCTCTTTGGTTCACTCAGAGGCTTTTGTTCCAACATCTGGAAAAGAGAGCAAAGAAGAGAGGAGAGGGAGGAAGGACGGTGATAACACTTGAGGACAGACAGTTGGACGGAGAAGAGGTTCAGAAAGAAACAGCTTTCCTCCCTATCGCCAATAGACAAACACACACACACACACACGCGCGCACACACACGCGCACACACACATGTGAATTAGCGGGGCAGATCTATCATTCGGCAGTGCAGACCCTTTTATGTCTGACAGAACAGGCACATCTCCAGACGCCAGTGGCTCGCTTCACTCGCTCTGTTTCCTTCTTCTTCCCACTTTTTTTCTCTTTAGCCTTTTCCCCTTCTCTCTCCCGTCTGAGACTGAATTTCTGAAACAGCCGCTGTGTTTACAGGTAGAAGTGGAGCACACGATATTTGGCTTCTGTTGTGGCCTTCTCTCTGACTACTCTTTCCTTCTTCTTGCGTTTTTACAGATGACCTTCTAGGCAAGAGGAGAAGCTTCTCTCCAAACAGCAGCAGCGAGTGTCCTTCTGATAGCAAGAAGTCACGCAGCGTATCCCCCAAAGGTAAGGCTTCACAGTCTATGTAGTGGTATGTTACAGATATAGCAGGGGAGCATTTTCACAGAAGAAAGGGGTAAAACTATTTGGAAAAAAATGACAGGTTTTTACTGTAAAAGGAAAGGATGAAAGCTGCGGAGAAAAAACAGGGAGGAACATTTAGCTAGCTGTTTAGCTGCTGCTTTTCAGTTTTTGTTAGGGTCAGTGTGAAACACACACAAGCACGCACACAATGTTACATACCTACAGATAGGCAGAGTTTCACTTTTTCACACTGACACTGTGCCATGCCATGCTGAGCCATTTTACTCTCTTGCAAACTTACAGTTGTGTCCAGAAGTCAGTAGGAGACACTGAAGGGTCAATAATCCTGTCTGTGATTGGGTGATCCGACTAGCTCTTTGTAGTCAGACATTTTGCGATAGCCCTTCACCCAAAGTTTGCCATGGCTCTGTCTTTTTGCATTGCTACAGAATTCCACTGCAACACAGGCTCAAAAAGTAAACAAACAGCACCACTGTAGTATACACCGACACAGCACTGTCTATCTTTTTGCCCTTATTTCCTTTACATTGATCCCTGGGCTAATGACGTCACCCCTCATGCCTTTCCCACAGAAACATAACAAACTAAAAGGGTCTTAAACAGAAAAAAAAAATCAAGCTACCAGTCAACACTATATTCACAGTGTAAACGTTACTCATAGTTAATACTATATGATGTATAAGAGTGTTGTAATATCTGAACAGCATATCTTAGAAAAAGGCCCGTGCAGGTAGAGTCAGTACTTAATTGCAGCTGGTTCTTCATCCACATACCTGGTTGATAACTTTCATCTGCTCTAGATAACACAAGAAAAACATTAATAATGGACCTTGAGAAGTCACACCTTAGCAAGACAGTGCGCCTCCCCTGTGCCTCAATCTGGTCACCATCTTCTATTATTCATATCTACTTCATGTGGCGTGAAACTGGGCGCTCGGTGTGGAGCCAGAGCAGCTACTGGGCCCATCCCTCTGGGCTCCCGAGAAAGACTTCCTGACTGATGCATTATACAGCAGGCAAAACCACAAAACCAAGGGCAGCTCACCACATCTCTAAAAACACCTGGACAAAATGCACACGCTACACAGGTACACACTCGAGAAGCACAAGCAAGCTAAGCAACATCCACAGCACATACAAATGTGACACCACTAGCCAATCTGAATCCCAACTTTGATGAATTGTAGCATGAGCCTAGTGCTGACCTTTGCCCTCTTTGTGACCCTTGACCCACAGCAGCCTAGAAAGGAGCCTCTCACTCTGCACTCATCTCTGTCCATTTAAGTCTTACTTAGACTCAACCCGCTTCTGAAAGATGCATGGGCTTTTGTGGCTGTGGGTTTTTGTGAGTGTTTGTGCGTGTGTACGTGTGTCTGTTTATGGATTAGGCTTTGCTGCCTTTTAAGGTAAATTGGGCTGATGTGTTTTTTTTTTGGACTCTGTGTTCTTGTGATGTGTGGTTGGGTTTGCGGCTTTCAAAGCTAACGGCCCATGTATACACCTTGCATGTACTTCTACTGTACTGTATATTTGCATGAGAGAGACAGATAAAGACATTTGTGTGTGTCTGTGTGCCTGACTGTGTGTGCGTGCATATCTTCGTGCGGCCTGCTGTTCTGGGAAGTGCATTTAAGCCATTACTAAACACTACTGATCCAGCGTCTTAACCTTGAGCTCTGTCTACACTAAAACCCTGACTCTGCTCTTTTATGTGTGTTTCTATACGTGTGTGACATCTTGCCTCTGATTCGGGTGGCAGGCACTGACTTTTAACGGCTAATGCAGGTGAAGAAATAGATTGAGAGAGCTAGACATTAAGCATTGCATTTGTCTCGAGCTCGAGAGATTGGATGCTGCTGTGCAAACGATGTCTGTTTTTCTTCTGTTGCATAGTCGGCACCCCCTGCTGTGTTTAGAGAGTGAGAAAACTTTAGACAGGCGCAGACGAGTTGCGTGCGCACACACACACACACACATATATATATATACACTTGAGGACCTTGGGTGGATTAGCTGGAGCTTGGCGGTGGAGACAGAGATGCTTGCTTCCTCCCCCACCAGCACCAGCAGCACCACCTCCGCTCCTCAGCGCCACTCCTGCTCGCCTGCCCGGGGCCAGGCTCAGGTTTCAATGAGAAGGAGGGTGGTAAAAATAACCCCTGCTTTCTTCTGCCTCTCCCTCCCTCCCTCCTCACCCTCTTTCTCTCTCCCTTAGCACCCCAACCACCTTCCCATATCCCCCCCACCGGCCTTACCTTAGATCATGTTACCATTGACAGAGGGAGGGGGGGAGGTCAGAGGGAGAGATTAAGTGTTGGGACTGACAGCTAGATAGATATCATACTGCACATCATCCTCAAAACACTCAATACTGCAAAGACACAGGACAGCACCAATACACGTACAAACACACAGAGAAGCTGGACTCTTAAAACATTGTTTTGGTTTTATGGGTTCAAAATTACATTACTGTAAATCTCAATTATAATCTTTACTCTGTGTTTGGACATCGTGAGGTCATGCGAGGGTCAGTTTCCGATCATCAGCTGCTCTGCTAAAAAAGGTCTCCCCCCCATCAGTTCCTGCCCTTCTTAACAAACCATCAGTGTACAAACATGTTCCCTGTTGACCTGTGCAAAAATAGTTTACAAAATACCTAAAGTCATTAAAGTCTTTCCAACTCTTTCTTACCAAACGCTATGTACTTTGGTTGTACACGTTTGTTATTTGTGAAAAAGATTTTTGAATCTAAAGATAACACCTGTCAATTATCAAAAGCAAAACAAAAAACTCACATAAATGACTTTCAAGTGGACTTGACGAGTGAAGTAAAGAGGAATGTTGTGATCTGGTTCCTTAGCAGCACTGTCCAGAAAAAAAAACCCAGACTAAAGTATTTGATTTAGTTCTTAAAGTATTCCTTTCAGGGAAATTGGTAAAGTACTTTGCAGTGCTAGCTCCACAGCTGTGCTCTGTGGTAGCAATGTCTTAAATTTGATTTGAGATATTGAATTAAGAAATTCAAAAATGGGACCCTATGCTGCTGTTTGAGGTGGCATATTTAATTAGCTGCAAGAATTTGCTGCATTACAGTGAATGGAATAAGCATGAGTATAATCTCAGATAAATCTAACAAAGAAAAAGTTCACTGAGTAATATTAATAGGTAGTTTTACTGTTGCTTGACGATTATTTACTCCTATTTAGTTGGACACTGACGATGACTTTTTGCTTCCTGTTTTCTCTTCAGAGAATTCCCAAAGCCCCGTGGTGGAGGCAGGCAGCAGCCACGGCCTCATGAGCCCAGAAGAGCACTACAGGCGCATGATGTCAGCACTCAGCGAGCAAGGGTCTTATGAGGAGCAGCAACAACGGCTTTACCAGCTGGCAAGCAGTATGGGTCTCCCAGGCCACGGTCAGTCCACAGGCTCTGTATTTGAAGACATACACGTGTGTTTGTGTGTGGTCATGATCAGTCCTCACTGTCAACATACTTACTCTTAAAGATGCACATTACTCTAAGTTTCCCACTTTTCTACATCAATAGCTTAGTGCACGTTTCAATCCGGAATAAGGTTTCCTTTTCTGCCAGTGTGAAACAACTGATGATAGATCAAGAGTAACTTCTCCTCCAGTTTCTTTATTTTGAAGGTACTTTTAAGTAAGTCTGAAGAAACTTTCGATTCACTTTAAACACTAAAGAGTTTCTTTGTGAAGTACTTCACCAGCTCCTGTAGAAAAAATCAGCTCTCCCATCACCTGTCACCATGTCAGTGAGATGCAGAGCTACTTTGTAACCCTGGAGAGTGGTGCGGTGTTCAGGGTGCCATGTTAAGGTGTGCCACACTGCTGCCATTGTAAAACCCAGCCATGGAGACAGCTGACATTTCTATTTGCGGTGCTTGCCCACCCGGTGTCAAAGTGTCACTCAGGGTGATTTCTGACCACCACGGCTCACCGTTGTTAACAACACCCACAAGCCGTCGCATGCATCAACGCCACGATTGATCCGTGAGCTCTCATTGGCTGCCTGCCAGCCCTCTAAATCTCCGAACACCCTGGAAACCACTAGTGTGTCCCAGTTTTTCTCAATTTCTATAGACTCATAAAACTCCCCGCTTTTAGCTTAAGAGAATTGTAGTGTGATAAGCAAAAGAGAAAATGGGAGAAGTTGCATGGCTTAAATTTTATAGGTTGGCTTGATCATCATTTTGCTGTGCCTGCCTTTAAACATTCCTCTTTTTTCTCTCATTTTGTTACATATGTAACATTTAGTCCTTTAAGTCTTTATGAGATCTTTTGCAGTGGCATAAATCCAATCGATGCCTCAGCCAGATTGTAGTTGAGCTCTTTTATTTTATTTGATTAGTAATGATTTTTAATTGCTGGCTGCAAATCTGGGGGCCAAGCCTATAAATGCTTTAATTGCCTTTTCCCTGTGTCTTAGAGAAGTTTGAAGTAAAAGGCAGTGCATTGTGGGGGTTTTATTGCCCAGGGTGAAGTCTGATCATTGGCTTCCTCTCCCAGAAGCCTTGCTAGACTGAGGCACACACTCCAGTGCAATACAGACATACTCTCTCTCCCGTCCTGTAGTTCTACAGTCCAAATAATTTGATTGGTTCACAATAACCATTATTCTGCACATGTGTTTTCTTCTGAGAGAAGAGGAAGTGGAAGGAGTAGAGAGAAACTAGGTGGGACTCATGACGGAGCAACATAACAGAAAGAAATGAGAAAAAAAAAAACATACACCAAAGTCATCAATTTAGTTATGATGGTTCAATCACACCTGAATACAACTTCTATTTACAACACAACTTTTCCTCATAGTGACCCATGTTTACATCCAGTGCTGTGCATGTCGCTCTTAGCGGCCGATGGACCATGAGCCTTAGAGGATTTATAAACACCCCTAAATAGCCAAGACTACAGTTTTGTTAGTGTTCCCCGTACCTCCCTCTGTCCGCTGACTGATCCAAACTTCAGTAGGAAAAATCTAATAAACTCTGAATTCACAGCCACCTTTCTATGTGGCAGTTGGAGCTTGTTAAGAAACAGACACTCTCGGACACTAACAATCAGGTAGGAGGGACAGAGGGACGGCTGTTTTGGTCTGTTGAGAGGCTGATGTGAATTGCTCCTTGATACTGACCTGGTCTCGGGTGGGGCCCCCTCTTTCTGGGCTGCCCCAACTGCCACCACCATCTCTTCAGTACATCTCCATCTCAAGCACCGCTTTTATACCCTCCTCCCCCTCCTCAGCACCTCCTGTTCCATACCCCCACCTCCAACTTTCCCTTTAGCCTTGGTCCCCGCAGAGCATCCTTTCATGTGTTTGAAGTGTCGGGCACAGAAAATTAAAGTGTGTGTGAAAGAGGCAGGGGTGAAGAAAAACTCTACTTCTGTGTGGATGTGTGTACGAATGTGTAGGTGCAAGGTGTTGTTTGAGAGGTTCTCTCTGGACCTGATGGGCAAAGAAAGGGTAGGGAAGCTGAGAGTTGGGGGATGTAGAAATGGCCAGGAGGGCTTTCCCTTCCTCTTCATATGATGAAAGCAGAGTAGGGGGGAGAAGGAGGGAAAAAAAGAGGTGGGGGTAGAGATCCAGATGAAAGTGGAGGGAGGGGCTGATGGCAGGGATATGCCTCTGTTTTGTCTTCTTCACTTTAGTCTAAAATGAAACATAAAGCTGTACACAACATCTCCTCTTCATCATCATTATCTAAGAGTCAAATGATTGGTTAAGGCACAGACAGTCAAAGTCGGCCTGCACAACAAGCTGCCACACATGTACAGCTTACCCAGTCTGTGATTTTGGCTGAATACTGCTTCCTAAAAAGATACTTAATTTTCTGGTGTATGGTGCGCTTTAGAGGATGGATGCTGTCTTTGGTGAACCTGCCAATCCACCAAATCCATCACGAAGCCAGCCAAGCTGTATCAGAGCGGCACTTCTATGCGTTCTTGCACTGAGAAAACCCAGCTTAACCGAGGGGATTTGGGCTCAACTCCAGGAATGATGGCGACAAGAGAAATGGGGTGGTACAATGGAGGGATAAACGGGATGGTCCAGGCAGTAAACTGGGACCTCCCAAAATAACTCATGCAAACCAAGAGATGTGTGTGTGTGTATGTCTGTTTGTGTGTATGTGTCCTCAATTAGGCCTCTAATTTGCAGTTGGAGGGACTCTCCCCTTGTGTGGAGCAGCTGCAACACAAAGAGTTTTTGGAGGGGAAATCCTGCATCTGAGCACCCTACTCTGCACACACACACACACACACACACACACACACACACACACACACACACACACACACACACACACACACACACACTGAAGGGCAGAGCCCCAGGTGACCCTGCTCTTCTCAGTTCACATGAAAGAGAATTGGAGATTGAGTGTGGGGGTTGGGGATATGGACTTAGCAATGGATTGAAGCTTCCAAAATGTACTGGGAACAAAAAAAGAGAAGTATGAAAACTAAATAAATGTCATGTATATATGGTTTTAACTCAACCTGTCAAGATTAGGGTCCATCAAAGTCAAATCTTCTAGTATATGTTAAAATAAAATAAAAACTTTTCAAATGTTCCATCATCTCTGTAAAGTCGTGAAATGTAATTCATCTTTGGTCTGACGGTTGTAGGTGATGGGTTTGGCCCGTAAGCTTGATTTGTCCTGGCCGTGGCCATTGTTAGAGTGTGTTAGAGTCCTGAAAGGACATTCAGAAGCCAGGAAAAACTCTAAGTCTAGTGAAGAAGCTGTTGAAGTGCATTTTAGGAAGTGTAGTTTCCAGTGATTAGTGGGGTTAGACCTTTTAAGGTATTCATCCTAAACGGCCAGGGTACCCTCTTTGTTTGATGTTGTCTCTGCAGAAGAGTGAGGACATCAGGGCCTCTGAATTAAGTCATCCTTTTGAACCTTCTCCAAAACTTTAGAGAAGTCTGAGAGGAAGTCGCTGGACTTTCCCTTTGTGCCGCTCTGTTATTACAAATATTGGATTGCGACCCCATGAAACTCTCAGAGGTCAACTCTTTCACCCCACTACCTCTACGACATATATGCAAGTGCACAACAGACTCTGTGTGTGTATGCTCTAGGGCCCCAGTTCCCCCCAATCCCTCCCTTATCTCTCCCAACCCCTCTCCCTCCCCCCACCCCACCCACACATACACACATGCACACACACACACCCTTGTCTGCCGCCAGCCGAGTCCCCTGCGGCCTGGCGCAGCAAACAGATCGATACACCGGAGCTAGGCCGCATTAATATCTGTCGCTTCACCCCCCACCTCCAAGCCCGGCGCCTACTCAACTGCTTTAGCGCACACGCACACACGCGCACACACACACAATGTAGGAACACACTGTGAGGCACACACATACAAGCACCTAAATCACGCAGACACACACAAACACACGTCACACCCGTACCGGCGGCGGAAATGGCCCCTAGCTCCCGTGGGATCTGTCTAATTAAAAAAGAGGGGGAGGGTGGGAGGGAGGCGAGGGAAGAGCGGAGAGAGAGAGGATAGATAGATCTAGGCTGAGAGAGAGGGAGGAAAGCGCCAGAGAGAGAGAAAGAGAGAGAGAGAGGGGGAGAGGGAGTGCAGGATGGATTTTTCTCTCATTAGAAGCCATGTCTCCTGGTGTGGCCTGGCCTGGCTGATAATGATGAGGCCTCTTCTCCTTCGAGGGTGAGCGAGAACCAGGGTTGCTCGAAGAGAGGGAAAGGGAGGGGATGAGAGGGGAGGAAGGGGAATGAGGCGAGCAGTAGAGGGCAGGAGGTGGAGAGAGAGGGCAAGGAAGAGTTAGAGGGAGAAGGTGATGTGTAGGTGAGGGTAAAAACATTCTGCACCTGAGATGTGAATGAGTGTGTGCTCTCTCCTATAAAAACACAGATCATTGTTGGTTAAGAAAACCACACAGCATCTCTTTTTATCTTCCAGGTGCCACATCCTTCAGATCTAACCAGCTTATAATCGTAGCATGAAAGATGGATTTTGCACCTCTTCAGAAATGCCTGTTGTTGTGATCCTTGCTTATTGTGTGTCTGTCAATGCACACAAGGATAAAACACGGGGATTACAAAATGCATATCACTCATTTATAGTATAAATGTGAATGAATTTGTCAACTCTGCATGAGAATGAAAAACTTTGAAAACTCATTTTGCTGCTTTGAAAACTTGAAATGTTAATGCTCACGGCTAATGTATAACACACTTAACATAAGCCAGCGACTATAAGCTGTGAAAATGTGAAGTCAGTGGTACTCTGTGGAAAAAAAAAAAAAAAAACAAACTATTTAAAGCTGCATTTCTGTTGACACTCGTGAGGATTTTTTAGTTGGTTATAAAACAGACTAGAAGTCATACTCCCAGACTTCTACTAGATATTTCCATATGGCCTACTATAACAAACAAGGCCATCAGCAAGATGATTGATTATTTCTATATAGTCTTAAACTGCTTTTATCACTTCTGTTCTGTTCTGGTGCTAGGCAACATGCAGACTGGAAGTGCCTTTGTTTACAATTTTCATAGCAAAGATTAATAGTGGGATTTCTTTAACTATTGAAAAATCCTATAGGATAATTCTTGTTTTTTGAGAAAACACTGCTGATCAGATAAAAATATGTCTTTTTCATCATTTTTCTTCTACTTTGAATCCCTTGTGATGGTTTTCATGTCAACACACTCTTCTCATTTTTCTTGCCTCTCTTTCCTTTCCCTTCCCCTCTTCTTCAGACATGCTGCGTGCTCGACAGGAAGTGTTGGCTGCAGCAGTGAGGAATCCAGCCACCTTAGAAGCTCATCTGCCCTCCGCGGGTAGCTCCTCTTCATCCAGTCAGAGACGCAAGCAGGGTTTGCCGCAACACCGGGATGCACATTATACTGACAGGTAAGAAACAAGAGCAGACACACAGTCTTCTGCAATTCCAATCTCTGCATCAGCCAAACTAAAGAGCCCATTGTTACAAATAAGACTGTAGCCCAGGATAATACTGATGTTGTTCATCAATAATGAAGCCCAACACTCACATCCATAAAAACAAACACACACATGCAAACTGCATTAACAGTATGTGTGCACATGTAAATGTGGTAATCACACAGGAACAAAAACCAAATCTGCCTGTAGGTGAGAGAGTTGAAGGAGTTAATCACCTGCCAGCTTCCATCACAACACTGCTGTATTTTTCTTTCCATACTTCTACCAGTTCTTGGCTCCCTTTACAAGATCTGATCTCACGTTTGGCATCTATAGTGTGCCGCAGTGCATGTTTGTACATGTGTATGCATGTGCATCTCCACATACATGGCTGAACTGACGATCCAATAACCTCTTGGCTACAACTGTGGAGCTGCACGCCTGCATCCCTGGCTTCTCCTCCCTCCTCTCCCCCCCAGCGCTGGCCCCTGCGCCTCCCAAACAAAGCCGGGGGCAGCGGGAGTGGGCGGGTAATTGCTTGTCGATTATTTATGTGGCGCGGAGAGAGGCGGGGGATCGATAATGGGCCGGCGGTGCGGCAGCAGGGGGGAGGATGTGTGTGTGTGAGTGTGAGTGTGTATGAGGCAGAGAAGAGGGTGGTGGGGATATGAGCAGGAAGCTGAGCGGCCAGGCGCTGTGTGGTGCAGCTCTGGGAGGCTGTGGGGGTGTATTTATTGTGTTTGTGTGTGTGTGTGTGTGCTGTGCTGAGGCGGGGAGGGGGGGTGATTGTACGTGTGCGTGTGTTTGTTTGTTCCATTTTTCAAGCTGGCTGTCTGCGTGTGTGCTCATTTATGTGGATTGAATTTGGGTTTGTTTGTGTGAATATGTCTGATAATTTGTGTGTGTGTGTGTTGTTGTGCATGCATCTGTGTGTGTATGTGTGAGTGCGTGCTTGTGAGAGGCCAGTAGTGCAGCATGAATGTAGTCAGTGAGCCGGGGCTGTTCTCCGACAGCACACAGAGTAATTAGCCACACAGGACTGGGGAGAGTTAACTAGGCCTCATCCTCCCTCCCTCCCTCCCTCCATCCATCTATCTCTCCCTCTATCCTCCTCTGCCTTGTCTTTAACCCTTTTACCCTAAATCTGTTTTTTAATTTGAGAGCATAAAAAGATAAATTAATAGGGAATTATGTTGAGAACCTTTTTTATTACTTAAGCCAGCGCCCAAACAAGAAAATGAGATAGAAACAAAAAACATCCAAATCTAAGATGCACTTAAAGACTAAAAGTATGTCGACACTCTATCCAAGGCTGCTTTCTACTTTGGGCTTGACCCTTTGATACAAGAAAGCTTTACGGTATAGAGGTGAGGTGTTTTTAGACATTATTAAAGTGCTTCCAACTTTGTGGTAACAGTTTAAGGAATAATCCTTGTTCTAGTGCAGTCTAAACTCCCTATCCAGGGTCAGTTATAACATAGAGATCTTTGTTTGGTGACAAAAACTTGACTGCTAAGAGTTCTGAGATTATGCCAGACTCCACAATGTCATTTCTCCTAAGTCTGAAATAATGCTACAGTGTTTTTTATTTTGGCGGTGGAAGAGTGGAGGCAGTTTTATTAAATCTATGTATGTATCTACATGTTTGTGTTATGTCCACATACATTTAGTTTTGGGTAGTATATGCATATCCCCACCAACAAAGTGAACAGAACCAGACAAATAAAGAAAAGGAGAAAATCGTGAGAGCTGAGAGGAGAATAAAGTCAAGAGAAAATTAAAATTGGTATAATTTAGGAGAAAGTGAAAAACACACAGGCTCAGGATGTGCACAAGTGAGTGAAGCCCTTCCACTCTCTCTCTCTCTCTCTGACTCTCTGTGGCTCACCTTTCCATCGACCCCTCATCATTGATTATCTGGGGCCCATTAGGGCCCATTGTTAAAAACAAATCATTAGGGCCGCTCGATGGGCTTAGAGCCTGGCGCTCCATTTGTCTGGCCTTAAATGGCACTAAGCTCACCAAGCATCTGCAAGGCAAATAGGGGGGGACAGGGAAAAGCAAAACGAGGGAAAGAGGAAAAAGTAAAACATGGACGCTTTAAATGAGGATGAAAAGAGGGAGGAAAATAGAAGAGGAGAGGAGATGGAGAAAGGATGGAGTGACTGAGAGGGAGAGATGAACCAAAATAGGGAGTGAGGAGATCGAGAGAGTGTGAGATAAGGAAAGGGAGGAAGAGAGCGAGAGAGAGAGTAAGCGTGGAGGGAGCCTCATCCATTTTAATGAGCTTCCTGTGTAAATGTGTTCCTGCGGAGAAGGAGCCGAGGGCGGCCGCGCGGCGCTCCTAATCCCCCCACGCTCCCGTCATTAAGGGCAGCCCTGTCACACACATACACATCCGTGCGCGCACACACACGCTTAAACCCGGGCCCCGTACACACACACACACACACACACACACACACACACACACACACACACACACACACACACACACACACACACAGCCAAGGCTGCAGCGGGACGGGACCGCTGTCGCCACTCTGACAGGTCGTCACACACCAGTGAATTCCCCAGGAGCCCCTGGCCTTACTGCAGGCAGAGAGAGAGAGAGAGAGAGAGAGAGAGAGAGAGAGAGAGAGAGAGAGAGAGAGAGAGAGAGAGAGAGAGAGAGTTTTGAGATTATGAACCCACCTTGCATTTGCGAATCTGCCTATTTTGAATCTCGTGCAAAAACAAGGTGGATGTTTTGCCTCTTCTTTTTATAGCATGTTAGCGGTTTGCCTACAAAATGCACAGATACAGCAGAGAGAAAACCACACACACACACACACACACACACACACACACACAGCCCCAAAGCACAACGACTAATGTCTGCCACTCCTCCCTTAAAATTGCCTCCTGTAAAAAGGGGGAGAGATGAAGGAAGGGAGTGAAGGGGAGTGTCAGACGCACTCTTTCTCTCCTTCCCTGTCTCTCCCTCTCTCTGCCTCCCTCCTTCCCTCCCTCCCTCCCCGTGATTAGGCCTAATTATGGTGGTGCAGACGCCTGGCAGCCCCAGTCATGCAGCTTTAATTGACCGTTATTCATCTGCGGGCTAACGGTAGGCAAGGGTAGGCGGTGCAATGAGAGGGAAGAAAGAGAGAGACTATCAGAAAGGGGGTGGGGAGAGGGGTGACGAGAGTTTGGCATGCGGGAGCCGTGGCGGGGGCGGTTGGAAGTTTTGCGGGCGCCTTAGCGTAGCCTAGTGGAACTGCGCGTCGCGAGGCTAATTGCTAGCCCCGAGGGATTAGGCCAGGTGATTACACACTGGGCGGTGTAATTACATAAGCAGCGGCTAGCGGGGCCCGGGCTCGCGGCTCCAGGGTCACGCGCCGCAGCCCTCACCCAAGATTAATTGGAGCTGCCACTGGAGTGCGAGGCACCGCCGGAGAGAGCGGTTATACGATTAGCATTAACATTTCAGCGGCGGAGGCGATCGATGAATGGTTTCACCCCCTCTCCAACCACCACCCTCACAGAGCTGACTCAACCCCCCCTTCTCATCCAGAGCTCCTGTACGAGTGCTTTCCGTCTTTGCAGCTTCTCCCTCAACATTTAGTGAGGCAGGAGACTTGCAGGCGCTAGCTAATTTGAACACGTTTGCAAAACAATATTTGCGGTTGCATGCGTCCCAGTGTTGGTTTAGATTTTGTTGTTTTCCTTATCCTGTTTCCCATGTTTGCTTTAGTGCAGCGGCAGTCACACACAGCTGAGCTCTGACTGGTGTGATAGCAGGAGCTCAGGAAAAGGAAGAGAGGAGGTGAGGGTAGGAGGCAGAGAAGTGAGCTCAGGAAAGGCCCTGAAACAGCTGTGCATGAGACACCACGTGGGTGTCCATTTCTCCTTACTGCTTTAATTTTGTATTCATGTAGATGAACACAAAAATGTGAGAAAATAAAGAGAAAGACAGGGAGATGAGATTAGACAATATACTGTATATGAGAGAAACAGGGATAGTAAGTGAGAATTACAAAGAGAAAACTCTAGTGGTAGGAATGAGGCAGAGTGATGAAGAGGACAGAAAAAAAAAACTGAGGCGAATGAGATGTGAAGAAAAGGAAGAGACTGAACAAGACACTATCAGAGGTCAAAGAAAAATAGAAGGACAGAACCAGTGGAAAAAACGGATAAGACAGAACCTGAGACGAAGAGAGAAGGGGGAGAAAGGTGAGAGGCGCCTTTCCCCCTCAAGGAGGACAAAAGACGAAGCCAATAATGGAGAGGCCTTTTCAGAGGCAGAGGTTGCAGGACGCTCCATCTTTTCACTGCTTTCAATGCAACCTGAAGAGGGAGAGGGAGAGAGGGAGGGAAACAGAGAGAGGGGCGTATAAAAAGAGAGAGAAGAGAGGAGGGATGAGTGTTAATTAGAAGGTCCTTCAGCCCGTGGTCCCGGTCAAGACGCAGGGGCCGCCCCAGCTGTCGGAGCATGACACACTGGCATTGTGCATTCAGTCCTCATTATGTGCGTGGACCTCAAGTTGAGTGTGTGTGTGTGTGTGTGTGTGTGTGTGTGTGTGTGTGGGGGGGGGGGGGGGGGAAAGGCTGCAGTCCAGGGTACAGCAATGGCCAGCGGCGCTTGCTGCGGCGTGACAAGACTGATGAGGCACTGGGGCGACACAGGGGCCTCTGGAGCTCCACCGATAAAAATACACGGCATCATTGATGTGGCACTAAACGCGCACACACACATAGAAAGCCTTGAGATGTCTGAGGAGTGCAGGAAAAGAAAGAGCCTAAAAAATTCTTTTTGAACAGATTCATGATTTTTAATCATGGCTCTCAAAGTATGATTTTGTAGAATTGAATTCATTTTTAGAGCATTTGGTGAGATCTAAGTTAATCCTATGTTGTTTGTAAATGTTTGTGTCCATAGGGAACTGTCCCACCCTCCACCTCTACTGTCACCTCCAACCGCTCCTCACATTGCCTTAGGACCCCACCTGCGGCCGCCTTTCCTGAGTATGCCCTCAGCCCTCTGTCAGGCCCCTGGTGAGTCATCAATGATACCTTGGCAAAATGACTGATAATGAAAACAAATCCATGTATCCATGTAAAAATATTATTTTGTTCTGACGTGATTGCAACTTTGAGTAAGAAGTGGAGATTCAAATATTTATCATAAAAACTTAAAAAAAAACCTCTGTCCTTGTGTTTCAGGTTATGGTTTCCTCCAACCAGCTCAAGCTGAGATCTTTGCTCGCCAGCAAGAGATGTCAAGAAAGCAGAACCTGGCCAGGTGTGTGTGTGTGCTGTGTATTCACAGTATGTTGTAGTATAAGAATTGTTCAAGCCTTTGCCCAGCATTGAAACATTAGTAGCATGAGGGCACGCCTTTGAATCAAGTGAGCTTGGACTTCGACTTAAGCCCCGTTCACACATGTACTGCACTCCCAAAGTGTCAGCATATCACCTGTACAACATCTGTTTAATGTCAGAGATCTGAGGTGTGAATGCAGCAGATAAATACATCAGACATTATAATGAGCAGTCGATAACAATGTTTTTGTTGCAAAGCTTTTGACTACTTCATGTATAATTCTCCTGGCTAGAAATATAAAAACTAAACTTTATCACTGGAAATGACACACTACTGGCTTTACCAACAGAGGCTGAGGGGAAAACAAAAACAAAGAAGAGGACAGAAAGCTAATTAGAACTTGTGAATGAACTTGAATAGGATTGTAAACTAGTACACTGTGACAACTGCAGGGTCTCTTTGATATCATGATCAGCCTCATAAGCCCACCCTGTTCAAAGGTGGGGCTTAAAGCCGTGAGGGTCTATGTGTGAACAGCACAGTCAGTTAAAGTTTCCTCTAAAATTTTCCAGTAGTTTTCCAGTGTGAATGCTAGAAAACAGCTTTACAGTATAACTTTGTGTTGAATGGGCGAAAAAGCAGGCCTGGACAATGACAGTGTGGTGGATATTTGTGAAAACAGCATTATATTTTTAATCCACACTCATTTAAGCAGTGTTGTAAATGTGAAATATTTGACTTGTTTATCAAAGAGCCTGTGTGTCCCTCTGTTCAGACTTGAGATGTCAGCAGAGCTTCTGAGACAGAAGGAGTTGGAAAACCTCCACCAGCGACAGCAGCAGCGTCTTCTGGGCTCCGACCCTCTGGGAGCTCTTCCCCCAGGCCTTCCCCACGACCATCCAGCCCTGCGGAGCCTTCACGACATCCCAGAGGGTCATCAGCTTCGTGAAGAACTGGCACGCCGCTCAAATGCGATGCTGGTGCTTCGCCATGGAGCTGCCGCACCCTTTCTAACCCTCAACCAGCAGCAACCAGGAGCGTCGTCTACACCCAAAGACACCCAGGCACAGAGCTCCATGGCTGCTCAAGATGCTGAGTCCAGAAAAGCCCCTCACAGGGGAACTAAAATGCAGCTACATGTGCGGGATCATAGAGGAGGAAAAGAGGACAGAGGAGACAGAGAGATCCAGGATGAGGAGATGAAGGACTCAGACAGTGACCCAGAGCTGTATGAGGAGAGGCAGGAGAGGGTCAGTGCCACATCCAGCAGTAAACCCAGGGACAGAGAGGGGGGTAAGGAGACTGGCAGCAAAGGAGTGTACGATGGTGCCAAGGAGGGTGGAGAGGGCTCAGGAAGGCTTAGTGCCCCCTGTAGCTCAGCAGGCACTGAGTCACCCAGTCACCACCTTTTCACTGCTGGACTGGGCAAAACTGATGTGAAGTACCACCTGCCGCCCGGATTCATGCCACCGCTGCCTGCTCTGCATGCCCAGTCGCTGCCCTTTGGATTTCCCTACGCCAACCCTTACTTCCACACTGGTGAGACACAGACACACACTTGCTCTCTCACATCTACACACACGGCTGTAAGCCGACATGTGAAACCCATTAGCGTCACTCTCTGTGTGCATGTCTCCAGTGTGGAGACCTCTCCCTGTTAGGGGCCCTGCCTCTGACCCCAGTGTGACCCTCACACTCACCACAGAGCAGCGCTGCCACGTGGGCAAGAGGAGGGAGGAGGGGGTTGTTTGTTCACATACGCACACGCAACACACCCACGAATGTAACGACACAGCTGCAATCACACAACTCGTACTTTGAGCAAACAAAGAAAACGTCCATAAAGGAAGTTGAACATTCTCGATGTTGACAGGAGAATATATTCTGGTCGCAAGAAGTCAAACTATTTGATTTGTCCACAAGTTATACGCAGAAGCTTTTTCCTCCAACTTCAATAACCAACCAATATCTTTTTTTTTTTTTAAAGCTTTACACCATTTCCTGTTTTGAACATATTTGGATATTTTTTTTCTGAGATGCAGCTTAGTGTGTGTGTGTGTTTTTCAATTTAATGATTCAGGATATGTAGGTCTTTACAACAAGAGAGAACAGCATGCTCCAGAGTCTAAATAGCAACTTTTTTTTTTACCCAGTGTTTATATTGACACATCATTTTCACCCACTGCTGCTCTCTCAGGCTCTATGGGAGGTCTTTTCATGGATGGGGAGGACTCAGCCACAGCAAACTCTGTGGAGGACATCAGCAAGTGGAGTGTGGAGGACGTGTGTGGCTTCATAAGCAGCCTGGCCGGATGTGCTGAATACACACAGGTGAGGATATGGGAGAGTAAAGAGAGAGAGAGAGAGAGAGGAGGGGATGAGGCCAGGTGCAGGCTGACTACTGACCAAAGAAGAATAGTGTCACAGAAAGAGTACATACTGAATAACTACTGTAGTATTGTCATTGGCCCCCATGTTTTAAGGTAGATGGAGTTAAAACTGGACAGTAGTGTTAAGCTGGAGTGGATGCATGAACGTTCATGTTCACAAGTGCTGCCATATGTGGGATTGGTGTGAATGGCATTTGTATTAGCAGTGCATGTTTTCATCATCTTTAGCCTGAGTGGATGAAGTTTGTATTTGTACTTCAAGCTTTACTCCAACGTGAAGTATCTAGAATAGAAAAAAGTAGTCAAATAAAAGAAAGCAAAAAAGTCTCTTCAAAGTAAAATATGTATTTTTCACCACAATTTCTTAACAATACTGACAATGAGAGTCAGTTACTGCAGTCAATCTGGCTCCCCTTAATGTGGCTGCAGTGTAAGGGATCATGAGGGAGACAAAATCCAATTCTTGTTCCATGCAAAATGGATTAGTAAAGTTCAAGTGAAGCTAATATGAGGCTTAAACTGTCTGAGTCAGCCAAATCGAGTGAGTATATTCTTAAATACTCATTCTTAGTGGCAATTTTCCTCTTATTAGCTTCAGATGAACTTCAGAAATTGTTTTTGCTTTAAAGGAGGCTGTGGAATTTGCACCTCTCATCTTATATTTTGGAGTTAGGCTTGGACTTTACAGCCAGTTTGGACAGGAAGATTCTGGCAACTGATAAGACTCTCAATGCACATATGGTATGAGCAGAATATGCCTCTTTAATGGGTATTAAGGATCTGGAGTAGAGCCACTGTATTGTAGCTTGTGTGAGTGAATGTGTGTATGTGTGTTGGTGTGCCTCTGTGTGTGTATATGTCGGGGCTGTGGCTGAAGCGGCTGTGTCTTCGCCAGGTGTTTCGGGAGCAGGCCATTGATGGAGAGACATTACCGCTGCTCACTGAGGAGCACCTGCTCAACACCATGGGACTAAAGCTGGGGCCTGCACTCAAGATCCGCTCACAGGTACACACCCCACAGACCTGCTTGTGTGTTTGTGTGTGATCGAATGGACTTGCGTGTATTTGGATGAGTGGTTTTTGTTTGTAGGCCTCAGACAAACTGTTAGTATAGCACAACCTAGCATAGCCTAGTTGATTCCTTAAAGTAGCCAGCCCCACAGATGGCAGCCTCTCTTCTCTCTCTGTTTGAAACTCAGTACTCAGCATTAGTTCATCATTCAGTCTTCAGTGAGCTGTGCTGACAGTCACATGATCTCTTCTTGTCTCCTCAGGTGGCGCGACGTGTTGGCAGGCTTTTCTACATGACTGGCTTCCCGCTGGCCTTCCCGTTTCCGCCTTCTGCTGCATTGCGCCCCCCAGAACGGGATAGGGACCCCCTGACTGCACCATCTGACACCCCTTTGCCCCTCTCCCTGTCCCTGCCCCACAGACCCACCTCCACCAGCAGCAGCTCCTCTCCGTACAGTGGGCCCACCCCAGGGTGCTCCTCCCCTAAGCAGGAAAATGGGAATGGCTCCTCAGTGGTGGGAAGATATGAAGCTAAAACGCCTTCATAGACGACATAGGCTGACAGGAGCAAGGAAGACAGACCTGCCTCAAGCCAAGCAGAGTCAAAAAGACTGACTCCCAAGGGCCCTTTTCCAGAATCAGCCCCACTTTGGGATCTTAACACTGAATTAATGGGACAATATTGGCCTGGAAAAATGACAGCTAAAAACTATAGACTGCGTCAAACAAACCAATCAGCATCCGAGTTCCTCTGCAGTGGCTGTAGCCGTGCAGAATCCAAACAAACTGGGCTGGAACGGAGACACGTGGGGAACAGAGAAAGAGGAAAAAGAGACAGCTGGTCACAGACAGCCTGCCAAAAAAAAGGAGCGAAGCCCTGCCACAAATGCGACATTCTTGCAAGTCAGACAGTCAGACGCTAGCGGAAACTCTTCCTTCCTTCCTGGGCTGGAGGAAGCTCTGCTCACTCATTTGCTTTTTCTTGTCTCTCCGACTGCAGAACCCAGGAATTAAAAAAAGACCCTTCCCCCTTTCCTCTCCCTCCAAACAGCATCATGGAAGTTTCTTTTCAGAGGCATTTTCTGAGCACCAGATCAGACCATCTCTCTCTTATCACTGCAACTATGCATTCCACTGTCCTGATACCAAAGATGACCGGATGTGTGGAATCGGACCTGGGTTTCACTATGTGTCTGCTTCTTTTCGCATTAATGGTCTCAGATAAAGACTGGTTCTACAGGGAAATGCTGGGCTAGTGCCTCACATGATAAACTAGGTTTGAGGTGACACATGCAGCGTGTCATTCACTGACTTTTTAAGTGCTGGTGAAACAAAACAGCCTTAATGGCGGCTATGGTGTGTATGGCTTTCGTCATTGTACCCTTGTTAACTACTGTGGGAGGTAGGAAAACCATGCAAGTTGTACAGAATCATGCTTAAGATGAAAATATTCTGAAGGTTACATACGTGGTACTTTTACTTTTTTGTTTGTTGTAGTTGCACGAATAAGGTTTTCTTTACTGAAAATGTGACTTGCTGAACTTTGGTGGTACTTCTGTTTATACTTTTTGGTTCTGCAATTTTTTAAAGTGTAATATTAACACGCTCCAATCTTGAATGCTACTTCGGCATATAAATATGAGGAAAAAATATTTATAGGACTTTTGATGTAGTAGATAAAGCAGATTATATGTATTATAACTAGCCCTTAAAATGGATTCCAAAGATACTTTTACTTTGTTTTTTCTCTTGGTTGCAGGGAAAAAAAGGCACAAAGCTCTTAATGCAATTTTTTTTACTACGCAAGCAATTAATTAAAAATGGTCTCTAGATTTCCCTTCAAAAGTTTCGTCTTCATCCTATTTTTCTATTCACCAAACTGGTGAAATAAATCCTAATGAAATTCCTCTAGTCTTCTCTTTTTTGTGTGTTTCTGTGTAAGACCATGTTTATAGGCCTGTCTCTCTTCCTCCCTCAAAGGTTTGTGGTTCTTCTGTAAAAACGTGCAGAAGGGAGTATAGAGTCTCTGTATGTGTGTGCGGACGGGGAGGTGACCCACGGGGGGCAGAGTTCAGGTCAACACCAGCTGTCAGAGTGTGAGGTTCAGCCGCAGGCCAAGGCCTCCCTTGCCGATGGGGATAAACCTGACCCTCCTCATCCACCCACACACCCACTCAGGCAGAACCAGGAACAGCCCCCACTCACTCTTACCTTCCTCCTTCAAAGAGTTTGTACTGAAGCAATACGTTGCACACACTCTACCGGGAGTTCCCCTTGCTTTAGGCTGGGCCTCTGCACCAAAAGGTTCTGGGTACACTGAAAACAACTAGAGTAAAATGTGATGACTCAAAAGTGATTCTCAATTCTCCATTTTGATATTTAAATCCATGTCAAATACCCCTCTGTCCTGTATCATGCACCAGTGAATGATAGCAGTAACCCGTGACCTCACAAAGACCACTACCACCTGAGGTGTGCTGGTGCATGCTGGGAAGGTGAAGTCAGTCAGGAAAAGAAAAGGGGATAAGTTGCAGTAGGGAACCAAGTGTGTATACCCACACAGAGAAGACGGTGGTCTGGGTGGGGGGTGGGTGAGGAGTTGGCACAGAAACAGACCAGCCTGTGTTGCTGCTCTACCACCTGGGCAGAGAGGCTTGGCACAGCATCAGACACCACCCTGCCAGCCTGGCACGGCACTGCTGCCTCAGGGCTCAACACCCGCCTCTCTGTACCCCTCCTCTTGGCCAGCCTAGCCGGGCTCGCCGAGGCTCATAGCTCTCTCTAAATAGCCCACCCTCACAATGCCTGAGGGTGCCTACAGGTGTGCACATGTACAGAAGACACAAATGACTCGTTTCAGGTGCATCAACATGCACGTACATGCTTCAATTAATTAGGAAAAATAAAAAAATCAAGGAAAAAGTCTGGACTCTCTTACTCATTTTTATACGAGTCAATGCTTCAAATGACGAAAACATGACCATGTTTGGACCGTACAGTTTTAGAAATACAAAATTCAAAAGTTAGAAAAGAAAAGAAAAAGTCCAGGATGATTTTGAAGTACAGAAAAGTGATAAGAGAGTAGTACATCAGAGTCTATAAGGCTGGCTCCAGCGTGTGTATCCGTGAAACCTCAGTCATCATCAGACAGCTCCAGGTCCTCCACCACATCCTCCCCTCCCTCTGCCAGCTTTATGAGAGCAGAGGAGGACAGCGGCCGAGGAGCTTTGGAGGCCTTCTCATCCTCTTCCTCATCTTCATCCTCATCAATCTCGTCATCTGGAACAGAGATAGAAGGAACTTCAACTTTACACTCAGACACAAGAGGACCAGATGAAGCCCTGCTGCCTTAGACGAGGTAATAGCAGAGGAAGAAATTATACAATGAGGTTTTTTCAATTATTCTTTGTGTCTAAAAGACGCTCATCGACAAAGCTTTTGGAAAAACCTTCAGATTAAAACACAAGTCAATCTTCTAGACTTTACCTCTCAAATTTAAAGCATCAGCTGTTGTAAAAGTACAGCTTGAACTTTAGTACAGACTGCAAGAATGATTAATTTGGGTACGCTTCATGTTTGGAAAGATCCTATTTGTTTAACTTCTGTCACAGGATGACCTCACTCAACTTCTTACACAAATGATCTTTATTAGGAAGTCAATGGCGAAAAGTCTATTAATGAGGTTAGATTAGAAACTTAAGTATATGAAAGATGTGATATGTCTTTCATATACAGAATAAATGAATAAAAACAGCAGCTTTGAATGTCGAAATTATGACTGATGAAAACAAGTACCCTTTTTTATCTCCACATTGTACCAACCTGAGTCTCCACCCTCCATCCCCTCATCATCACTCATGTCCAACATATCTTCAAGATCATCTTCATCGTCATCCTCATCAGACTTATGGGCGCCCTTTTTACCTGAGGGGAAACAGAGAACATAACACTGGGTTTAATTTAGTCTAGCAGAGCTTTTTCAGACATTCCTAAGTTTGCGTTGGTGCATCGCTGACGTCTGAGGACTTGGGAGACACCTATATGTGGGCCAGGCATCAGAGGCTGCTGGAAGTGTCTATTTCCTCCAGAGATGGAACTGAGAGTCGATTACAGACGCCGCCGCTGCTGCTGCACAAACACCCATGACAGTTTACTACCGGCAATTTCAGACATCTTATGCTCACGGCCTAAATATAGCAAATGGAGATAACAGGCAGGTTCCACAGCTACCAGGGCTGATGGGAAAGTCTGTGTGTGTGTGTGTGTGTGTGTGTGTGTGTTTGTGTGTGTGTGTTTGTGTGTGCGCAAGGGAGAGAAGTTTGGAGTTTGTCTCAATTTGCGTTGTGCTGCACTTGTGTGTTTGTGAGTTGTTTAGCCAAAGGGACAACTGGGGTCCACAGGCTTTGAAGTTGAGGTATGACGAGACTAGAGGCGTAGAGGAGAGAAGCAAAACACAGCTACTTCCCCTGTCTGCCACAGCGCTAACACACACACACAATAAGTGCACACAGACAGACAGACACGCACACACATATTCAGACTATTAAAAACATAGCGTACTTCCCTTTCTTTCTAAACTTCAGGAGACAAAAATGCTTAAAACAAAATCAAACTCTCTGCAGACCTCAGAGGTTACCCCCGAATGACCTGGAAGACTTATGACCCACACATACTGACACACAACACACACAGACACACGTACATCAATCTAAGTCATCAGCCCCCTCCTCTCGCACTCCCCCTCTTTCCGGGAGTGTGTGAGACCACAAAGAGCTTTGGTGAGCTGCCCAAAAGCTTTTGGCTCTTGGAGACTGGACGAGACGCTGGTGGGTGTGCTCCTGCTTCTGTGCTATCATCAACACATGTGTGTGTGTGTCTTTGTGTGTGCACGTGTTGTGAGGACATGTGCGAGCAGCTGGTTGGAGTCCACAGAGCCAGAGAGAGAGAGAGAGAGAGAGAATGATAGGCTGAAGAAGAAAAAGAGAGAGAGGAAAAAGGGAGCAGAGAGAGGGAGCGGCCACCTCTGGCTGTTCCACCAAGCTGGTTTGAATTAAGATCCCCCGCTGGGATCCAAGCCTGTACTTCCTGTCGGGGGGTTTCAGTTCATGTGTGTGCACGAGGTGTGGGAGGGGTGGATAGAGAGTGAGAGGCGAAGGCCCGTCGCTCGCCGGCAGCTGCCCATCCGTTTGTAGGGACTCTCCCTTCAATGAAGTCCAGATGCAGAAAAAAAAAAATCCCCCTGCCGCCTACTCCTTCCCTCTGTGACCCAGCAGAGGGTTACTTCTACTTGGAGTGTGTCTGAGTGTAAAAGCTGTAAAAGCAAAGGTGCAGCTGTCTGTGACCAGTGGATGACCCCATGAAGACAGGACATGCTAGGGTTAAAGAAAGACAGAACTGACAGTTCCTTCAAACGGTTTACTCGGCCAAAGTTCTCATGAGTTCAATTTTTAAACCACTTGTTGCTCCGAATCAGCAGATGTTCATAAACTTAGATCGCTGTTGTAATTTCTTGATACCTAATCATCTAAAAGAAAGTGTCTGATGCAAATCCACAGAAATAAGACTGAACTGTCATCCCTCCTTCATTTAGCACTAGAGAGAACCATGCAGCAACAAACACAGCCCCCTAGAGGCCAAGGAGCCTTAGCCAACTGATGCACAAGTAAAGCTCCTAAGCCGGGAAATCCTGTAATAAATGTAACGTGATGTGTGTGTGTGTGTGTGTGTGTGTGTGTGTGTGTGTGTGTGTGTGTGTGTGTGTCAGCTTGCCTCTGATTTTAAATCCTCCATCATCTTCATCTGATTCACTGTCGGACTGAAACAGATCCTTGAACTCCTTTTTGTCCTCGACCTTCTTCTCCTGGATCTTCCTGCGTTTGATCTCAGGGAGATCCAGATCCTCCATCTGTACCAAAACACAAAAACACCAGCGTGAGCTCACGGCTCTGCTTTCAGTGAGTCAATGGTGAGGATCAGACAGCCACTGCCGGTAAAAAACTGAAGCATGACTGTTGCGTGATTTATTAAAAAGAGCATTTCTTGTGGGTAATAGTGACATTCACAAAGTAAAAGCCTTAAGTGACTCATGATAAATGAGTGGGGGTGGGGCAGATGTTGGTGGGTCTCTGGGTTGAATAGTTACCCTCTCTTTTCCTGAGATCTCCAGCTGAATCTCCTTCTCCCTCAGCTTCTTCCACTGGCTGAAGTACCTGCTGAGGGGGGTGCCCTCCTCCTGCATCTGCTTCTCCCAGGACGCCTGAAAAAAAGACACAACGACTCAACGTTTAGGAACGGGCGTTTAAAGAAAGTCCCTTGATCAGTTAATCATATAAATTAATGATCAATCATAGATTTAATCGAAAATACGCAAAAAAGGGTGCTTTTCCTCATTAAAATCCTCATTTAATAAAACATTAGATCAATCGAAATTTCGTGATCTACATAATTCTTAATGATCAATTAATTGATCATCGATTTATTGCGCCCATTCCTAATGGAGAGCTGCAGCATACTGCTACACGTGGTTTATTCTGTTTGTAAATCAAATTTAAATTTGTCTCTGTAATTTATGAGCTAATTTTATATTGTGTTAAAATGGAAGGTGAAAACAAGCAGAATTAGAGAGTTTGTTTTATTTCAGAATCTTTAAGGAGAAGGTCCTTCTGGCGTTTGGACCCTCTTTCTTCATCTGACTTTCTATAGAAACTTTACATAAATGGACCAGGAGAAAGAGATGGACAGGTGAGACAGTGATGAGAGTCAGACGATGCAGAAAACGGATTGGCGATGCCTGAAAGAGGAGACCGGCAGATCTTTTCCAGCCCCTAAAGGTCTTTGTGGATGATATTGATTAAGCCAAATCACATTACCTGACCAACAAATTCAATAGAGGGAACGGATCACGGCCTTCTGCGCCCGTTAGCTTAACACATTTACAACAATTTGCTGTGCAGCTATTAAGATGGGTGACATGCATGTGCAGGAAAAAAAAAAAAAGACACTGAAGCGGAGAAGCCATTTCTGAATTGGCTCAGATAAAAACTGCAAAATATTTGTTGAGCTAGCAAAAAGGAAAAAAAACATCAGTGTGACCCAGACCAACACAGGGCATCACTAATTAGCCTTGCTCTCAGTTAGGGTGACATGACAGTCGGGAGCTGGGGTGCTGGAGGGGGGCCATGGCCTTTTCCACAGCAGCAGCAGGACCGTCCTGTCTCCTTTGCCTGCTGTGGCAGCTCCACCACTGCCACCATGCCAGGGAGGACAACCTCCACTGAGCACAGAGGAGCAGCAACTTGATCTCACACACACGCACACACGCACGCACGCACGCACGCACGCACGCACGCACGCACGCACGCACGCACGCACGCACGCACGCACGCACACGTTTTCTCATGGGCTGAATTTTATAAAGACAGCCCTCTTAAATTGAATACATATTAACACTAAATGTGAAGATCCTCTGCAGCTGCAAAGTTGTGTACAAATGTGTGTATGTGTGTGTGTAAAGGTAGCATATAGAGAGCAGAAAACACATTATAAGCTGCTCATTATAAGGCTGAGGTGCCTCCGGCTCAAAAGCCCATTAGAGCTTCCAATAACCACAGGGTCATCAGTGTTCCCACACAGGGAACTATTTAAATAATCTATACCACAGAATGTTACAATGCATGACACAAGTTTACTCAGGGCCGCGCAAAACCCTTTTATCATCTTTTTTCTGGACCAATATAAGTCAGAACTTCCTGAAGTTGAGGTAAAAAAGTAGTTAAAAAATTCTAATTTGTTATGTTATTACATTAATAACAGTATGATCATGAGCACACTTGTTCTCGACTTGTTCAGCCAATCAGTGAGACAGAGCGGGCCTCTTGGTTTTAGGGGGAGTGGCTTTCATATTTTTGAGTGGAAATGTTTGTCTTCATCTTACAGACGCGTACTGCATTCACCAAAAAAAAAAAGTTCTGTTTTTCAGAGTAATTGTTTTTCCTATTCTCTGGGATCATGATCATTTAACACTTTCATCAGACGCAATCTTCCCCATCTGCTTGATTTATTAGAAGCAAACATGGCTCACTTGTTCAGTTTAATCAAGTTTGACTTTCTTTTGGGTTTGAGACACAGAGATTCTCCTTTCTTTAAGTCAGATAGATGGAATCGTCACAAGTTTGTCTACTTTGTGCAGGCACCTCAGGATTGCATACCCTATGTTTAACTAATAACATGCTTTATTGTCATTGACCCTGTTGACAATGTTATCTAGAGGCTGGAGAATTTGCTTATTTGGTGCAGCCATGGTGGTTAACGTTATCTGATTGTATGAATTGAATACAATTTTGCCCGAAAAACAGAAAGAGGGAAAAAATATTAGTACAAAAAACAGAATTAAAAAAAATAGTCCGAAAACCAGAAAAAATAAAAAAATAAATAGTCAGAAAAACAACAAAAGTAAAAAAATTACTCAAAAAAATAGTTGTTTTTTTTTAAGTGAATGCAATATGCTTCCGTATCATCTTGCCAGTATGATTCTTTTTTTCCTCAAAGTTGCTAACTGTATCTTTAAGAATTACAGCTTTATTTGATTCAATTAGTCAACAATCATCAACGATTGATACAACCAATCACATCAACCCAGCAGCCAGTTTAAGGGGCTTATAACAACCTATTAAAAAAAAAAAACTTAGGAGCCAAAATGAAGAGAAACACAGCGGCGTGGAGAGGTAGAATAAGGACTCTGGAAAGGCAGCCTGTAAAATCAGGAGAAGACAGTCTTCCACTGACCTCACTCCTGCTGTCTCCCACACACACTCACCACAGCAGCGGCATCGGCTACTCCGAAGGCGGCCTTCTGTCTCCGTCCTGTGATGTAGCTGCTGTTTTCCTGTACCTTCTCCAGCAGCTGGCGCACCGGCTTGCTGTAATTGGCCACTTTGCATTCCTTTAGGAATGCTTTCAGCTGCAGGGACATGAGGGGGAGTTTGAGAAGAGAGAAATTAGCGTATAGGTTCATGCAGTGCATTCATACAGCACATTCAGGCAGAGCAGAGGAGAGATGGAGCAGAGGAGGTTTGGACAGTTACCCTCATAGCCTGGCAGATCCTAAACCAGACACCAGCAACTAGCACAACAATATATGAACTGTCTTTTATTTATTATTTATTTTTCTTAAAAACGCCCCTATGACAGTCTGACACAAACATTCATGCCATGGAGCATGGAGCAGGGCTGCACTGTGGACAATGGACAGCACCAGGTGCTGAAATAAAACTTCACAGCAGCAAAACTTATCACCAGAATCACCTCCTCTATAGCCTTTTGCAAAAGAAAGTGTGAGACTGTTTGTTTCTTTTTAAAACCTGTTTCATACAATTTAATCACTATCACTGAATATGAGACAACAAGCATGTTTGTTTGCTGTCAGTGCTCTGATGTAGTGCTGTCCTGTCTCTGTTTGGAGTGGAAAAGCCTCTTTGAAGGAGCTACGCTTCATCTCATGGTGTCATGTAATATTATACTCCTTGCATACAGCTGCTACACTCCCTAGCTTTACATGAAGAAGTAAAAGGTAAGATAAACACACCTGTTTGTTCATTCATATATGTTTGAATTATTGTCACTGTCAGCTGCCCGCCTCCAGAGCTTCAGAGTTTTTGACAGCGACTTTTTTTTTTCTTTTGCTGGATTATATGTTCAACTCAAGTCACTGTGCACATGATTTAATGGCATGAACATCAATACTGGTACGAACAAGTGAGAAGGAGCAGACGCCCATTTAAAGCCATAATTCTGAGAGTAAACGTTTGTCTAACAGTTTAGAGAATAAGTTGTGTTGAGAGTCATTCACTCTTAAAACAGAAACAATACACAAACTCTTATTTACAAATATTAAATACTCCATGATGGGAAGCTGTTGACCTAGCAGTTAAAGTGTGCGTAACGCACAAAAGCCTTTTCTGACCAGAGGCAAAAATGTTTTAACAAAATGTATATATTTTTATCACTTCATAAATCTTAGGACAATAATTCATTTTTTTATGCAAACCATGTGGTAATAATTAATTCATGCAGTGCAAAAGTCAGGCACACATGTGGCTTTTTGTCTCTGACTGTCCTCCAAAATCAAAAGAGCAATATGTAAAATATCCACTAAACTACACCATCAGACCACTTCATTAGGTACACCTATCTGATTGCTTGTTAACGTGAATAGCTAATCAGCCAATTACAATGCAGCAACTCAATGCATTTAGGCATGTAGACATGGTCAAGTCGTCTTGTGTAAGGTTGAACCAAGCATCAGAGTGGGGAAGAAAAGGGATTTAAGGGACTTTGAGGTTACAGTTTACAGTGGCTCGCCAAAACTGGACAATAGAAGATTGGAAAAACATCTCGTGGTCTAAATACTCTGGATTTCGGCTGCAACATTCAGACGGTAGGTCAGAATTTTGCATAAACAATATAACAGCTGACAAATCTACAGCACTTGTGTGATACTCTCATGTTAATGTCTCCAACACTTTGTCGAAAGTGCTGCAAGGTGTACCTAATAAAGTGGCCAGTGAGTGTACCTCATCAGACATTAAGAAACATGCTGTGTTGAAAAACTGGCTTCTTTGGCAGCAGCCAGTTTTTTCCTCCTCAAAAGTTTTAATATTGATGCAGAATGGCCTGTTTTTGTTTTGGTTGGCAGTTTCAAGGTACCCCCTGAAGGCGCTTCAAGGCGCTTTATCAGTTTGCCAGATCTGAGACCAGTTCCAAACTTGTTCTGATTTACCGGTAACTAATTTTACTCAACCTGAAAAGCCTCAGCATTTTCATAAAAATCTTGTTAATGCTTGGATAAATACTGGAGATGCTTTTGACAAAAGATGAGAGGTTAGAGCACAAAAAGCGACGACTAGTTTCCCCTGACTCTGTAAGCAGGCAGCTAACAGGTTAGTAAAAATGTAATCATTTCTAATCAATATGGCTGCTAGTCAGGATGGGCAGCATTTCAACGCAGGCAGTGACATTATTTAGCAAATACAGACTGTCAGTTATCTACTGTTAACTCTAAGTGTCCAAATTACATAATGCTTCTTTAACCACAGGCTTGTCAAGTTGAATGAGCATTTACCAAAGAACTCTCTATTACAGTCTGTTGACAAATCCATTTAAATCTTTTTCATCACCCAATTTCAATCATTCTTCAGAGTTAATATCCTGCATCTTATTTTAAATATCTAATCTCTATAATTCATAAACAGATACAATCATTTCATTTTGATGCCTTCAGGGTCAGTTTAAGGGTCACCTGGATTATGGTGGGCAGGGCAAGCTCCGGAAAGCCAATTGAGTTGGCCTGAGTGTGGAAGTATTCCAGTATCAGGTCATACAGCTGGTCGATCAATCCGTCCTTAAAAAAAGCAGAGCAAAAGGATCCATCAGATCAAACATTTATGCAGATCATGTGGAAAACACTTTTAACTACAAACAGTGAAAAATCTAAACAAATATGCGTTTGTTAAAGTCTGATGATGTACCAGCTTATTATTAGTATGATTAGATGTTAATGATATCAACAAAAACTGTTGATTTGGCAAGCACAGGTCTCAGTTTTTCAAACTGGGTTGCTCAAGTAAACCCAAAATAAAAACAAACAAGTACTGAGATCAAACAGTGAAAGTAGGAGTACATCATTTCAAACTATTCAAGAGGCCCTCTGGCAATTTTTGGAAAATATCACCCCAACAACAACCACTATTACCAGACCTTTCACTTGGCAAGTTCATTTCAGAGGTGTTTTTGCCATAACCGGTTATTTATTTGATACACAAATAATATTATTATCATTAGTTATTTATTAGTCACATAATTAAAAACAAGTATGCCGTAATAAGTTTGAAAAGCTGCAAGTTCTTTTCCCTGCTCCTCTGCTGTCCGCACGTTGAAGCCTCTGGGGTTCACAAATGCTTACGCTGAAACACTACAACCACTACAACCACAACACTCAGCTACTCTACTGAAACTGGGTTTTCAGAATCCAGACTTTTGGACAGGGATACTAATGGGAGGCTTGTTTTAGATTTGTTTTGAAAGGATCACAAGAGGCTTGAAACGTATTTCTCCACAGAACATGATGTGGTCTACACAGGCTTGTTCAGTTACTCCTTTTACTCTTTGTAGCAGGCACTCACAGATTACCACAGGTGACCACTGTTTGAGCTTAAAAGTGATCATAGGTTAAAAGAAAGGGACTCAAACTGAGCATATTTTATTGAGACTTGTTAAGAGAGTAAATGTAATTAAACCGATCCTTCTGTAACCTACATGACAGAACTATCATGGTGTATGCGATGTGCTTCCTGTTTTCAAGTCCAGGCAGGAACCTTGGATTTGAATGACCTCAGATCTGTGAGTCTTTTGATTTATAAAATTCGTGACAACTCAATTTTGTCATTTTGCACATTGTTTAAGATATTATTGTGGACAATATACATTGCACACCTCTGGTCTGCAAACACTGCAGGCAGCCTCATCAGTGTGGCTGCTGTTGAATAGTGTTTGCATCCCCTTATATGTCCATCATAGACTGTATATAGAATGGAGAGCATCTGCCTCCTCGATGGGTGAAGCCACTCCGAGAACATCACCCTCTGGTGACGGGCTGCAGTATAGGTCATAAATCCCGCCTCCGCTAGCAAAGCTTACGGAGTTGTGGACAAATTTTAGAAATTTATTACACAGAACATAATTTTTTAACCCCCTGCTTGTGATGTTGACATGTAGTTACTGTAAGACTGGTCTGTGTTCAAGTCCTCTTTTTTTGTGTACAGCTCCATTTTTAAAACTTATAAGGGGTTCATGTTTTCTATGATTGACACTTGATACAGCCTATGGGTGTACGAAGGTTGAGTAGCTCACTCAGAAGAATTCGCTGTTTGAGCCGAGCGTCATCACAGCGACTCCCGGCAACTCTCCCGCCAAATGCCTGCAACGCTACTGCACAAGTGGTGTTTTCAGGAAATGGAGAAAAAACGTGGAATTACCGAAAGCTTTTTGGCTTCAAATCCATATACTGGTGGAAGGCGGAAATAGTAAATACAGTCTATGATGTCCATCCAACCAGCAGAGCTCAGGTGCTGTAGACTTGAGGAACAGGTACTAACCCCTGGTTTCACTTTCTGTCATCAAAGTAAAACCTACCTTCCATAGGGCTTAAACACATTTTAACTAAGCCTGTCTCGATAACATATTGTATGCTTAATGTTCTATTCACCTTGTATTTCATTGGGGAAATGCAAATAACATTAGTAATGGCTTGTAACAGTAGCACCCTTAAAACAGCTAACTAAACCAGACTGAGTACTGCACCTCTCAGTCTGAGTCGTGATGAGCTGGAGCCGTAAAACAATTGAGCTTGATTGATTCAACAAGTGGGATTATGTTAACAGGAGCCTGAAGAGAAGCACCGACTTAATCAGCTTGTGAACAACATTTGTAATGAACAAATGTAATGTGCCTATAAGATATGTCACATTTTTTCACACTTTTCTCTTGCTCCCTCTGCACACTTACATAGAGTGCCTGCGTCTACATACAGCAAACTTAGTACAGTGTTTAATGAGAAATAGTCGTGTATTTGAAGGACAGACTCTCTGTTGCATCGTTGGTATGTGAGCAGGCTGTGCAATGCCAGTGAATCAAGTTCTCATTTTTTAATGTGTTTGTTTCCGTCGATGGCTCTTTGGCCAGTAACCAAGTCTTTTAACAGACAAACATACAGACATATGCTTCAGGAGGGTTTTTTTGGGAGGTGATGAAAAAGTGGGTTTGAAGCCCTGTGCCTTTGCTACAACTCTTATGCACCCTGCTATAAATATTTGCCTGGATTCCCAGACTCAGCGTCATTTTCTCTAAATGATAAAACATTTTTCCCATCCTAAATGACAGCACATCAAATCTGAAACGGCTACAGGCTGTTGTAAATTCTGCTCTGATGTACATAATAATGCTGTTTAATAGTGCCTCTGACATAAATATCAGTCGTGTTCTTCAATTTATGACATAACCTAATCTATTTTTCTATTTCATGGATGGGTAATTAAAAATTCATTTAAAGCATGTCATGGGCTGAGAGGACGAACCAACCTGCAGCCGCTTTCCTGCATGTCACATCCCACTTTCTCTCCCAGGTCTATCGAATATCTTATCCTTTCTGAATAAAGGCATAAAAAGCTCTGATTTATAACATACAGTAATAAGTGACACATCAGTAGGAGACACTTTGTTGGCTCACTTTGTGTCACAGAGTTAAATAATTATCCAGATTTAGACAGATCAGCGCTTGTTCAGTCAGGTCTAGTAGAGGCAGAGGTTTGCACCAGCTACCTAGGTGATAGAAGTTAAAACAGCCCTTGCGAGCGGCGTGTGAAGGATAATCCCACCGGGCCGTGCTGCAATCCTCTTTGCTGCAGTGCTGAGCGTGGCGACTGAGGACCAGTTTTAGAGTCCTGAGCCCTTAGTGTTGCCCTCAATCCCCTTATGTACACACGCAGGCCAACGGGGTGTCGGAGAGCAGCGCGAAAATAACATTAAGTAAGACTAGGAGCACTCATCTGATCAGCTGCTGCTTCTTCTTCTCAGTGAGAGGCCGGAGCACAAAGGAAGCATCGCACTGAATCCTCTTCTTTAACTGCGTGGAAAACGATCTATCCTTGCACGTGTCTTTATAGACGGTGGATCAGAGCAACACTCACCTTGTAGGCTTTCTCCATTAGGTTGACCTTGCTCAGCTTCAAGATGACTGCAAAGTTGATGGGTTTCTTACTCATTCGCCCTGGTTTCTTGTTGAAATCCACCTGTTGAAAGATCTAAAAAGGGAAGATAGACGTTATTCTCAGTTCAACCTGGACCAAACTGCTCAGATATGACTCAACTTAAAGTAAAGTTTACTATCTCTGGAATAATATTTTCAGTATTGATTCTGGCTATCATGTCCAGAGCAAATCTACCCCCCCCCCCCAAAAAAAGGCATAATCTGTGTTTTTTCTCCTTCTGGTTTATCTTGATTAGCATTGATTCTGTCACTCTTTCAGTTTGCACTCTAAAATAAAGACGCTTTAAAAACAGCAGTCTTTCGGATGCCTCTGATATCACACATCACACACTGAGAATCCATCAGATACTCTAGTATACATGAGAGACAAACTGAGATGCATAACAAGCAAAAAGTGAAAAGGGGAAGGAAGATAGGAAGATTAAATTAGGAAGGTGTGAAGTGGAGGGAGGATGGGGTAAAGGAGTTTTAAAGCAACTCAGACTTTTTTTTCATCTGGTTATTTTTATTCTTTTTTTTTTTTCCATTTATCTTCATTGGTATGAAAAACCAAACATCTCACCTCAATTACAATTAAAACACAATTATTAATTCCTGTGTTTTTGTTTTTTGTCATCAGCGTTCATGATGAGGTTTGAACTGTAAATGCGCTCAACTATTAATTATTAATTATTAACTATTAACGCTGAGAGAACCTTATAGAAGTAGAAAACCTGATCTTTTTTAAAAAAAATCAAAGTTATGGACACAGGCAAGTTTACACCAGGTTCTGGATGTTGGTTTTGTATAATTTTTTGCTTGAGTGGGATTGTATCCTTGAAGTATTCCTAATAGTTCTGAGCATTTCTCTGCTGTTTATTTTACATACTGCAGTGCAGCTGAGATGACACGCTTCTATCTTCATCTGTGAAGGTACAGTCAAGCCGATGTGTGGGCTATTTGTCTACAAGCTTTAGCTTTCACATCTGCCCACTAGTGTGCAAGTGAATTTCTGCCTTGTATTTCTGTATCAAGTTATTTCTGACTCCTCATATCTTTGTGTATTTCTGTGCACGCGTGTGTGTATGCGAGTGTGTGTGTGTGGTCGTTTATGCGCTCACTGTGCGAAGCAGAGCAACGCTCCTGGCCGGTGCTGTCTGTACAAACATAGGATGTGGTGGCGGTCTGCGGGGGAGCCAGGGGGAAGTGGGAAGGCATGGGCCAACCCTGATGCATGCACATATACACACACACACACATTCAAACACATGCACATACACACACTGCCTCTAAAGCAGGAAGCACCAAATCATACACCCCCCTTGGAGATGCGAGAACACACACACAGGCACAAACACACAGGAGGAAGGGGCTGCTTCTGCTGCTCTAATTAAAACAGTAGCAGGGTACATCAGACCGCCTTTAACAGTGCTTTAACAAGGGAGCAGTAAGGAGGAAAAAAACACAGGAAATACTGTGCGTCACAAATAAACACACTTTGCTGTCAGGGGTTGGGGGAAATAGCTCTGAGTGTGTGTGCAGGGGAAAAAGAGGTAGGGAGTGGGCCCGAGGCAGAGAGGATGTGGGCTGCACAGCGTGTTAGGACCAGAGTGTAAACCACAACCATGCTTTTATCACTTCGGCCAAACTGCTGCATGCATGCACACTTACAAATAAACACACAAGAGTTGTGCAGTTGTCCCAGTGGGCGGAGCTAGTTTCTGTCGCCAGCACACCGTTCTACCCCAATAAACCGCAACCACCACCCCCCGCCATACACACACGCACAGTGTGCATAAACACATGTACACACTTGCGTGAGACACGCTGCACAACCACATGCTTAACACCTGATGCAGAGAAAGTGTTGTCAGTTGGTGACCTGTGATTGGTCTGATAACAAAGGTGTTTCTCTCCATCACACACACACACACACACACACACACACACACGCACAGCCCTACCCCTCAATGTGTTTCCTCCAGAGCTCTTTAGTTGTGGCTGTTGAGACCAAAGCTTTTCATACCCCACTGATTTTTTCCACTGAAAACCACTGACGGAATATTTCATCATATCTGCCTTTCAGTGTTTCCATTTTTGACATAAGAAACAAACAGACTGTTGTCTCTTTGACTTTATTTATAACTGCAGTTTAACCTCAAAGAACCAGTGGGTTTTCAAGTGTTCAAACTTCTGTTCACAAATGCATTTTTCCACAGGTGCATGAGAAGACCGAGAGGCTTACCTCCAAGAGGAAAGGTACAACAGGGACAAATGTGTTGGTGCTGCTGGACAGCAGGGTGAGGGCTCTGCAACAATGCATCCTCAGAGGGTAATATCTGGATGTAGGCACGAGTCTGCTCAGAAAGACAAAACTGTGGTCAGTGTCTCCACCTGCTGTCAGAAAGTGTATACTGACACAAAGTTTCACATAAATGCTCATTTCATTCAGTGTGTAAAACAAACACTAACGCTGTGACTACAAAAATAACTTACTGTAATATTTTCTTTGAACACTACATACCCGGATTCACTCCTTTTTAATCTGTATTTTCAAACTTAATCCTAACCTACAGTAAGCCCCTCAGTGATTCCTCAGGTCTGATGGTCATTTTCTGTGAGCAACTTAAGGTTTCAGGAATCAAGAATTAGACTTTGTCAAACATAAGTGTTAAAATATGATTTTGGCACATGTCCTGCACAGCTTTCTAAGATTTGTGCCAAAAATAATCACAAAGACAACTAAGAGTACAGTCTTTCTCTTGTTTAAAAATAATAATCTCCCTAAAATCTTGCAAATTAGTTTTCTGCATTAACAAATTTCATCAAATAATCTATAATACATGTAAAACCCTTCTATCAGAATCAGCTTCAAACAGTAACAGTCTGCTTTACCTTCATCTCACCATCCACAGTGGGATTATTTACTTGGCAGTAAGACTGAAACTGCTTGAAGAATTCAAACTGCATGCACATAGACTTACTTGATGGTTCCTAGTATGACCTGGCAGAGGGGATAGATCAGAGGTTGGAGTACATCACTGGGGTACAAGGTGCTGAGGACCCGACACCACAGGTATAGACAGTGTATGTACTGCCAGTTATACACTGACTGGTAGGTTTCCTATTGGACACACACACACAGTGTTTTTATTATTCTTATGTATGATCAGAAAAAGAAGTGTAAACCTCCATAAATGGCTGAACTTCAGACACTCTGCTTAGGGAAACCACAATTAAACAAAAAGACTGACATTTCCTGCTGGTGTGCTGAAAAAACAAACGCAAAGCGAGTAACGTAGATGATTAACCATTTGAATCCAGGAGTAAAAACATAGCCAGGAGTGCTCAGAATAATCCTCTAACCAATCATCTGTTCGACACAGAAGAAAAATGCCCAATATCGAGCTACCTATCATCCATGAACGCATATTAATCATGACCTTATGTCTTTGTAAAACCCAAGAGTAATATATCTTCCTCATCACATTAACAATGATACAAACTGACCTTTTTCTTCATGGTCATGGCGTTCCTGAGGTGGATGGCAAGCTGTCGGATGTAGATGAAGGCATGTTGGTATGTCACTTGTGTGTCCAGGGAGTACATCTCTGTTAGAGTACGCTGCATGAAGTTGATCATGGGGAGCACATTTGGGGATGTGAATTTACAGTTCTGTACGTATGCAATGTACATTTGCTGAAAAGGAAGGGAAAAAAAACATGAATAGACAAACATACAGTGCTTGTAATCGCTCGAGTGTGAAATCATCAATTGATAAAACAAAAATGCACAAAGAAAACAATCTTTGTGATATGATCTGTCAGGAAAACATACTTAGCAGATAGCAGCCCATCTGCAATCCAAGTTTGCCATTTTCCTGTCTACTCACGTCTCACACTACATCAAGCTCACCTTCAGGATAGGATTAAGATATTTGTCCTGCTTGTGCCTGCAGAGTTTGTTGAGGGCCAAGAAAGCAAGAACACGACTCGTCTCCTCTCCTGTGCTCCATTGTTTCAACAGTTGCTGTGCAAAAAAAAGACAGTAAACAACTTTTAAGAACACAAAACTGATCTACTATCACTATTCTCTTTTGACTTCTATATCAGATTCCATTCTATTTAGATGTCTTACCTTAACCAGGTGACGACATTGTTTAGGTAGGCAAAGGTAATAAGGTACAAGCTGGTTTGCATGTCTCAGGACTGCACTGATGACTGTGGACTCTGTCAGACAGGATAATAGCTACAAGAGGAGTTAAAACAAAACACATGTCAGAGAAAACCCCAGATCAACAGTCAGACAGGACACAGAAGAATGAAAGACTATATCATAGCATATACAGCCTATGACTCCAATTATCTATGAAGATACAACACAGACATATTGTTACTCTTTACATTCTTGTCACTCTTACAAAGGCAGAGAGACAAGAAAAGTAACAACAAAATAATAATAATAAAAACAAAATAATAATAATAATAAATGGAGGACAGCGAATCAAACCTGAACTATTCCGCTGAGATACATTTTGATGTCAAGCTGATTTTTCTGCCACCTTGGACTGGATGATGGAAGGACTAGCCTGAAAGTAAAACAGAGTAAAGAAAGTGGTAACACGTGAACCGTTTCTCCACAGATTCATTTAAACTGTCCACAGGTGGTGGGATCAGCATTTGAAAATCAGTTCATACTTTTTATGGTCTTTGTCTGCCTTCAGGTGTAGCATCTTCTGTAGGGCTGAGTGAATATCTTTGATGCAGAACAGGACCAAGGCATTGAACACTGCAGACAGTCAAGAGAAAGAGACAATTTGACATAATCGAAAAATATAAAATGAAGTACGTTGTACCAGTGTAAGTTTTAGTAGCAGTTTCATTAGTCAATACATTTCGACACAAATAGTTCCCTGTGTTTAATTTAAATGTAAAGATAATGTGTTGAGGTCATGGAGCTCCAATAAATATCTTTTTGTTTCAGCCTCTGTTTCTGCTGTTTTGTATAAGTATTGCTAAGGTAAACTTTTACCTCTGTAAGCAACCAGTGCATTAAAATGGACAGTGCTCTGAGATCAGCAACACAATGTTCATTTCAAAATGCTCCTTTTCCTCCCAATATTTCTGAAGAACTGTTTTGAAAGGGGACACTTTCTTTCAAGTCATCAACCACGAATGATATCTTCTTTTGTGACACAGCCTCTGTTTTTGATTATTCATATTTAATTAGTATTGACTGAATTGTGTCTATTGTACCCGTTTTTAGAGGCTGCTTGTATTGTGAAAACATTTCACAGAATTTTTAAATGGTGTAGCTTGACTTTTGCCAATAAAATGCTTTTTTTCTCAAGGTGAAACGGGTGCCGAATTTGTTTTATTACTGTTGAAAATGTTCAAAATTGTGTAAACAATGGAGTAGAAGAGCAACTTTTTGGATGATGTCTTTTTTTAACCGCTGATGACAAAACTGAAAGAAGTATATGAAGTTCATGTTCTTCAGTCTGAGGACACGCAACAGCACTTAATATCAATCCTGAATCCTACCTGAACTGTCGGCCACTTTGTATCGACACTGGCCACTCCCTTCACCCTTGGTTGTGGCCACAGCGGCTTTAAAAGCTTGAGTGACTTCCCTAAAGAGACGGGGTGAAGGTTCTTTCTTCATTGCTGCTTTCCAGTCTTCAACCATTTTGTCAGTGACTTTGATAGCCTCAACTGCCTTCTTGGATTTCTTCGTAGCTTCTTGGTCACCCTCATCCTCATCATCATCAGAGCTGGCGTCCTACACACAAAACACGCCAAAATGAAAGTCAGTGTTTTCACAAGCAAAGTCATCAGACAGTACAAACTCTAAACTCAACTCAACTCCACTTTATTTATATAGCACTTTACACACAACAGAGTTGATCCAAAGTGCTTTACAACAACACAGAGAAAAACCAAAACAAAAGAAGAGAACAAACAGAAGAAGAAGCAGAGCAGACTGAGTGATAGTAATAATAATAATAATAATAATAACGATAGCAGATAAAAATATATTTTCAATACCATCACTATCATCATCATTCATAATAGTAATAATAAATAACAACAATAATTATAATAACAATAGCAGCAGCAGCAATAATAATAACAATGATAAAGACAACACAGATCTAACGATGTACAGAGCTCACAGAGCCTACATGGGAAATGGTTGAGCTATAAAGTTAGTGACAGTCAAAAGCTAGGGAGCAAAAGTGGGTTTTAAGTTGAGTCTTAAAAATCTCAATGGCGGGGGAGAATCTGATGGAGGGAGGAGGAGAATTCCACAGTTTTGGGGCAGTGATAGAGAAAGCCCTGTCCCCATAATACTTAGTCCTGGATCGTGGGACTGACAGAAGTCTTTGGTCAGAAGATCTTAGTTCTCTCATTGTGTGATATGGTGACAAGAGTTCTGTGACGTAAGAGGGGGCAAGACCATGCAACACTTTGTAGACAAACATCAGGATTTTAAACTCGATCCTGTAGCTAACAGGCAGCCAGTGAAGGGAGGCAAGAATGGGAGTAATGTGTTCCCTCTTCTTAGTTCTGGTTAAAACTCTGGCTGCTGCATTTTGAATTAGTTGGAGACAAGATAAACAAGACAGAGTGATACCAAAATATAATGCATTACAATATAGTCAAGGCGGGAGGATATGAAGGCATCAATGACTTTCTCAAGTAGAAAGAAATGATCCGATTTTTGAGACGATGCGGAGCTGCATGAAGCCTGATTTTACGACCTGATTTATTTGTTTGTCAAACTTTAATCCTGAGTCAAAGATGACACCAAGATTTTTAACATGTGATTTGACAGAGGGGGCCAAAGGGCCAAGAAGAGGGGCGATAATGTTGGTCAAATGCTGTGGTCCAAATAGAATAACTTCGGTTTTGTTTTCATTGAGCTGGAGAAAGTTTGCAGCCATCCAGGATTTGATTTCATGAAGACAGTTATTAAGGTCACTTAGTTTGTTGTAGTTATTAGGCTCAAGGGGGAGGTAGATCTGTGCAGATCCATTAGCAGCTGGTTTACCTCCAGTTTGGATGGCAATTTGTGGTACTTTTCTTCATCCTCATCCTCAGAGCTGTCTGTGTCATCAAAGTTCAGTAGAGTTTGGTCATTCTCCTGCAGGAACTTGTAGAACTCAGGATCTTTGTTCTTTAATCGAGACAGCTGCTCCTTATGCTCAGAAGCCTTGCCTGTCTTCGTTTCATCACTGTACATAGAAAATAAATGGGAATAAAATTATTTGAGCATCACCTCTGTCCAAACAAACTATTGTCATATTTTTTATTATAGTTAATAACTTTACCACATAATAAAACATACACTGTAGATGAATCAGACTTCTCATCCTTTTTCTTCTTATTGACTCCATTTTGTTTGGGAGTCTCTTCGTCAGATTCAGCTGCAGAGTCAAAACCTGAGAGCAGGAATTCATCCACACTGAGGTCCTCCAATTTCCTACAAATCAGTCAAAAAATTGTAAAGATGAAATAAAAACAAAATGTAAAATAGAAAAAAAATTGGCATAGGTTATACACACAACACTATAAAAACAGGCAATGTGCAAACATCAGACAATAACAGAGAGAGAAACACATTTGAAAACTTAAAACACAAAAGCATGGACATTATTTTACCAACAAGTCTATAATACGACTATTATAGCAGCCTTAATGACAGCTGGTCAGTTAACTAACAAATTGCAGATGTCTTCTTTCAGGTTTGAGGATTATTCATTTACAAAAGAAGAACAAATTAACCAGGTAACCAGCTTTAATAGACAGCTAGCATTAGCATGGATGGCTAAAACACTGTCAAACAGCGTGTTTACTTCAGTTAAAAACAGTTTTCTAAACTCACAAATACACTGACTGTGTAGTAACACATTACTGCACAGAGACAGGACATATGTATGCGTAAATACTTGCGATATGAGGCACAAATTAAAGGAAAAGGCCACTTACCTCTTCTGTTTGCCTGCCATGCTGGATGAAAAACGTGATAGCGTTTAACCCCAATACCCACAATGCCTCGGTGCAAAACCAAGGAGTTGGTTTTGTGTTTCACGGGTGCTCCACCATACGGTAATTGTGTTTGTAAATGTAGTACATAAAGAAAGCTTGTAGTTTTATCTAGTATTTATTGTGAATTATATGTTGCATATAATTGACAAAAATACCGCACGTGTCGACATAATGTATGCCAAACTAACACATAATATATTTAATGAAAAAAAATCATTCGGCGAGCACGACAACCTCGAAATTTCACTGTCAGAGCTGTTCGTACGAGAACAAGCAGTGTTTTGATGCTACACGTGAGGTTTAATTAAATGATCAGCTGCATCCACGAGACACAAGGCATTCAAATATCGTTAAAGGACAGGATTTCTAATTTTCAGGTTTTTTTGACGTGACGTTATTTAGCCACAAAGCTGGGCAAGCTATCAAACAGGAAGAAATCATTGCTGTCCTACCGACACCGACGACGGCTTGTTGTAAGTACTGGTTTAATGCCTTTGCGGCTCAGCGGGCAGAGCTAAGGTTAACTAATCTGGATTCATGCTTATAAAACATCGTATCTGGATTTGAACAACGATGAATGGGGATTTAATTCTGACAGATGATTAAAGGACAGCGGCGCTGCTCCCACCAAAACAAGGTCAGGGTGGATTTATATTGTACTTTGGGACTCTGATTTGTTTGATACTCTTATGCGGGTAAACTAAAGCAAAGACGGATCAGAACCTAACCAATCACAATGCTTCTCGTCTAAGCCACGCCTTTCTCGCAGGCTTCGATTATTTTATCGAACACACTTCCGGACTCTGAGCAGACAAAACGGTGGTGCTTAAGGTCGCGTATGTTTTAAAATATATAAAATGAACATAGACTGAATGAAACGAACTTGACGCGAGATACAGTACATAATGTAAGTGTTAAACCTATCTATCTCGTCCAAAGACATCTCTTTTCAACAGCAGTGGCAGCAGCAGTTGTCTTACTTCTGTCCCCGTCCAGGTCCACCTTAACAAACCGATGTCAGCTTTCATGCAGGTTTTTGTGCATTGACGTCAACCGTATACAGCACAAAACAGAGGCTTTCTTCATATTTCCTATGGTCGGAACTGAATATGGACAGATAGAGGGACTATGCTAGGAAATTTTTAACCTATCCGACCGCGACAGCTGGTGGCATTTCTCTCATCACGGCGAGGAAGAGACTGTGGTCAAGAATAACAGCAACACAACCACCGGTAATGAAAATGACACACTCAGTTTTTTATTGCTGCTGCATTTCAGAATAGATGGAGTGGCAGCAGCGCCGAGTGGGGGTGGGGGTTCCTAAAGCTCATTTAATGGGGGCTGAGATGTGACCAGAAACATCATACAGTGTAAAATGATATCCCAGTCAAACATGTTCATTCACCAGTGTCGGCACAGGGACAGAGACGTTGAGGCGATTTCTAGAGACAAGCCTTGGATGTGCAGGACAAGTGTTTCACTCCTATTTGATTGCACTGTGAATTATCTTTTCACTTTCATCCTCCTTTGCATAGATGTCTTCATTTGCATGTTGTCTCTTGGGTATAAGAGCAGATGGTTCTCTCACAGAGGTAGATGGCGAGTGTGTGTAATGGTGCCTATTGTGTTGAAAACAAGATTCAAAGATGATCGCCGAGCAGCTGTGGTGACATGTGAGACGGTCCTGCGTGGGACAGTGCAGAGTAGTTAGAAAAAAAAGGGTGCCTCTAGCATAGGAAAGCATCATTATGATACACTGATACTGAGTGAATAGACTGGAGACACAAGTGAAACTCTGTGAACTGTGTGTCAGCTGTGAAAGGTTCATTTCTTTGGACTTTAGACTAATAGATTTTCTTTCCTGATGAAGCTGTGTGGTCTGATTATTTGTCCAAACAGGCTTGTGTTGTAGTCAAGAAGCCTCATTACTATTGCATTCAATCATAATTAATAATACATTAAAATGTTGATTAAATGAAGCATCGCTCAAGGACTTATTCTCATGTGATGGTGGGATGCTCCCAGGAAGTGAAAAAATACCATCTCTGTTTACAAAGTCAAGGGTACTTGAATGCATCATCTTTGAGGAAGTCCTGGATTTTAGAAGTTAACAGTGTATTGACACTTCTCAGACTAGTAAGGTTCTGTTTATGTGTTTGTGTTTCTATCCTTGCGAGGTATTTCACTGTCAAATTAAGTACATGGAAGAAATGGATGATCGGGGTCTATAAAGTTTCTAATTTAGTTCTGCTCCAGGTTACCCCATCCAGTTGTTTTCTTAGTGCATCCTCAATTTTCAAAAAAACAACTTCTGAGGTGCCGCGTGATGATGGTTATGCAACAATCTGAAGAGTGTTCTCCGTCTGAGTGCAGGGAGATGTGAGTACAAAGGAAAAGGCTAACTCAGACTGCATCCTTCCCTCCTCCCACCCTGCCTACTCCGGCTACAGCTGAGGTTATGTGGGGGGTTCACAGCTAATTCCGGAGCAATTAAACGCACAAGGCAGGTGTTATCCCAACAAGATAATCCAAGACAGTCCATCAGATCAGACAACAGCATTGATTTTGTTCCAGTTGTTATTATTGACATCTTTTCTATCATCTTAGTGCACTTGAACAGCCTTGGCACTGAATGTCGTATATCCAGGCCAGGTGACCCACTACTCTTTGAGATCTGTCATGTAGGCGTCCTGTCATAACTGTCAGAATAGATCCTATGACAGTAACAACAGATAGAATGACTGTGACTTCTCTTGACACCTGTCAAAACACCTTCAGCCCTGCAGATAAACTAGTTTGACATTTTTATACATTAATGACATTGGTGTTAAGTGACATGAAAATGTTGTTCTGTGTGTTTCAGTTGCCCAAAGTGCGGCCAAGGCAAGAGCCAGCAACCGCCACATCCGGCATCATGATGGAGGGGGGTATGCAGCTGCTCAACCGGGATGGCCATAGCATCTCGCACAACTCCAAGCGCCACTACCATGACTCGTTTGTGTCCATGAACAGGATGAGACAGCGCGGTTTGCTGTGTGACATTGTTCTTCATGTCTCCAACAAAGAAATCAAGGCACACAAAGTGGTGCTGGCATCCTGCAGCCCCTACTTCCATGCTATGTTTACGAGTAAGTACCGTCCACAGTTTTATTCCTATATACACCATCTGTATGCAAAACAGACATTTGAAGCCCTGGTATGACACAGCCACTCATGTGTGCAGTGAACACAAACTTATCCTCTCAGAATCATCAGTTCCTTCCCTGTCTTCCTGTCTGGGGCACAGGTGGTCAGACGAGATCTGTGAGTCAGATTTCTTCCTGACTGGACTTTTATGAGGATCAAGTTTGTCTCTAGACAGTCAGTTGTCTGGCCTTGGGACTCAGCTGTGTGGTTTCCCTTAGTCTGATCTGATCAGTCTCTAACTAGCCCATGATCTTTCACCTCCATCACCCCTTAAGCTAAACCCCTGCTCCCTGAAGACATTGTTTGGATTTCTACTAACAGGAGATGAAATCATGTTTGACTGTTGATGTTAAACCTCTTAATGCCGAGTTCTGCAAGCACACCAGTGTTGTGCAAGAGTTGAATAGCTCCAGGAATTTCAGACATCCCCGCACACACACAAGTGATTAAATGGACACCAACAACTTCTGACATTTGGCAGTGGTGCTGTATACATTAGGATATTCCATGTGTCAGCATGACTGAACAGGGAGCCAGATGCACCACCGAGAGTCTGACTGGTTTGTAATGTGTTGAAAAAATATATTCACTCCTGTGTGCCATCATGCAGATGAGATGTCAGAGAGTCGGCAGACCCATGTGACCCTTCATGACATTGACCCTCAAGCTTTGGAGCAGCTGGTCCAGTATGCCTACACAGCAGAGATTGTGGTGGGAGAGGGCAATGTGCAGGTAGAGTCAAAGATTTCAGATCAACAGTCAGGATAGTCAGATTTGATTTTTGTGTGTTAAAGTGATACATCTAAGGTACTGCAATTGGATATTTTACTCATGGTGTATTTCTGCATGAAACTGTCCTCTGTCCAGACATTGCTCCCAGCAGCAAGCCTGCTACAGCTCAATGGAGTGCGCGACGCCTGCTGTAAGTTCCTCCTCAGCCAACTGGATCCTTCCAACTGCCTGGGCATCCGAGGATTCGCCGACACGCACTCCTGCAGTGATCTGCTCAAGTCTGCACACAAGTATGTCCTGCAGCACTTTGTGGAGGTGTCCAAGACAGAGGAGTTCATGCTGCTGCCCCTCAAACAGGTGGAGTATGTTTTTTTCTGTTTCATGATCTCTGCTGCAAACTGGTGCTTTTAAAGAAAGAAATGTAATGATGGAGCCTGGGCGAATATCAGACTAGTGGGACCTTCAGTGTGAGGTTAGAAACCTCGTCTACAAAAATTGTTTCTAAAAAGGTCTATTCTCTATTTTTTTTTAGTGGTTGGAGACATGTAATATTAGAATGTACACATTTCAGTGGCCACAGCTGTTTAAACAGCAGCATTAAAATGTGTCCAAAATACACACACACACACACACAAAGAACCCTTTAAAGAATCTAAATAAATTCCAGCATCTTCTTCAGATCTCTTTCCTCCAGCAGCCCAGCTGCAGGAATCCAGACTATTTTTTGAAAAATTGTTACCTTAACAGAAGTTGCCAAAGCGTCTACTGTGTTAATCTGGAGGGCCTCCCTTCACCCTCAGCTGGCTGCATCAATCACTGTCTCTCATGGTTTTATCATCCTGATTTGCTTCCATGGACGACTTTATCTGGCACGCCAACCATCACTCATTGCTTAGCTGGGTACAGCAGTGGTAGGACTGTGTAGAGATGTGTAATCATGCAAAGACGGACATTTTTACAGCTGCTGCACTGTTTATAGGACATCACAAAAAGGCTGCTTTGGCCAGATAATAAGGACAGTAAAGTTATCTTTGTAAAGGACTTAACGGTGTACTTTTTGCAAGCACAAGGCAGAAATGAGCAAACATATGCTATAGAAACACAAGGTAGCACTTACACAAGGGGACCAATTTTAAACCAAAGAACACTTAAAAACACAACATATACCAGACACAGTGAAGCTGCATGAACAGAGGGCAGCAGATTGTAAAGTAAAATCATAAAGTCATGGAAAATGTTCAAACTTAGGGGATGGACAGCTGAGTTTGTTTGTAGCCTGTAACTGTGAAGCTTGCCGGTCTGATTCCAGAGAAGCTAATTAACCTGCTAAAGCTATTGTCTATAAGGTGCCTGCAAACAGCTGCTTTGTTTAAGTTGGTGGTTTAGCACAAATCAGGCTGTGGTTGAACTAGAAGCTGTGGGTGTGAATAATATGTGTTGGGCTGTTTTCCTCTTTCATTTTTTCAAGTTTTTGAAGAGGCTCTTGTCGGTTTAGCTGTTGCCTTGGTGAAAGAAAAAGCTTTTAAAAAATGTAAGTACAGTATTCAAACGTGATAAAGGGGATATCTTATCGGCCAAATTTAAATACTGAATCTGAACCACTCAGAAGTAGATTTATAGCTCTGATATTAATTTTTGGTCATCACATGGGTGAAAGAACAACCCAAAGCTGCTATTTTGTCACAGGAATATTCCCCATGTTGAAATACAGAGTATAAAAAACAGTTCAAGTGATGAAAAACCCAGCAGGTTCTTCCAGTCAGGTGTAGTAAAGAGTCTTAATCGAGGAGAGAACGGCATCATGTCCTCTATGATTCAGTGTCTGTTATGAACAAAAGCCTGTTGAGCTTCGTCAGTGACAATGAATTAAAGCATCTGTGAAAAGAAGTAACAAACGCTGCCAGCATCGCTCTCTTATCATCTTCTCTCGAAGGAACAATCCCCACAGCACTAAAGAGATTGGTCTATGAGAGTGAAATGCCAAGCTTCATTCTCTCTCTGTGTAGCATTGAAATGAAACTGAATCTGAGATAGGAGTGTGTGGGCACAGTCCATTAAAACTGAGAGAGTTAAGCTGCAGAGAGGCAGATTAAAAACAGACCATTTTCTTTTTCTTTGTCACTATCCCTGCGTCTCTGGAGTTCCTTTGGCTCAGGACCCCATTCTGTCTACAGCTGCCCTGTGTCTGTCATAAATCTGTACCAGATCTGAATTTATGTACTGGCTGCCTTAAAGGACTCTGTGCTCACAGAACTGTGAAATATGCCCCATATTTCTCTGCATGTTCTGCCAAGGAAGTGGCGAGGCATGGCTCAGTTGTGGCTAGACTGCTTTTGAGATGTTTGTCATTGTGTGAGTTTCATTATAAAACAGCCTCATTAAAGTTACGTATAAACTCAGTCTTTTATTCATACATCCCTATCTATCTGTCTACCACAAGACAGTTAATACATTTTAAAAAACAGTTTTCTTTAAGACTCCTCACACAGACCAAGGTTTGTTAAAGTCAGTGTGATTCAGCACATAAACACAGAGTCAAAGGAGCTTGCAGGGTTGAGCAGCAGCAGCAACAGCAGTTTTTCTCAGTTTGTGACTGGATTAGCAGAAGCTGTTCCTGGGAGGCTGCTAACTGTTGCCCTGATCTGGCCTGGTAAGACAGCAGCAGCAGCTGGCTGCCCTAGCCCCACCCCGCCCTGCCAGCTTTGGGCTGATCTGGGAACTGTGCCAGCCAGCCACTCAGACTGCAGCACTCGTGCCACAGGCACACACATATTAGTAACTTCAATACATCAAAGCCAGACTGCACACTCATGGACAAAAATATAACACAAGCATTTGTGTAAATGGTGAAAGTTAAAATGGTGCCTAGAGGGATTTTGCTTCGCTTCATCTTGAGCTGTTGAATTCATTTAAATGAAGGATGCCATTTTGAAACAGCTCTGACAACTGAGAGCTGCCCATGCTTCTCCTGTCTGAATGGAGTGAAGCAAATCAAGAGGAGGAGGAGGAGGAGGAGGAGGAGGAGGGAGTGAAGTGAAGCATCAGCTCTGTAGACACAGTCATGTACTAAGAGCAGGAATTATTAAAATTATTAATATTAACATTAATAACAATAATAATAATAAAAAATAATAGTAATAACGTGCATTTAGCTAACATAATATAAGTCATGCTTATTGTTATGTGAATTTTTTTTCTCTTTTTGGTTCTCTGTTTAAACGTGCGTCACACTGCAGGTGGACTCTGATAGTCTATCAACGGCTCTGTGAATCTGGATGATATTAAGTCACTCTTGAAAATGGTTCTATAAAATGTCTCTGCCTTTTGTTCTGTCCTCTGCATCCAGGTCTTGGATTTGATCTCAAGTGACAATCTCAATGTTCCATCTGAGGAGGAAGTGTACCGAGCTGTGTTGAGCTGGGTGAAACACGATATAGATGGACGCAGGCAACATGTACCCTGGGTAAGACTTCCTACATTTGTTTAAATTTAAATACACTTGGGTAAACTACCTCCACTACATTTATTCATTTATTATTTAGCCCCTTTTTTTAAACCCAAACCTACAACCCACTATCCTCCTCTCCTTGTTAGCTGATGAAGTGTGTGCGGCTCCCGCTGCTCAGAAGAGACTTTCTGATGAGCAATGTGGACACAGAGCTGCTGGTGCGTCACCACTCTGAGTGTAAAGACCTGCTGATCGAGGCTCTGAAGTATCACCTCATGCCTGAACAGAGGGGAGTTCTCAGCAACAGCCGGACACGCCCGCGGCGCTGTGAGGGTGCCAGCCCTGTGCTATTTGCAGTCGGTAGGTGTGCCCCTACAGGTACCCTCTGGGCTACCCTACACTAAATTAAGGCCAGACACTGAATTACTGTTGCATCTGATATCTCTCTCTTTGCATTCAGTTTGGAGATAAGTTAAACTGAGTTAATAATACGAGATCGGAAGATGTCATCTAGTATGTTACATGTGTTACGAGCATACTGTTGTAAGGTCAAACCTCTATTTGAACGTGAATCAAATGAAAAACCAGAAATGCCAATTTTGTCTTTCTTGTTTGTTCAAGATGTGTAAATCTGTCATTTAGTGTTTTGCTCGTGTGTGTATGCTCTTGGAACTTTTCAGTCAAAATCCTCCCAGAACATTGGAACTTAAACATGATTTAAATGATAGTACACTTTACGTGGCACTAATCACAGAAATATTCAGAGTTTTTTAAATTGCTTTGATGAATGATGGAAAACCATTTTATTATGGTGTTTGGTGTGTTTCTAAAGGTGGTGGAAGCCTGTTTGCCATCCATGGAGACTGTGAGGCGTATGACACCAGGACAGATCGCTGGCACATGGTGGCATCCATGTCCACTCGGCGGGCCCGGGTGGGAGTGGCAGCTATTGGGAACAGACTCTATGCTGTCGGAGGGTGAGTTACTAAAAGATTTTCCCATGGGATAGGAACTGTGATGATTATTTACATGTCAAATATTCCTGAGTGGGTTAATTTAAGTAAAAGCTGTGGGCTTTAGCCTGGTGTCTCCAGAGAGCCTCTTATCTTAGTTGCAAACTGCCTCTTTAACTTCGCTATTTTTCATTTCCATCTGTTGTTTTTCTAATCAGAGTTGTTTTGAAGCACCAAACTGCCATTTTCAATCATCTAAAACCAGTCTCTGATCCAACCCCTCAGGTATGATGGCACATCAGACCTTGCAACTGTGGAGTCCTACGATCCCATAACTAACTCTTGGCAACCTGAGGTTTCCATGGGAACACGGCGGAGCTGTCTGGGTGTAGCTGTCCTGCATGGGCTGCTGTATGCTGCAGGGGGTTACGATGGAGCTTCTTGCCTCAATAGGTGCACACAGACTGATGTTTGATGATGACCCCCAAGTATTGTGATACAAAGTTCGCCACATTGTTGTACTCTGTCTCAGTTTGGTGGATAGTTACCTCAGCCCAGGTCTTAAGATAGTGTTTGAACTGAGCTGCTCTACAACATGATGTTATTCTTTCTATCTCTGTTAGTGCTGAACGTTATGACCCTCTGACCAGTACATGGACCTCGATTGCTGCTATGAGCACCCGAAGGCGATATGTTCGAGTAGCAACTCTTGGTAGGAGTTTTCCATTCACATTCTAGTTTTCAGCATGTTTATGTTTCCACTGTCTACATATTAATGTGTAAACCACAGGGGAATTACCAGCTGGGTACTGGACTGCTAATATTTACATTCTCAGTGTTTACTCCCTTCTCCCCTCCAGATGGCAGCTTGTATGCAGTAGGAGGTTATGACAGCTCCTCACATCTCGCAACTGTGGAGAAATATGACCCTCAGGTGAGTTATGTGCTGTTGAATTTATCATCAAAGTAGCTGGTCTGTTATCAGGAAAAACAGAAAATGAAGACAAGATCAGACACAGTGGATGAATCCATGAACATGTGACTGATGCTTGTTTTGTTTTTCAATAACAGAGCAACACATGGACAGCCATCGCCAACATGCTGAGTAGGCGCAGCAGTGCTGGGGTGGCAGTGCTGGACGGCATGCTGTATGTAGCTGGAGGCAATGACGGCACCAGCTGCCTAAACTCTGTGGAGCGGTTCAATCCCAAGACCAACACCTGGGAGGGAGTGGCCCCCATGAACATACGCAGGTTGGTCACCGGTCAAGAATTTTTCTGAATATAAAAAATATATATTGGTATTAGCAAGGCTTGAGAGTACCACCATTTCACTCGTATTTGCAACTAAAAAATAGATGTGTGCAAATTGTAAAATGTATTTAGGGGCACATGCAACAAATGTTTTTTCATGTAAATACTGCGGTGAAGTTAGTTTTAGGTTGGCTATCCGACGGACATTCACTGCTGATCTGTCGGTGTCTTATCACTCTCCATAACCGCGAATAGCAACATCAGTGTGGTTAAATCTACTCTGCACTCACGCTGTCAACGTCGGGTGTTGAATAAGGGACCATCAATAATTTACTGGTTAATGTTCTCAAAAAAGGCTGTTTTCCTTCAATAGCTTCTATGTCATGTGACCAATTGACCTAAAATTGATTTCAAATAATAGTATTTATGTCAACCAATAAGACACACCTCTTTATTTCCCTAATTTGTCCTCATAAAATTTTTGTGTTAAATTTAAAGGCAAATTTTGAACATTTTCTTCAATAGCTTCTATGTCATGTGACCAAAAGACCTGAAATTGATTTGAAATAATAGTATTTATGTCTGCCAATAAGACACACATATTTCATCAATTTTCATTGTGCCCCTAAAGTTCTTTGTGTGCTCCTTACTTTTTCAACTTAGGAGAACATGATCTCCTAAATTGAAAAAAGTTAATGTCAAGCCCTGATTAGAAAGAAACTACTATTACAATATTTTTCCTTTCTCCAATGTATTGGACTGTGAATAAATGTTAGCACTTTATACCAGACATGTAATTCAAGAGACAATTAAGTTAAAAACAATTGTGCTTTTATCAGTTGGATCTTTAATTCTGTATTTTGCTTTAAAATCAAATCCCCCCTCTGCTTTACTGTGTGGTCAGCACTGACACATACCTGGTGGAACTTGTACTTACAGCACCTCCCTGATAGCTGAATGTCATATGAGAATGCACATTTATTTTTACATATTAGAAAATCAAACAAAACAGCGTGTTCAAGTACGCAGTGCAATCAGTTGCCTGACAGTCAATTTATTGTTTTCCTCTTAACTGTACAGGGCTGATGTTGATCCAATACTTTACATTAAAGAGAGAGGAAAAAGGAAAAGACAGAGCTGTAGAGAATTAAGATAATGTAGAATAGAGGCACAGGAAAGGCTGTGGGGAATTTAATTAATGAGACCCACCATGGTGATTATGATGACCGGGTTCTACTCTTTACCCTGCACAGGTTAAACCTACAATAATAATAAAAAAGCTAAAATCAATTTGCTTCAAACTGATGAGGTGTCTCTGTTAAGGTACATTTGTTGAGACCTTCCTCTCTGTATCATGGAAAGCTTCTTATATGATGACTTGTAAAAGAAAGGCTCATATGATGTATGTTTGAGAAATACTGTGGTTCCCTCAAAATAAAACTTGTGTTCCTGCTCTTTTAAAACTCCTGAAGGAGAGGGATTTGGAGCGTTTTGATGCCTTCAGTGCCTGAACCTTGTTACAGCATAAACAGTGTTTTTAGTAAAAATAATCTAGCAGATCTAGCAGTCTTTGTTTGGAGAATAAACACCAGAATCATTGGTTCCCAAGGCCTTTAGAGCACATACACATCATCACATTTTGTTTTGTGTGAGTCAGTTTAGGAACAGAGAAACCTGACAACAGTCTACTGTGCAGCCCTATGAATAACCCATGTGCTAATGAGTGTGCTAGCTTTGACTGCTTTTCTTATCCAGTTGCTAAGGAGGGTCCATTGACACAGAACACCCAGAACTTCACATGTTATGTATTGATCTCTTCATAACCTCACACATTGGACAGTTTGATAATATAAGTTTCATAATATAAGAAAGAAAGTATACAAAGATCACAATAATCGATAAAAGCTAAAAAAGAAAATATGGTCTTTTTGAATTAAAAATAAGGCTGAAAATTTCTCATGGAATTCAGACACTAAATAGATTTGTGATTCCCTTCCAGGAGCACCCATGACCTTGTGGCCATGGATGGCTGGTTATATGCAGTGGGAGGTAATGATGGCAGCTCTAGTCTCAACTCAATCGAGAAGTACAACCCACGCAGCAACAAATGGGTCGCAGCCTCCTGCATGTTCACACGGCGCAGCAGTGTAGGCGTGGCTGTGCTGGAGCTGCTGAACTTCCCACCACCCTCCTCACCCACCCTCTCAGTGTCCTCCACCAGCCTTTGACACGGGGTCACCACTTGGCTGACCTCAGCCTCTGCTGCTACAGCCCAGACTGGCTCTGGGAAGAGACGCAACTGTTCAGTTTAAGATGGGGTGGAGGAGGATGATGGGAGTGGACAGGTAAAAAGATGGAGGGAGAAGAAAAAAGGTAGAAGGCTTTTTGCTCACTTATCATACAGTGCCCTCTAGAATTGGTGGCACCCTTGGTAACGAGTGGCTGACCATAGTTTAAGTTTCGCACTTAAATTTAAAAAGTCAAGAAATTTGAAACAGGTGCAGTTCCCTTTAACATTAAAGGACATGTTACAGGCATATGGTATTCCTTTTAAAGAAGCCGGGTCACAGCTAAAGAAATGACCTACCATAATTTTTCTGATTTATTAAACTATCAAACCAACGTGGCTGTTGTTTAGCAAGTTTGCCATTTGATCTCGACTGCACTGTATATAATGTGGATGCCTGTAACTCCACCGTAGAGATACCAGCTTCCACTCCCAGGTAAAGATGTATTTACACTGACTGATCCTTCCTCCAGCCCCACTTTTTTAACCACTGCAGTGTTTGACACACTCATAGTGAAACATGGTGGACACTTAATTCTGACGTGTTTTAAATGTTGTTGATGTCCGTTTCTTTTCTTCTTCTTCTTCTTCTTTTTTTTTTTTTTTTTTTTTGCAATAATCTACAAAAAAGATGAATTGAATGATTTTACTTTTGGAATGTAGCTTTTGACTGGTTATATCAAGCATGTTTACATCTTGGCATTGACTCTTAACAGGATAAAATTTGATAGTGCTGCTATGCCACACTAGGTGGCAGTAAGAGGCAATGTTAGAACCCTTCCCCACAGTGAAAGTGAGCATGGACACAGACTTTATTGACAAGTGAGGCCCAGGGAACTGTAAGCGAGTTTGGATTGTTTTTTGTCTTTTTTGTATAAAATAACTATTGTGTTGAACTTTGTGTTTATGAAATTGTAAAAACTATAATATATTCTGTTCAATAGAGGCTCAGAGAAGGAAACCGAAAAGGCCTATATAAGAGTGTTTCAATATATTTATTTTAGTGTTTGTGTGGTCATTGAAAATGACAGACAATGTCTCAGTGTGAGAGTTTCTCCAAGTTCAGAGGACGTGAATGCAACATTTGATTTGCATTTTGTAATATTTCTTCACTGCCACAGACAAGATCTCACATGAGTCTGTATCTAATGTCTGCTACATTTGTACAAAAAAGTAACTTACAGTCCATTGGCAAGTCTGCGAAATAATTCTAGAAATCCCTTTTAACTACCTGTGAATAAACATGGAAGTGTATGTAGACTTTGAATACGTTACAAGTGAGTACTAGTTTACCTGAAGTGTTCCAACACTCAACACTAATGAGTAATGCTGTTGACACTTGGTGCTGTCATATCCCATTCCACACTCTATCAAGTGTGATGTCTTGTTAAATTACCTCATTGTTGAAACGTATCCAGCTGAAAGTTAAATGAGAAAAAAAATCTAATATACCAGCTGCAGAACATGTGGCAGATGATTTCTGAAATAACGACTTAAGTCTTTTTGACTTTAAGATCATTTCAGTTCATGTGTAGCGCAGTGATACCATTCCAAACTTCTGAGAAGTAACCCTTTTTTTCCTTATTTTAAAGGATTTTGTTCATCTGATTTTGTTTGTGTAAAACTACCTTAATTTTCATTTCTTGAACCCAGCAGAAAACGGGCTGTGATGGTCTTATGGAGAGGTTGCTTGTCTTTGAAGGCATCATGAGAAAGGCGCACAAACCACAGAAAACTTAGGCCTCCATTCTGTCTGCTGACTGAACTGTAAATAGAAAAGATTGCTATCTTAAATCCATGTGTGCAATTTCAAAGTGACTGTAGCTTTTTTTGTCTGTCTTCGACGTGGTGATAATTGTTTACCTATATTTATTTATGAGGAACATTATAATGTTGAATTTTGCAATGTTGCGAAATGGAGCAATACACTGTTATAAATGAAATAAAGATGTTTTCAAACGTGATGACTGTCCTGATTTTTTGAACACATGCAAACACTGAGTGGAAGGAAGAGTATGAAGCACATCCTGCACCTTTAAAAACAGCAGTAATTATTCCTGCATCTGCAAATGTAATATAGCCATAGCATGATCGTCCAGTCTGCAGAAAGTTCTCAACTCCCAAAGAAAACTCTCACTCACACAATCACGTAGACTTAAAGTTGTGTTGCCTGCAGTGTTTGTTGCTAGGCTCACTGCACTCTGTTGCTTGGTACCTTCCTAACATACTCTTCTTTCATAGTGATCCGAGCTGACAGCTGAACACTCTCACTTTACCCTTCTTGACCTCAGTCTCATGGCATTCACACCTGTGGCTGCCTCTGCTCACACTCAAGCCTATGAACTCCCACTCACTGAGAACACACTCAAACACAGGCTGAATATACGAAAACCAAATCACCTGCAGCTTTGGATGGGAAGCTGGAGTGAAGGTAATTTGGCAGCAAAATTTCAAGAAAAAATGGGAAAACTCTGTTTTAAGGGGGCATGGGACTTAGATTTTCACTGTAGTATTAAATAGCAAAAAAGTATAGTGGTTAGATATTGTGAAAAGTTGAGGTGAGAAACTAAAAAACATTTACACATTAGTGACTGATGTCAAGTACTTAAAGCTGTTAACTTTGACTCAGTAATTAGAGATCCTAGAAAATACACTATTTTCTAAGATCAATCAATGTATGGTGAATAGGAAGCTAGAACCAATAACATGATTTGCATTTGCAAAAACACTAAATAACAGCAGAATAGGTCTATGTCTCAGAAACAAAATTCTAATCACTAGCATCTCTTTAGAATATAACGTAATGCAACAATAAGCTTACAAGTTTGGAATATTAACATTAAATTTATTGAAGAAAAGATTGGTATCCAACTGAGAGAAACAACTCATGAGTGTATTTTCAGTTATGTTAAAACTGTTGAAAATCTTGCCTTCTTTGCAGTTGCAGTAAAATCACAGAGCTATTTAAAAACACAAGTATTAAATATAGTTACTTAAACTTCCTTTGAAGAGTTTATGACTGGATATGAATGGTCCCAAGTTTAATACTGATGCCTCTGTGTGGTCTACCAAAGCCAGCCAGACCATTAGCAAGGGAGTGTTGTATTTCTATATAGTCATTCTTCATGCCTCATACCACTGCAATGAACATGTTATGGACTACGTGCTTTCCTGCCAGTAAGAAAAAAAAGCCTTTCTCATCCAGGAACTGCTAATGTTGTCCAGCTGAAAGGAGGCTAAAGTAACCCAGGACAGTATAAGCAAAGAGATGACATACCACATTTTCAATAGGTGCTTTCAAAACTACACTAAATAATGTTCCTTAGTGCGGATTTAAGGTGCTGTATATAAAACACGAGTTTCCAATTCCATAGGAAAACAATCAAACTGAAGATTTTAACAATTTTGATAGTGACAATAATCTCCAATGGCCACTAGTTTTAAAATAAGACAACAGAAAAATCACAAAACTATCAGGAAACTGGTACATTCCTGAGTTTTGATTCACCTTCCATTAGTTTTTTTTATTACTGTTTATGGTCATACTAAAATGGCTTAATCCAAAGTTTCCGGCTGTGTTTATGAGCTCGGAGGAGGATACACTAAAACAATTATGGCTCTTTGAATCATACACCATTCAGTCATACCACCATGACTGCCTGCCTTGTATAGTTTAGGCCACTTTCTTCTTTTTTATCTGTCATTGTTATTTGGGAGATCATATGTGATTCAGTATTCAAAGCATCAGTCCTCAACTTCTCTGACTGCTTTTTATCAAAAAGGTTCATCCCTCTATTATATAAATATAGTGAAAAACTTTTAGCCAGTTTTCTAAAGTTGTGCTTTGTTTAAAACCACTTCCTGTTTCATTTTCATCAAGTATTTGTTAGGCCCTTTTTCATCAGGTCTGGTCAAGATCTTTAGTTTTTGAGATGCTCTGACTTAGTTATCTAGCCATCACAATTTGGCTGACATCCTTCCATGTCCATTTTTTTTCTGCTTTCAATAATTAACTATCAGGACAAAATGTTGTCTTGCTGCCTCACTTGTCTCACCCACTAACAGTAACCACTGCAACAAGATAGTAGTTCATGATATTCACTTCAAGGGATGGTTCTTAAAGTGAAACTGACTCGATTGTAGATGGAGTATCATGACTTTGTACATTAAAGTATGTGTGGCAGGATTTAAAGGTGTGTGTAGACTGCTGTGTCAGATTCCAATAGCTGTGAGTCATCACTGCTACTGTAAAGATGAGTTTACAGTCTGTCTGGATGAGAACTGCTACAGTTGATCTAATGGCCGATCAGTGCCCGCCTCTGTGCAGCCCTTATCAAGCCATGGAGACGCAGTCACCCCTTCTACGGAGGGACCTGAGTGTCAACATGCCTCTGCACCAACCGTGAGAGTCTATATACTTTTTCATCTGCTACTTAAGATAAGACCAGGCATAGAAAATCTGTCAACCTCATCAGAGTTATTTATAACTCTGCAGACCATCTGTAAGTTCTCAATAGAAGTAATTTAAACAGTTAATGCCCAAGCAAAACCAGAAACAAGATGAGTCTCGCTGCAGATCTATAAGGAGTGTTGAAATACAGAGCATGTCAGATCAGAACTAGGTTTACAAAACCTGACAAAACCAGTTTAGGAGGCTTCAAAGGTTATGTAAGGCAACTCGCAGGAGAAAGACAAATACACTCAAAAATGAGATACACTTATGCTCATTTGTACTGCAGCGCAGAGGAAGTGATGAAAGGGCAAAACTTCTATTTGACAATTTTGGGTTTTGGCAGATTAGAGTCACAAACTGCTAATTCAAAAATATGATAAGTAAGTACATCTAAAAGAAAACCCAACAAGTTGTTTGATTTGCTTAACAACACCAAAAACTCAAAAATGAGATCTGAGTTGAATCACACCTCTCACCTCCCCTTAAAGCAGCTCCCATTGTGCAGACACACAGTTACTGGAATATGGCATTTTCACTTATTTCCCAAATGGGTCTTATACTGTATTTTACAGTATATATCATCTTCATCTGAGTGTAGGTTGTTATCAATGGTGCATATTGGATTTTCATATTGATAAGATGTGCCCTGGGCCCTACAGACTAATATCGCAGCAGTTTCCCATGGATTTGTCTCTGTTTTTTTTTTCCTTTTACTTGGCCAGCTGTCAATTGAGCTCTAAGGAAATCTTGAACAATGTCCAACATGCGTCATAACACACCCCTGTCATTAGTCTCATTGCTGACTTTCTTTTCTATCATTTTTTTTTTAAAATTCAAACAGTGATTTATTTGGATAAAGTTATTGTATAACTAGAGTTAATCTGACTTTGACTGATCTTGCCTTCAAAGGAGGGCCGGGGTCCAATTAAGACTCCTTTATGGGCGTCCTGTGTGAGAACTTTGGCGCGTCAGATTCTCTGTTGGACACCTGATGTTTTAGGCCTCATATCCAGGCTCCGTTTTAGTGGCCTGAGGTGTGACTTTAGCACCGCTGCTCTCACCCACAGAGTCTGGATAAACACAAGCGGGTGACTTTTTGAGGAGAGCCAAAGTTCAACCCAACCACACATAGAGGGAATGACGTGGACTTAATTCGTCTTTTCTAAGCAGATGTGAAAGAATTAATTACATTATGTCTGTATTTTTAACCATGGAAAAAAAGACATTTATAGTTTTTTTTTTTTTAATTGGATTTACAAACAGATGTAGAAAGACTTAGACTTTTGCTTAAATTAACATTATTTTGGTGAACAATGACTGGAACATCCCACAGAAAAAAAGCCATAATTTGTAACAGAAAACTACAATATGTGGGATAGTGTTGGGAAACAGCAAATTGGAATAGAGTAGAGGAAACAAATGAGCTGTTTGTCTGTCCTGATACGTTGTTGTTTTTGGCAAAGCACCTGGTATTCTCTTTTATCTGGAAGAATGAGATCCAAAGTAGAGATGTCAACTAGATTAAACAATTGGATTTTTTTACTATGAAGACCACAGGCAGTGGCAATGTTAGGGTCCCACAGTGGAAACACTGATATACTGAAAACAAGCTAAATTTTACAATCAAATGGATGCGTTCCAGTGACACTCGAAGAAGTCTTTTAAACTGTCTCTTGAAAGTTAGGCAAAAGAGCCCACCATGGAAGAAGATTCAAGGATTCAAGGATTGTTTATCGTCATGGTGTCTCATGAGGCACAAAAATGTTAATCCTGGGGTTGCAGCAAAACATTACGACTACTCAAAGGTATTAGTTAAGTTTCACTTTGTTGCTTTAGAGAAAAAAAGAAACTGAAGAAGTTAATTCAATCAATTTTCACTTTCCTAGAAACTGAAGTTTAAACATTCAATCAGCATGATAGAGTTGGTTTGGTTTACTCTGTCAGTATCAAAGACAGCTTCACAAAGAAACAAAAACAGTCAAATGCAACTCCCCTTAAGGTGTTTGTGCTAAATGTAGTGATGAGGTTAGTCGTTTGAGACATTATAGCAAACAGTCCACTGCAGAAACTAAATGGGCGGACGGTGAACAAATAAAGAGGAATATGACCTTTTCCATAGTGTGGTAGAAAGTTTAGTTTGAAAATGGCACCTCAGTACGACAGATGAGATAGTCTCATCATGAGGATTCAAACAGCAGACATTTCTTTGTGTTCAGCTTCTACAAACTGAAAAAAAATCTTTTTTTAAAAACAGTCACACAATGTTGATGCTTGACAGACGGACTTTTACACTATCAGGTTCAAGTAGCTCCTTAGTTGTTTACAGTGTAATGCCTTGAATAGCATACTGTATTTATTTTTTTGAAAATTTTTTAAAGTAAACATAAAACTTCCTGAGAAGCAAAATCAGCATGTCAAACTCCACTCTATTCAACTGTAAAATGTGACCTTGGACGTGCTAATATCATTGCATTACTCAGAGTTTACTCTCACAGTCAGCAGCTGAGGTACTGTGCAAACATTTAGCATGTCAAGCAAACAACTATCATGGCAACATGGTAACATCATCATGTAAAGAAGTGAAAAGTAATTTTTTCTTATGTGCTAACATTTAGTAAGTCAAAAGCAGACATGACCTGTGGTATGTTACCATACTGTCCAGAGTAAATAAGTGGATTAACCAAATACATGACTCCTTACACTAACTGTAAGGATGAAAATACTGTCATAAGTTTTAAAGTATGGTACAGTAGATCATTTGGGAGGTTAGCCTGCTCCCCTTACTTTTTTGTTCATAATACTGTAGCATCCTTGTGCTGTGAATGTAAAAATTATTGGGAAAGAGCAGCATCCCACCTGACGTAAATTCTTGCTAAAGGTCAGATGATACACCTGATGGGCTAAACTGAAACTGAACTGACGTCAGAGTGAAAAATCCCTGCTCCTTCTTCCCAGTTGGCTGTCTTCCTTTAAATCTAAGTAATAAAAGACGGAGAGGTGAGTCACCAGCTGGCTGCATGCGTTATCGAGCTCATCTCCTTACTTTCCCATGATGATCCTCTGCAGGTAAGAAAGGTACTTTTGATTAATTCTATGCTGTTTCTGATGAAACCCAGAGAAATTTGGCTGGCAACTTTGCGACAGGTCTGAACAGGACAAGACTCATGAAGCTTGGCAGCAACCGGTTTAATTGGTAGAGTTTCCTTGTAGCTTTTCAATCACATCACCAGAACTTTCCTCTGAAACATTCGAATGAAACCTAAACTAAATTAAATATTTCACCTGAATGAATTTTAAGTTCATATTTTAAATTACCTTTAACTTCTTTACTTTTCTATCTCAAGCTCTACAGTTTCTGTTACCTTTTTGTTGTTGAGGTAATTTAGCTGAGCAGCTATGAACCAAATTTAAAAGATAAAAGGTGAAATAGTGATGAAATAAAGATCGTTTTATTAATCATATCTACAGTTTCAATTCCAAAACAATCAAAATAGTACTTGTAACTGTTGAAACATGAGACAGCAAAGCCCTGAATGATCTCAGGTCAACCTTAGTCAGAAAAGTGCAGATAATTTACAGATGAAAACAGGCAAATTGACCCTTTTCATTAGAGACAAGCTGGAATAAACAGGATAGCTCTTAAAATGCATGGTAACCATAACTTTGGTCTAAAGTGTGGTTAGTGGGGAGGTTCTTGTGAAAGTCTTGATTCAAATTTTCATTGTATGCATGTTGAGGTTGAAGACATTCCTCTTGGTAACGTGTTTATCTTGTCAGTCACTTACTATAAAGATGTCTTATAATCAGTCAGACCACATGCAGTTAAATAGATCTTCTTTGTTGATTAGATTACTAGGAATAAGCTCTGTGGCTCGTCAAACAGAGAGCAATATGAAAGGACTTGAGCAGCTGCAAAGTGACAACAACTCTACGGTTGGTTTTTTAAGAGGCTGATGACTGTTGCTGCCTCAGGTGCATCCGTTTGTATAATCCGGCTGAACAGGTTGCCATTACTTGACACAAGCTGTGCACGTTTCATACTATAACCACAGTAAAGCATCTCAGCTCTCCACAGACGATGACCTAATTTCTGAGCAAACACAAGATGATCATGAGTGTTTGACTCCTCAGCCTCGTTGATCAGACCGCATGTCACTGTCTGTGACACTAACTTTAGAAGACATCATGTTTATTACTGTGAGTCAGTGAGTTAATTATCCAACACTGACTGTTAATAGTGCAGAAAAGAAAACTATGTATAAAGTTGGTTGATTAGATTCCCACTGACAGTATATAGACTACCAATACATCACTTTAATTTATTTTGTATATCCCCTTTGGCAAAGGTGTATAGTCAAACAAAGAGCAAATTGTTAACCGAGAAAAGAATGTATACTGTGTTTTTTATCTATGTATTTTGAATAGGCCTCACTTTTAATCCTAAAAGCTCTTTTTTTAAATGAACAAACTTCTTACATGCAAAGAAGAGTGTTTGCATAAACCTCTCGCCCTATGAAAATTAGAGCCTTTGAATACACAACCCCCCTGCTCAAACCATCCTCCTCTTCTTCAGTCTACAGACGGATGACTGAACTAAAAGTGACGATTTCCTAAATATCATATTAAGTAAAAGAAGAAGCAAAAACAAGAAAGTCCCTCATACTTCTCATATCAAAAATACATTTTAATATTTTAAACAGCCACTGTGTGTTTTTTCTATCAATTCATTAAAACAAAGCCATGAATGGAAAAGTAGACCGCCACTTAACCAGCATGCATGTACGTGTGTGAAAATGGCTCTGTTTTCTCCAAAGTATGCTGGACAATCATAAACAGACTACCTGAGTGTCTGTATTTCATGTCTGGACATGTCAGTGGAAGCCCCCATCTTTTCCCTGATTGACAAACACCATCCAGCCTGCAGTGACCACTCATTACAGCGGTGACCCAACAATGAGCTCCATTTGGCCCCTAGAAGGTGTGAAATGGCACACTTCTCCCTGAACCCCCTGTCTTTGTTGTTGGGATTGATTTAACAGACAGAAGCCACTCACAGAAGGTGTGAGTCCCACACTGGCAACACACTGTTCACACACACATACACACACAGAGCCTGTGACACAGCCCCAAACTCCACCCCCTTTACGCAGACACATTCTCACCGGTCTGACTATACAGCTCTCACCCTGCCCACTTCTCCCTCAGTACAAGTTTGACTTCAGCAGGGAGCGCATTACACTCTTGGATTACACTCGCTCATTAAAGGAGTAACAGTTTGTCTTCATATCAGTGCAGAGCCCCACAGAAGACAGCAACATGGGGAGCAGTATGTCATGTGTCCCCCAGCACAACTTCAGATTCTCCAGCAAGAGTTTCATTCGCAGAAACAGGTAAGAATAATCCCACTTGTCCGTGTTTCTTACTGTACTCTTCTGAGTCTGTTTCCTCTGGACACATGTCATACCCTTGACTGACGTTTGTTATTTTAGACTCTGCTTTTCAGCTGGAAGGAATTCTTGGTATTTCTCAGGGTTTTAGTAGAGGGTTAAACAGAGACTGTGAAGTTTGTGGAGCCAGGGTCAGGATCATATGGTTATAGAGGATAGTCTTCAAGTTGTCCCTGAGTGGTGCTCAATTGGCCAACGGTGTCAATGATCCAGTTACCATTTGCCTCCTTTTTGCATCTCTGTGAAGATGATCTGCCAGCTGTCTGTGAATCTGGTTTCCCTCCAAAATCAGGACCTGACCCCATCATTATCACAAATCACATGTGGGCAGTCGATAACTTCATCTACTTACAGTTAATTACTTTATAAATCTGGTCTGTGGAACTTTATCTGTACGTAAACAGCTTGTTATGGTCTGACGTTAATGCATAAAGATAATTTTAGGGACTGACTGACACCAGTGAGTTGTTTACAAATTTGATATCTGGTTTTCCACTGTCCTCCAGGTCTGTATGTCCAGGCATGACACTTTGGTCCCGCCGACTCTGCTGGACCACCATCTGATTTGAATTAGACCATGCTCAGGTCTCCTCTCCTGTGCTGTGTGTTAGATTCACTGTCTGGTATTGTCAAACGTGCCATGCAGCTCTTGGTTTTCAAATAAAACCAGAGGTGGTAGTTCAACCCTGGTTCCAAAAAATGCCAACGGTTCATGCTTGAACACAAATACACTTCCCAGTTGGGTCGATCACTCAGCATGAACAATGTGTTCACTGTTCTTGTGTCTTGTGTTCTCTTCCTTCTCTTTGTGTTGGTGAATCAGGCCAGGCTCAGGTATTCCCAGCAGAGAGTTTGAAAATGTGACGGGTGCAAATCCACTACCTGTCTATTAACTACATTCCTCTCCCATGTGACGACTACAAATTGCACCAGCTTGCATGCTAAAGACATATTCTCTGTCTGTAATATTTTGTTGGAAGAGTGGAAGAGGAATAGCATTATTCACTTCACACTTATCAATGATTGATGCTGGACATGGACCTCCTGATTAGGCAGACCTTGATTCCCACCATGCAGACAAAAGCCTGCATTGTTACGCGTTAAGGCCACTGGCACATGTGTGCAGATAAGCAGATAAACCTCCAGCTGAGATTGTAAAGGAAGCCTCCTCGCCTTATCACTGCAGCAAGGGAGCTTCCTCATATGGATGTGACACTAATGGTAACAGATGAGGGTCATGCAAAACAAAGAGGTACATTGAATGGTGATTTTCTTATGCATAACCTCACTATCAGAGACACAAGACTTGATTGTTCCTGTTGTTTAAATGGCTCGTATTGATGGGACAAGGACAAAGGAAACAGTTAATACATATGAAACTCAAATCATGTTTCATGAATCCAAAGGAGTTCAGGATTCTCTGTGGCTTCATTATTACAGAGCTGCAGCTGGAATTGAAATGTAAATCTGTAAAGCAAACACTAATCGAATTGGGTCGACTTTTCATCTGACAATAGGAGATAAAAAATAAAATCCTACATAAATGTTCCTTGTTGACTCTGTGGTTGGGAGGTGAACTGCTCAACAAACACAGAATAGATGGTAAACATTGGAGAGTAGGTAGTAACACGTGGTTGTCCTCTCTCTGACAGCAGCCGCCTGTTTCGCAAGAAGAATCCCCAAGAGGGACAGGAGAAGTCGAACAGCATCATCAATATCCTGTGCACCGTCACTCCTCGAAAGGTAAGAAACTCCTTAAGGGTGTAAGAAATGGTGATAACTCAATCATCTGCATACCGGGTGGAATCACTGTCTTACATAAATGTTATATATGATGTATGGCTTTTTTACACTGTACCTAAACTTAACCAATTTTGTGATTGGCTGCAGGAAATGTCTCATAAAGATCTACAGACGATAGAGAACATAAAATGGGATCCTCCATTTCCCTATGATCCCGCCAATGGTTGGAAGAAGAGTAGTATCAATGTTAAGAACTATGGACGGATGATTCACAGCTCCAGAGTCCGTTTCCGCTTCCTCCACTGCCAGGTGAGTGGAACAAAATAACTTTTTCATGACTCTCGTGTTGTAACAGCAGGAAACCAGCTGTAAAAGAAAACAACACTCACACTGCACAATCCTTATTGTGGTAGATGTGGTCTGAAACAATGACCAAGCCTAAGGTGACACATCATGCCAGTCATCTATGTGAACCTTGTGTGTGTCAAAACAAGCAAAAACACAACTGTTCAGAGTCACAGGATGTTGCTCTGTAGCCATTAAGCATACTGAAACTTACTGCTGGCATTGACGTGGTGGCTGCCTCTGAATAATCCATCAGTTTTCCACAAAAGCAGGCCGCAGCCTGTGTTTGGACATGCTTGCAACTGCTGCGGTTGTGAAACATCTCGGAGAGAAAACCTCAGGGTAGAGAGAGTAACTATGATCCCAGGAACTGATAATGGACACAATGGCTCCTCAATGCAATTTGTCAGGGCTGTGACACAACAGTTCTGTCAAAGAGTTAAAAGGCAGAGTTTGATTTAAGGAATAGTGTCATGACGGGAAAAGAACAGGTTGTACAGTACTATTAATTACGAAAGTGTCGACAAAGAGATACATGCATAAACCATTTAAGAAAGGGATGGCTGTCTAAATGAAGATGCTTCTGATAGCATTTTATGATCATTTATAATATTGCATGAATATTTGCATGCAAGGTCCCAATTTCAGGATCAATATTTAATAACTGTGTGGTCTTTAATGGAGACAGCAGACTGTGATTATTAGTTTCGAGTCAAAACTTGCACAATTACAATATAACTAACACTTTTGATTGCGTCCTGTTTATTTAATTTATCTGATGCTATTGGTTCTATTTGAGACATCTGGGGATGAACTTTGGGAAGTGGGGGCCTGGGGGTTGATAGGATTTATGGATTTTGGACCATAGTATTATTGTTGGTACAAAGTTTCAGTCTAAGTTTGTCTGCTTGTTTTGTTCTTCACTGTTTTGTCTTTGTTTGGGTGGTCTCCTTTGCATTTGTCCTTTTATAAGTAGATTCCATCGTCATAACTGCTACACATGTGAAAAAAAAAAGGAGTTTAAAGAACTGTATTGACATGTTTCACATTTCAACCTGACTTTTTTTTCTGTAGGATGTACATGATTGCTACCTGGATCTCTTCCAGACACACCTTCATTTCGTCTCCAACAACACCACCGGTTTGACATACCAGGTAAGTCCAATTTCATCTGGAACTAATATCCCAATACCTGTTTTTAATAAAGGGTCCTTCAATATCAGCTAATATCTTAGATGGATATCCTTTTATTAAATACTCCTACAGGGAAGAATTTCATGTTACGTAATTGTACCTTCTGAGGTGCGTACCCTGCCAACCAGCAGCCTGTTAGTAAACAAAAGGGCAATTATGAATCTTCACCTGTGTCATAAAGCCCTGAGCTGTCATTAATCACTTTTTTACGGCGGCTGTTAAGAGCCAAACACTCAAATCAAAAAGAGACAGCTAGGCTTACGTGTACTATGTTAGTCAGAATATACGTAGTTGACGACATAAAAGAGACAGACATGAAAACATCATCCACTTACAAAGATGATCCTGGCACCATGATGATAAATCTCTTTCTTCTTCCTGAATTGTGTGTAGGGAACTCTGCCTTTGAAGGAAATCACCATCTGCAACCTGCAACAAAACTGCAACCACAGCCAACCCCAGGAATTCGCTTTTCAAATAAACGGTAAGTTTGACCCCACCGGAGAGGACATGAGTGGGCGTTGGCACGAAACCCTGGAATGTTGTAATCATCTGTTTTGAGTTTTATTGGTTATGTTGAATCGAGCAATTCAATCACTTAGACTAGAACCAACTACTTATGTTACCTGTCAAGAAATGCAGAGAAAGCTGGTAGCAGAGGGAAAGTATTGTTTGTTGCCTACATTCATCCTAATTTGATACTTATGTGAGCCAGAGTTTTTTTTAAGTTGCTGCTGGTCTGCCATGATTGTCCCTCTCATTAATTATTGATCAAAGTAGAAAGATTTACTTTGAAGAAGGAAAAAGAAGAAAACACTGCGCTATTTTCAAGCTGCATTTTCCGTGTTGTCAAATTCTACGATTCAAAGGTGCCGCGACCCTCTTCACCTCCACTCAACCCCAAGACTAACCAGAGCTGGGCCCCTTCACCCTTGGTCAGGGGGCCAAATCGGCCTTAAAGGCCCTGCTTGTTAGACAACAGGTGCACTTCAGTCAGCCCAGCTGTCGCGCTGAGAACTCCAGCTCCCGCTCTTAGCCTTGTCACTGTGTATAATCTATGGCACATACCAAAAAGTGCTCAGGTTGATGTCTGGCAGGATTGCCACTTAGCTTCTGAACTCTGAGAGTGTCAAAACATCTCCAGATTGATTTCTTTTCACTGGACATAAATAAACTCTTGGTGTGACCAGGATTTGGTCCTTGCCTCAGAAAAAGTGCAAACAGTGAGGTCAAAGATGAGCGCAAATAACGACTGAAAAATAATCTAACATGAAAAGTCCCTCCCTGTCATCGAGTGTAGGGTCACTCTATACGTTTTAAACATTTTTATCATATTATCTCACCAGTATCTAAAAGATCTCTGCTGTCATAATATTAACACTCATATGCACACTTATGTAATCCTCTCCTGTTTCCACTTGGCCTTTTTCTCTACTATGAAGCTTGTTATTCACAGTATTGAATTACAGCTGTTATCATTGTTAGGCTAGAACCTTTATTTACCTTATGGGAGGCGTCACTGACAGGAAACTTGTAAAGGAAGTGTGACCGAATTCTGAGTCAAGTGAGGGATTGGATAGAGATTTCCTTCCTCGGATCTGCTTCATCCTCTGAAGAGCAGAAAATGTGAATCAGCTTTAGCGTAAACATTTTAAGAGGTTGAAGAGTGACGGAGGTAAAACAGCACAAGACGGTGTGTCAAAATTCCCGGAATCCTTCACATGGTCTGAATTACTGTGGCTGTGAAAGTAAGATAATGATAGTTAACTACTCTCAACAACCATTAAAAGCCCTGTAAACTGACTGAAGGTTGGAACAGGAGAAAGCCTCATTATTTTCTTCTGGGCTCAAGGCATCTACTCAATCTTGCTTAAACTGTGGAGAAACAAAACCTTCTGGGGGAGAGCTTTGGTCAAGGATTCAAAGAAAGTAAGAAAGTCAACAGATGAATTCAGATTAGGAATTTATTACGGAGTAGTTACCCGGTTCAGTTCCCTCAAATTTCAGTACAAAGCCATCGGGCAGGAGTGATACAGGCTATCTCTGCTGGTTATCTCTGGTATGTGTCAGACTGATGCAAACAGAGAAATTCCAGCCTTTTCGTCCCAGGTCCAGTTCATTCCTCAGTCCTGATGAGCAGTGTGTGGGGGGCTGCTATGACTTCAATGCCAAACGAAGCAGGTCAAGGGGATCTTCTTTGAGGGATTTAAGATGTGATTCACCCGCTTGAACATGTGTTAGTGTTTACTGACCTCACCCCACAATGGTTTTTCAACAGCCACTGAAGCAGATTGTGAACGTATATGGGGCAAGCTCTCCGATAGAAGGTTTAGAAAAGGAAACCTTGTTGAAACTTTTCCTTTGTGACCTTGTGACCTTTGTACCCAACAGGTGTCAGCCTTAACCCCATTATCGTGTACTGTGCCAATCAAGAAGAGATGGATCTATGGTTTGGCCTGCTCAAAGAGAACATTGAGGCCAATGGAGGCACTGCGATATCGCCTGAAAACTACACCAGAGTAAAAGTAAGTTCACCAGCATTGTTTTAAAGCACCTTCAGTCCAGTTGCTATGTACAAAGTTGCACAGAACTGGCTTTCATGATGCAACACTGATTAACATCCTTTGTTTTCAAATTCAAAGAAACACTTCAGTGTGGTCATCTTTAATCCTCCTGGAGCTTTAACCAGAAAAAATGTTTCAGCCACTTCTGATAAAACAGGGCGTGTTTGTAGATTTGTTGAGTCAAGTAGGTCAGTGTGGGCTCTCCCTGAGGCATGGATACTAGGGAGCGGCCCACGCTGCATCACTGCCTACATCAAAGTCCCCCTCACATCTGCAATGGGTTAATGTGCTGACTGGGCACCCACAGGTGGGGAAATGGCTAATGAAGCACATGAACCTAGATGAGGACACGCAGGCATGAAACAATAACAGAAACCCCCCCGAACAGACCATGCTTTTGTAAACCCTAGCTACTTAAGGAATGACAGACATGAGAAAAAACATCTCAAACCAACATGTTTAAATTCGCTCAAGGGTAGAAGCCTTGTTCATATTTACTTAACTTATGATCCTCCTCTGTTTCCTCTGCAGATAAACCAGAAGGAAGCTCCTGAGGGCAGAGAAGAGCTGAGGAACTCAGTCAACAGAGAGCCCATCTACGAGTGGGAGGGCTCACAGCGGGACAGCTTGGGAGCCATCACCTATGTCACCAAAGTTCGGCTGCAACACCTTCCCTGTCAGGTACGACATCTCATTACAACATGTCTGCTAATCAAGAGTGAATCACTCAGACCTGTCATCATGCAGGTGTAATACAATATCTCTGATGATGTCTATTTATGGAAATATACAGTGCAGCAGCCTGTAGCTTATGATACATACATGTTTTCAAACTCTGGGATTTTTTCCCATGATGAACAAAGACAGGTAATCATCTTCTCTTAATCCAGGTGACTCATATTGTTTTAACATTGCGCAACACATTACCTCAACACAATGTAAGGAGTGAGAAAGGGTGGAGCTCATCTTGTGGTAAAATGCTCTGATCAGCAGATATATCTCTATTATCTTCACTTTCCTGTAAAGGTGGGAGACAGTATTCACCAGCTGCAAAAATCTAATGGTAATAACAATATACTGGTGAAGCAGACCTGAGCACAGATAAATAACGCTGACACAGCTAAACACCGCAGCCAGTAAAAACTACAGTCATGACACTGCTTGCATGGATACCAGTATTTAATTCACTGTGGGAAATGGCGGCAGTTCTATTGAAGTGTGTGAGATTTAGGGCCTGGGTGTGTGAGAGGCATTTGCCCAGCTCACGCAGTGACTCGACTCACCTCACAGCTGGAATGTCAGCTGTCTGTTCAGACACACCCTCCGAGAGCGAGAAGAAACATAAACTCTCTGTCTGCCGCACCTTTAAATGCACCGCTAACTGGTTTGACTGAAGATCCTACTGGGATTTAAACTTCAGCTCTCAACAGAGAATGAAAGAATAATACTGATGTTTTTTTCAGAATCCAAACATGGTCTCAAAGCCTCCTCTCCGGCACAGTCTCACCTACACAAAACCAAAACAACTGAAGCTATTAAGGCTCTCTAAAATAGTTGGCGTGATCGTAATCAAAACTTTTCAGAGAATTACAATTTTTTTTCAGAGTGGCTTAGTCATCTTAGCTTGTCACAGAATTGTGAAGATTTATTCTTGTGTTCACTTTCAAATGATTTTGATATCATCAAGTTTTATGTTCATGCTGGAAAAATATATTCAAAATTTGTAAAAAAGAAAAAAAAAATCATACTACATAGAAAAGAATTTATTTTTTATGAATGTGCAAAATGCAAAACAGTGAATTATAGCAATGATGCACCAGCAACAACCCATAATTTAAGAGTTGATTTTATCTTGTCTTCACAGGAACAAAGTGATAGACTTCTGGTCATGTATCCATCAACACTGATCATCTTGTCCGAGGAAAATGATGGACTCTTCTATAAGGTAACACCGACCCACTGAACTTTTACTCTTAAGCTTTATGATACCCTGAGCTCTGTGTGTATACTATTTCATGTATGTGTCAGACAGTTTTGTTAAAGAGGTGTTTCAATTACAGGGAAAACTTCCTCTCAACATGATTACTGTGACAACGCCCTGCCAAGATGTCAAGCCCAACACCTTTATGATTGAAGGTAGATATACCAGTCCCTCCTAAACTGTAGTCTCTTCAGCACACGGACATTTTAAAGGGATTTCATGCAGTTGACATTCTTATGCATGTTTTTACACTATGAGGCCTTTTGACATGAGTCCACTAACGTCACAGTGTGTAACCCTCCATGAATGAGCTGGTTTTATCCCCACTGAATGACAATCTGACTGTAGCACATTCCAGTGAGCGACTGGACCGAATGACAGGCTTTGTCCTCTACCCCCCATCCTCTCTTCCCAGGGAAGCTGATCAACCCCATAGTGGTTTCGTGTCTGGATAGGACCGAGTTCTGCGACTGGATCCAGCATTTCAAATCTGCTGACGTGCCCGTTCTCAGCCCCCCACCCCCTGTGTATGACATCATCTACACCCCAACGCACAGAGAGGTGAGGCTTACTCGCCTTTCTTTCATGGGCCAAAAACAATTAAACCATTCACAGTTGTTGTTAATCCCTAATAATTATCGGGCAAGTCATCTCCACCTGGTTTGTGAACCTGCATGTTCTGTGAATTGGAGTAAAGAGAAGAGTAATAATGACGGCAGGGAATGAAGCCCTACCTCCACTAAAAAGTGACTGAATATGACAATGCAATGATTTGTCTTACAATCAACAAGTCAGCAGTCCACTTCAAGTTGAAAAAAAAAAAGTAAAAATTTGAGTTGCTTTGCTTATTTGCTCATAGTCAAATATTTAATATCATTCTACATTTTTTTCTTGTGAACTCTAGACCCCACAATTTGATAGGTGGAGTGGAAACAGCCAGGGAAGATCCGGGTCCTTTAAGTTCAGCCAATCAACAAGTGGATATGGATCCCACAACATTCAGTTACCCATTCATGAAGACAACCCTCTGTCCCCGGGATACACTGAACCCCTCTGTGTAAGTCAGCTGTGTACTACATCTCCACTTCTATCGTAATATACAATCAAAGACCTAAAACAATCACACAGAGAATACACTTTCAGGAAATAATCAAGTTGGCTCATATTGCTTTCACAATATTTTGGTATTGATGATAACAGTCCTATTAAGAAAATATGTATTGATATCTTTTTGCAATTGGGCATATGATAGTACCATAAGTTTAAAGTAGTGGTATTTAACGCTGGCTGCCACATGTCATAGTCCATAGGATAGATAATGAAGAAGAAGTCAACTGCAAGCAAGCGAGCTGAAGCAGCCCTCTGAGACATGATTAGGACCTTTAAGTGCTGATATTCAAGACTTAGTTTAAATCCAAAAACAACATGAGAGCTTCTGCATCTTGAGGTTACTAACCAGCTGAACATTTATACATTCTGACCGTTCTTTAACCTGTTTTTATTCAGTCCTGTAACTTATTATTTACCTGCAGTAATGTTGTATAGCCTTAATAATCCTGAGGTGACAATCTGATATTGTGACAGCCCTAGTTCAAAGCTTAATAAACAAAATAAAACAGGATTTTGGTGGCGCTGAGCAGGGACACCCTGGTTTGATATGTAAATTATTAAGCAAGGTTAAAAGACTAAACTGCTCCTGTTACTACGTCTCAGGTGATGATCCTGAGGTCTTTTAGTAAAATAACTTTTACTAAATGATTAAGTTTTATAAAGACAATATATTTTCACTTAAAAACTCTAGGATGTTGGTAAATACCCTCTTCAGCTACATGCTAACTCAGCAGTGAGAAGTTTGCTGAACTGTCCATAACAGTACTGTTCAAAGGTACTGAAAAACTCTGTGTTGTCAGGACCTCTTCTTTGATCCAAACTCCCCCCAAGGAGAGGGACTATGTGGGCCAACAAACCATCCAATTAGCTGAGAGTAGAGAGGGCTGAGTGCCCAGTGGTCATGTTGTTGTTCAGCATCTGACCTGACCAACTTAATGGAAATGATGAGGAATGTTTTCTTTCACAGGTCAGGACATTCAAGAGTATGACCAAAAAAAAAACCTCCAAGAACTATGCAGAAGACTTTTTCTGAGTAAAGTAAAAAAAAAAAAAAGAAATTTAATCTAATGTGTTTGTTTGTTATTCCTACAGTACAGTCGTCCCTCCTCAACTGAGACCGCCCGCTTGGGCAGCAGGACCAACAGCATGTCTTCCCACACCAGGCCTGAGCGTGATCTACGACCTTTGTCTCAGCGCTACTCCTCCCCACAGCGCAGCTCCTACCTCCAGCCTGCTGAGAGCTCAGCGCTGTCTCAGGTCTACAGCACACCCTACTCAGCCCTGCACCGTGCCAGCCCACAGAGGCTGGAGAAAACTCCACTTGTCAAGGTAATTCAGTCTGGCCTCTAACTTGATAACCTAATATTCCCCCTGAAGACTGTTGACTTATTTTACATGTCATGTGTGCAGCCGCTAAAATAGATCCATCATGCACACACAGTCAGCTGAGAGGGGCAGTCATGTAGGGTGTTAATATATCAGTCAATGGCCGCATTTGAACAGAGCGAAGGTTGAAAGATCAAACTTCTTAATTGTAATCTGAATTATAGTTTATAAGCAGAACTTGAGCTGCCAACCAGAAAACATTTCCCTATACTAAGATTTATTGGACAGGCAAAGGTGCAGCTTTTTTTTTACTCAAGACTAATTTGTGATGCACAGGATCATTCTCTCAAAAGCACTGCTGCAGATCATGACTGGCTTTAAGTCTAAAACCTCTACTTGGTAATCTGATCCTTAAGTGAGGCTTATGTGATTGCCTCCTGCAAAGCCACAGAGCATCAAAGACAGATAAAGAGAGAGATGGAAGGAAATGATCATCCCTGGTTTTATCCTGGAGTTACTCTGTACGTTTAACTAATTCCTGGATCTGTTTGAATCTTTTGTTATCAGTCGAACAGCTGGAGCACCCCTCAGACATCTCTGAACTACCCCCTGAACACCCCCCAACGCCACTCAGACATGTGTGCCCCTCGGCAGCCGTTGTCCCCTCTGTATGATGAGCCCTGTAGCCCTGAAATCTACTCCCTGGATGAAGCCAAGCCCATGGTAAGTGGGTCAATGATACTGGATCCATAAGTTCAATTTACACTTCGGAGCTCGTCTGATGTCAAGCAGTGGATTGACAGATAGACACGTCAAGAAAAACTTGGAGAGACTCAAGTTCTGTCAGTATGACATGAGAAAACATTTGACCAAAGACCTTTTTGACAACCAAATTATTTTCATCAGAAGTCTTACTGAGTAAACCTACAGTTGTCCTGACTGTATCCCTCTGTTCTTAAGCAGCAGATCTGGCAAGAGTCTATTCATCAGCATCACTACCACCCAGGCCACCAGTTCACATCCTCCCCATTTCAGCTCAGCACCCCTCCCATGGGCAGGCGGTGCAGGAGAAGTCTGGTTCTGATCAACTCCCAGGGTCAGGAGACTGAGAGTCCTCAAAGACAAGCAGAGCAGAGAGCCGAGGCTGTGTCGAGGCTAAAGCTGCTGCCTGTGCCCAGCCAAGTGCATGAGCAGGTGAGAAAACACAATCCTCTTCTACACTGAAACTTTGCATCAGAATTAAGTTCTGCCATCGCTATACTCTTGTACTTACAAAGTTCACCTCAGAGCAGCTTAATATTAGTGTCCCACTGTGTTTATATATTGCATTATGTTGTTGTGGGAGCATGAGAGACATGACTTGTTATACTTGTATATACTTGTTCTGCAGGTGATATTTGGACAGGTGCTGCAGATAAAACAGATGTTTTCGGTTACATGAGAATGTTTATTATAAGTCATCACAGGAAGTAACTTTCTTTTGTTTTCACATCTGTCATTAGATTGCTGCCCCGCTGAGCTCTGTAAGGAACAACTCTCAGAAACCCTTTGGTTACTCACCAGGTAAGAACTGAAGCCATAAAGGTTTGAATTTGGGGAATCTTTCTTGTGTTTATTAATAGTTTATCAAGAACATATGTGCATTTCATCCTTTTTAAAAAGATATGTGGATACATCTAAATATGGAGGCACAGGGTCACTGCCTGTTTTTACAGTGCAACTGTTATTGGAAAAAAAACAGGCAACAACTTATATTGGAAGAGTTATTAAAATTATTGTGTGCTTCTGGACTTAAAACAAGAATATGTTGTGTATCAAACTAACAAAACTGAGTAAGAAAAATCTAACACCATGCATGCCTTGTAATGGCAGCTGCTCCCTTGTGACATTATACTTCCTCACAAGAGTGAGTTATGAAAGTCAACACTGTCTGCCAACTTCATAAATATCACCAAGGACACGGATCATAGCTCACACTCCATCATACCTTAAATTAAACACTGCATGCACTTTGGATTGATTGAACTCTCGGGTCTGTCAGCAGGTAGACAGAAGGCTAAAGGCTACAGAATCAACAATGCAGAAAGGTGCAAATGGGCCCATGAAACAGCCTAGGGAAGCTCTAAATACCAATTGTGCAGATGTCCTATGCAGAGGAAGGCACAGTGTAAGAGGACACTGTTTCAAACACAGAACTAACCTCAGCACTGAGACTGGCAGCACACAACTAGATATGGTTGCACTAAAAAGTAGGAGTTCTTTATGACCAGAATATTAGACAACACATGCTGTATCGAAATGATCTGCTCTGCATGTTTCTGTGTTACTATAAAAAGAACACAAAACACAAATGAAGGTGTTGTTGTAGTGGTATGTTACGCTACCAGTTTTACAGTAAGATTTTAGTTTGGTTTATTCAGTCAGGGCGGAGTTTGTCTTTCAATGTATGAGACTAAAAGCCTGGGAATCTTCTCTTGCTTCTATAGATCACCACTCGTACCTTGAACCCACAGAACCAGATGACCAGGAAATGGACTATGACAACATTTGGGAGTATGACTGTGATACTGGAATGATTCAGCCAACGTCTGGAATTTCAACACACTGGACAGGATTAAACTTTGGGGCCATGGGCCATGGTCCCATGGCAACCCAGCAGAGATGGTCATAAAGCAAAACAAAAGGCCGGCACTCGTCTGGACGTGTGCAAACAACTGATCCCTATCAGAGGGGTAATAAAAGCCCACTAGCACAGCATTCATTGCTCCTGCAGTACAGTATGAACCCGCAAATCCCATGAAGTGCATTGTTACATGTTGAGTTGTCAGGCAGAGGGATGAAAAGTGCAGGTGTAAGGAGGGTTGCTGCAGTACAAGTACATTATGAAACTATGAAAGTAATAAAAGACACAGTTTAAGTTTGTCATGTAGCATTCAAAAGAAAGGACAGAAAAGTCTATACAGAGATTTACTGTTTGTCTTTTATTATATTCTATAATTGCACTCAAGATTTAATAAGGGGTGCATACACCTAATTTTTTATATTTAAAATATAATATTTTCTAACATATTTTTTTGTAAGTGTATTTGTTATATTTTTGATGTTTGCTTCTGGATAAAGCTATAAAAAAGCATTCCACAGGGGCTTGTTGTAGTAAAGGATGTACATTTTTGTAAATGTTGTAAATTTATTATTTTATTATGCTTTAGTATCAGGCAAATAGATGTGGCTTTAACTGACTGCCTTTTAAGGTGCTAATATTAATATCATTACTACATTGTACTGTTCTCTGTGTGGCTTCTTTTCCATTGTTGTTTGAGGTGTTTATTTATATTTGGAAATAAAATTTATTTTAAAAGTTTATGATATTTGTGTTTTTATCACCATTATTCTGCCATCATTGGAATCAGCTTTTGCATTGTTGCATGACTTTTATGTGGACACCAGGTCAAAAGAAAGTGCAGGTTTAATCTGTAAATACAATATAAAAAGCCATTAAGGTCTGAGCTTCCCATTCAGAAATAGATATAATAGATATAGTTTTATCTATATATAGATATAATCTCTAAATAAATAATAGATATAATTGTCAAACAGTTAAATTAATAAATTAAAACCCGCACAACAAACTGCTCCAAACATGTTTGGGCTGTATTAACAAGTTTGTTAAAATCAATCACTACAGATCCTATAGGCACTTTGCAGGCATTCTAAACTGTATAACCTAGCTATCACAGGCACTGTCTCTAGGTAAAATACATAAATGTGAATGATTAAGAGCTTCTGCTTTGACAATATTGCAGCAGCTTCATAGGCTGTGATCTACTGTTAATGTTATGGCTCAATACTGATATCTACTGGAGAAAAATACTACTCTAACACAATAGAGGGCTAGAGGGCTTCTTGTAGATATTCTTGTGGACAAGGAAAAAAAAAATTAATTTATACTTATATTAAGAAATAAATATACCAATAACAGAGAAAATAGAGGATTATAAAGATCTAGATAGCTTTACTTCACTCAGCTGTGGAGGTTATAAGTTCTTTCATTAACCTCTACTGCCCTCTAGTGTTTCAAAAGCCGCATGTTCAGGCTGGAGTGCTTATAGAGTAAGAAGAGGCATGACTGATCACAGATGTTGTTTATTTTGGACAGACTGAAAACAACAGCTCACAGAGCAACCCGAATGACAAAATATTGTAACTCATCTATCAAACATCATTCATGAAAATCAAATGCTCCTCACATGATATAAAACTGGTACTGGCACAGAGTTTAGTCCCCCGTCTTTCAAGTCATACTTTTCTCAGGCTTTCTCAGGCAAAGTTGCTAATTTGGTAAACAAACAGGCTCCGGCAGCAACATACCTAACTTTCATCAAGTCTTTCTAGTTAATCTACCTGTCAAATGTTCATTTCAGATCTCAACTCAGTACACTTCCGAGTTCAACTCAACTCTACTCTTCCTTCAGCACAGATGCCAAAACCATCCATTTTTTTTTTTTGTACAGGTCACATCTTTATATAAAAGCTGTCAGACCTTAAAGGTAAAAACTGTACTCTCAATAATTTTGACAGGAGCAGTACAACTGCTCTTCGATAAATCCTTTTCACACCTACTGAGGGCAGAGTAAAGGAAGGAATTAAAGTGCAAACAGGAAAAATAAAATCATAAAAGCACATCAAATCTGACAAATACTGTTTATCCGTGGACTCAGGTCCTGAACTGGTTCACATCAGATGGTCATGGAAAGACGCATGATGTATTGGAACAGAGTTGTCATGAGCTTGAAGGGGTGGTGGTACAGTGCATTTTTTTCTCACTGGATGCCGCCTCCATCTTGACATATTTACGGAGGTATCGGATGGCTGACAGTGCACTGACATTCGCCAGAAGAACTGTGTGGAAAAAATATGAGACCTAATGTCATTCTTTAGATTCTGCAACTCCACCTTGAATTTACTTATTCACATGACGATCATTTTCAAGATTATTTCAGTGACCAACTGATTCTCACAATAATGACTAATAAATCTCAGCATAAAGAATATAATACCAACTATAGCAGGTATAAAGTATTTCAATTCTACATACCGGCCTTCCAAGCATCTCCTACTTGTGGGTTTGTGGTTTTCATCACCCATGAGGCAAATGCTATACATAACAGGCACATGTCTGAATGTCTGATAGGCAGAAGAGAGGCATCCAACCCTGAAATGAAAAGATGAAAGTGAATTTAAAAGAACAATAACATCATAAAGTATTATGTGTTCTTTGTAAAATGCAAATGTCTTCCATAAAGGGGTACGATCAGAGGTCAAGGGTAATATAATCAGGACTAACACAGCAACAGCTGAGCACCAGACCACAGTGAACATCCTGTTGTGTCATGCTGTGACCTGGTCAAGTCCTGGAAACTGAACAGATAACTGTTATGCAACCTACAAGGCAACTGGGTGGATGACACTGATACTTAACATTAGGACTCCAGCTGATTTTCAGATAATCATCTTCAACAGCTGCTAAGCATTACACTTATCACTCGTCAGGTATTACCTTAACTAAGGCTAAATTTTAAAAAGGGGGAATCACGCAGACATAAAGGGTCAATACACTCGTATATTCTAATTACCCTGCACAACTGCTGATAACTCAGAGCCCCCTTTTGACAGCTTAGATGGGACGCTCATTGAGTGTAGTCAAGTTATCACGTACAACCATTCCTCTTGGCTTTCACCATAGCGTGCCTGAAGTTCAGTCAGTGTCCTCTAACAGCTGAGGAAAGAGAGTCTGTACCGGTCATGACAGCAGCAGCTGACCAAGTCGGTATTACCTTTGACTGCATGTGAAGAATCACAAGCAGCTCAGCTGAATGATGAATGATGAGTGATTCTGAATATACTGTTTATAATGCATATGATCTAAGAATCAAGAATCATGAATATTTGAATAAGAAATAGGTACAGGTAGGGCTGGGCGATATTGGAAAAAGTTTATCACGATATATTTTTTCAGATTAGTCGATATCGATATTATCACAATATAAAAGAATCACTTGTCAATCTTAAATGCTCTCTGTTACTCTTCATTAAAAATTTAAAGTGCTTATTGGTAGCATGTCTTTTGCAATACAATAAGCTACTGCAATCTGTGAGATCTTTGTGTCTCTTCGACGTTTTGTCATAAGGCGTTGGGCTAGAGAAAGCAGACTGAATGATTGGCTGTTTCAGCTGCACTCGCCATGGGCTCCTTGCTCCGTTCTGGGTTTGTAACTTTTTGAATTGCGTGTGCTCTGCCGCGTGGCACTGCTTCAGGTGGTGAAAAAGATTTGAGGTATTCTCCAACTTTGCGAGAACATGTATTCAACATAATTTGCAGTGCACATTACTCTGCTTCATGTCCGACCTCAAAAAACCAAAATACCTCCACACCACCGACGTTCTCGTGCCAGTGTTGTCGACGATGTCATTATCTGTTGAACCTTCATCTGCATTTCTTCCGGGGTTGCACTCATTTTTTTTTTTTTTTACCAACAGTGCTGTCAGCTTCACCTGTTAAAGTGCTATGGATGCGTCTAGCAGCAGCCTGCTACTACGCAGTTGTTTGGTACTTGGTTCTAATTCAGCACATGATTGGTTCAGTGTGAAGCGGACCCAGAGCAAATCCCCTTTTCATTGGCTATTCATATAGTCTACCAAAACATGGCAGAATGCCGACCACAGAAAAGCATATTGACCATGTTTTATACTGATATCGAGGGAAATTAAATTTTTATACATATCGTTACCGTTTTATTGCCCAGCCCTAGGTACAGGTAAATAAGGTGTTCACAAACTAGGCATTGAGGTAAACATAATCTATAATTAAGAGTTTTCTTTTTAAATTTTGTACTTTAGCCGTGCTTGTTTCACAAAAACAGATGTTTAAAGCTGTTTTTGAAATCATCTAATTCAATTGAGCTATTAACTACTATTAACAGTGAAAAAAAACTCAGAGCACTTGATTTTTGGTCATAATCCAAACTGAGGCAATTTGTATTTCAACAACGTCTAAAAGCTTTAATACATTTTCTTTTTCTGCATTTCAACCACAGAAAACATAATTTTACCTCTTTACTTCTTACCAATAAAGCACTTCTAAACAGTAAATGAAGGTTTTTTGTTGTTGTTATTGTTTTTACCAGAGATTTTCTCTTTTTTTCTCTCCATACCTTTAAAAATACAAATATGTTAAATTGATTCAGGTCTTGGCCCATAATTTGAAGTTAAGTGATTGAGCCAGTTTGTTTATAATAAACCCTGACTGCAAAATGAAATTTCTTTTAAAAAATACAGTATAAGCCCTGTACTGGCATAAACAATGACAGTTTTCTTGATTGACTGGGGTCAGAGTATTTAAGGGTCTGATCAAAACTTGCTTCATATATTGAGTGTCAGGAAATAACTTTTCTGTGAATTGGTACTAAATTCAGAAACATTGATCAAATGAGCCAGCTGTCTCCAAGCCCTTTAAAAACAGAAAAAGTATACAGAGATTTCTGCTTTAAGTCCTATGAAGGAACAGTAACACTTTATTTGAAAAGGTACACATTACACTGACATTACACATAATCATGACATGACACCTGTCATGAACATGAATAAGGCCTATGAAGGTTGTCATTAAGTGTCATTCGCTAAATTTTGACACCTTTGCTGCTATGTTGACAACAATGCCTTCCCAAACAATGTCAACATGGCAACAAATTACCAAATGACACTTAATGACAACCTTCATAAACCTTATCCATGTTCCTGACTGGTGTCATGTCATGATTATGACTGTGTAATGTCAGTCTTATGTGTACCCCTTCAAATAAAGTGTTAGTGAAGGACGTGCATTTGCATTTCAAGCCAAAGAACATTTCTAATAAAACCTACTACTTAATTTGATTATCAGTTCTCAATAATTAAAGCGATACCAGGGACAACCTGATCAAACATTGCAGGGAAGAGTACTGCCACATTCCTTCACTGTCCACTGAGATGATAGTCAAACTGTTATTCTCGGTTGGCATAATGATTCGATAAACATGATGTCAAAAACGTTAGCTTCCATTTTAGTCTGGTCTCTAGAGTCAGTAAAAAAATGACAGTTACCAGGTAACGCTGTGAGAATAGAATAAGAAGCTACTGAGTCCCAGCCAGCTCTGAAAGGGAAAAATGGAGGAATATCCCATCCTATATCTAGTCAGTGGAGCTGGTGAGTGCGTCTCTAAGTTACTGATCACTTTCAAGCGACTCAATCCTTAAATGTCAAAGCGATGATAGCAAAAATGAATTTTGTGTCAATTTGTTTACCGTGAGTCCCTAGATAAGTAATATCTCTACTTCTCATCTCCACCCATTCATAGTACATCGTCTGTTACATGTTTAGCAATAATTATGAACAACAATGAGATGTTTTGCTCCTTGGACTTACTTGGATTCGAAACGGCCATCTGCAAATCTTCAAATCCAGATGGTTGCTGCATGAGCTGTCTGGAGATCCTTTCTTCCAGGTGGTAAAGAAGAGGATCAGGAAACATCAAATCTTGGTTTCCCAAAACATTTACAGGATAGACTGTCCTTTGTAGGGATTTAGCGCTTGGTCTCAGAGGTGCGGGAGACAGGTTTGACAGTGCTTGCTTTTTGACAGTAGATCCAGCCAAACCAATGTTTCTGAGGGACAGCGTGTTCTTCCAAAAGAAATTTTGCCTTAAGTCTTTATCTGTGAAGAAATTCTCATACATGTCAATCTTGGATGCAGTTGACGTACGACTGAGCCTGGACACAACCCTCACAGGACCACAGTTATCTTCATCTTCAGAGGAATCATCAGAGGAGGAAGACGCAAAGAAGTGCTCATAAGTGTCTGGATGTTGCAGATTTTTGTTGGCTGAGCGAGAGCAGGAGAAGATGGGAACCAGTTTGTCTTTGGCTTTTTCTTCTGTTGTGATGAAAGGGTAGAAGAAGCTTTCTGTATCAAACTCTGAGAAGAAATGATCATAAGTTTCTGAGACAGAATTACCACAAGTGTAGTGGGAGGTTAGCGCATCTGTGGCTGACGGGCTGGGATTTGATTGCTTTCCACCAAATAGGTACTGAAATACATCTGTGAGAGAGATTCTGTAGCCGTCGGTGGAAGATGGAGCTACACAGTCTGTGTCTTGCCCAGGCATGTGTCCATTGGTGAAATATTCAGCTTTCTCCAACTCTTCTTTGTCAGGCGTTTGTAAAGTTTGGCTTTTCCATGTGTAGTTAGACTTAGACTCCAGGGCAGGGAGATTGTGGACACTAATATTTTTAGAAATCTTTCTGAGGCATGTTTGAGCATTTCCAGTGAGGACAGATTCAGGGATATCACCAACAGATGTCATTAACATGCCCTCAGGGTAAACATCAGCTTCAGGACACAGAGTGAGAGGTTCAGTTTCCCACATAAATGTTTTTGAGGACGAGGACTTGGCTGCCATACCAGAACCTGGACTTAGTTCTGTATTGTTAAAATCATCCTGAAAGTCCTCGCTGGTTTGCTCGGGCTTAGACTCGTCTGGTTGAGTGAAGAAGCCAGAATCTGTCAACATATCAGTCTCCTCAATTTCCTGTAATGGTGAGAGGGAGCTGGCTGGAGGAGTTTTACTGATCCTTCGTAAGCCCAAAATATCATTTATTGTCAGTTTTTCCATCTCATTCCAAAAAGAAGAGATAGCGAACACTGAATGTTTTGTATCTGTTGCCTTTTCGAGTTCATGCCCTGCTTCAGATGCTGTGACAGCATCTTCTTCTTCTATCACTAAATCACATTTTAACTCTGTGGTATCATCTGAGACTGACTGACTTTTTGATGTACATGAGCCATCTCCTGCCCCATGCTTTGTCAGTAATAATGCTGATTTCTCTCTTTGACTTTCAGAGTTGTTTTGACTGATGGACTGAAGATAACTTCCTGATATGTCTGTGATATTTTCCTTAGAAACAGACACAACAGATTCTGTTTGGAGAGTACAGCAGGATGTTGCTGGAGTCTCGTCTGATGGACTTGTTAGTAAGTCTTCAGAGTTGGATAGTTGATTTTCTCTTTGTTTTTTGCTTGTTTGAATCATTTCACCAGGTAACACTGGCTTTTTTCCTGTTATTTGTGATGCTGCTAATTCATTTCTCTTAGCTGTTGTGTCTTTGTCTGACAAAACATTGAGTTTAGTTACTGAAGAAAGCACCAACGGGGGTTCTGTTTGCTGGATTGTTGTATTTCTATCTAGACTGGGGGGAGTTTTAGACTGACACCATTTATCAGGCAATGAACTGCCGGTATCTAATATCAATTCAGTACTGTCTACTGGACAGGACATCTCCTCGACAGATGGAAAGGCTCCAATTTTTATTGGCTTTGGTTGTGTGTTGTGAACCTCAGAACTGCTCGTACCAATTTCACACAGGGGGAACTGAGTCTTTCCCAGCGTAGGGCTATATTGGTCAGAGTAGTGACAGTCAATTTCCAGCTGTTGTTGGGCCTCAGCCTCTCTTTGACACGGTGTGTGCTTGTTTCTGCCAGAATTTCCAGCCTCCACAGCCAGGACTGACTTAGCAGCAGATACTTTGTCATTTTGGCTGACAGCCACAGCGGGATCATTTGACTCTGTACGGTTTGTTATTGAACTGACCTCTGCTGTACATGATCTTTGCCTGTGTTCATTTTTACCTAAACTCATAGAATGTTTGATTTCATCAGACTGCCAGGGACTTCCTGCGTGTGGAGACGTTACACGGTCAGTTATTGAAACCTGTAACCCTGGATGATTATTCAGTCCACCTGATTCTTCCTTTAATTTACAATGTGATTTTAGATTCGACTCCATAAAACCACGGTTGTTTTGCGCTGACATTACACTGCTATTAATTTGACTCAATGGGGAAATTGACCCTTTAAGGGGTGTATTATCTTCCATAGAGCTTGTGTGTCTGACTATGCTCTCTTTTAAGTATGGGCTCTGACTGGCACATGAACTACTGAAATGAGAAAGATCATTTACATTCATTTCCTTTGCAGATATCTTCTCAGGGAGACTGACCGTGGCTGGATACAAAGTATAAGAAGGAATAACAGTTTTTTGTGCTTGATTCAGATAAGGAAAGTGAAAATTGTTGGATGCAAAAAGTCCAGTCCCTCCTTTCCATGCACGCTGCTCCTCCTCTGAGTCACTCTGCTTGACTGAAACCTGCCTCTCAAATCCATACACACTCTCAGCCTCAACACTGAGCCGTCTCTTTTTCCTTCGCTTCCTTTTAAGAGAGGCAGATGGAGATGATTCTGGGCACGCTTTTTTGTTTGTGCTTGTTGCATCTAATTGTAAAATATTTGAGTTTTGGTCTTCCCTCCATTTAACATTGGTCAGTGTTCCTAGATTGCTCCATGAATCAGTGCTGCTCTTTTTACTGAGGGTTAACTGCTTTGACAGCAGGTGTTCCTGTTTAATGTCCCCCTGAGTTGTGTGCATGTCCAGTTTTACCACTTTGTCAGGTTGAGTTGTTGATCCAGAGAAGACAACTCTTTCCTGGGAGGCATGAGATTGATTCCACTGTGTTTCCTCATTTCTTCTTGGCGTTGCTTCTCCAGCTTCTTCTCTGATGAAAAGCTCATGGTGACCTGATTTGTTGATCTTGATCACTGAATTACTGGCTGCAGGTTCAGGGGAAATATTGGAAGCAGAGTTCTCTCTTTTGATTGTTTTCATTATGCTGCTGATGGTGTCGACAGGTTTCACAGTCACTTTGCCAACTGCTGTTTCACTGCTGGCAGGCAGAGAGTTTAACTTGGGGCAGTTTTTTGGCATACCACTGCCACTGGCTTCTTGCCCATCACCACACTTTTCCTCCTCCTTTTTCTTTTCCCTGTTTTTTCCTTTTGTTACTTGGCTTGGCTCAGTAAGCCTGTCAGCCTCTGTGCCACTCTTTAACCTTTCAAAAAATATGTTGACTGATTGCAGGTGTAGATCTTCCTCACTGCCCGAGAGGACGCTCTCCATACCACCCACACCATATTTGCTAAGATAATGCTCCACAGGAGACCCCTCACAGTCTGGGGGGCCATCGATCAGGTGGTCAGTGTCTGATAAGCTGGCTTTCAGGTCAACTTTCTGAGCCCTCTTGGCGAGAATGGACCTCGCATCATCAATATCGCTCATCCCTGAGTCATCCAGACCTGCTAATGAAGCGGGAAGCAGGTTACACTCCTCACACTCTGCAAAGAAGCAATCCCAATCCCGATCACAGATCTCCACGCTGTATTCAAAGTCTTCCATTTCCACAGAGAGGGCTAGATGTTATAACACACAAAAAAAAAGACAGTATTTCAGCATAATTCATAGCTTGTTCTGACAATTTGGACTCATTAACACACTGTAACACAAACACCATGCCATAAGCTGTCAAAAAGACTAACAAAGTAGCTCATGTAATTAAAAACACTGGCATGTTTATAATCCTGCATAATTCTGAAATAAGTTAAAATTTAAAAAAAAAAACAATGAAAAAAATGTGTAGCCTTATAGTTGCAGTGTTTTAGTTGCATATATGATGCATGATACGTTTGATTCACTGGTCTATCTTCAGAGCATCAAGTAGACAGTAGCCCATAGCTAAAATGATTAGCTTTACAAAGTATTTCAAAAGTACAAGAAAAGCACACATTTTCTTACAATCAGCATATTTTAAAGGTACAATTACACCTTTTTTATTTTTTACCTTTGCTCTCAGCTGGGATTCTGGTCTACAGGAGATGAAGAACTAGGAAGCCTGGAGTCTCAGCAGCACCATGATGGGGGTCCTTTGGTGGGCGTTCTTTAGCACAAGCACGCAGCTTGTCAGGCCCCATGATTTGTTAAATATAGAGTGGTACTTCTGATCACGTAATGCACGCAAGGTTCTTACGGCAGCCCTCTCCAACAGAGGCATAAAGTTTCAGGACTTTAAATAGACTGCACGCGCAAACTGCTTAACTGGTTACACAGAGAATTTCATTTTATGTGTCGCTAGTAATATGAAACAGGTAGGAACTAAAGAGATAGACGGGATTTTATGTTTGTTTCTAGCAATTTTTAATCACTCTTGTATTTTGATTTTAAAGAATAGAGGAAAAGATAAAAAAAACAGTAATACCTGTAGTAGTATCCTTCACAGTTGCTTTTGGTTTCAACACCAGCCAGACCCTTTGTAGACATGTGAGTTGTGTGATGGTCAGCTGATACCTTTCCAGTGTGATATCATGGGGTTACGGTGGATCTAAAACTTTCCTATGACATATTTCCAAACCCCGCACAGGAGCCAGCAGGATCAGAGGAGCTGCAACTCTCCCCTTTACCTGAATGACTGGAATACTTACCAAAAGAATATGTTAAATTTATCCGCCACCACACTTATAATGAACTCTTTTGTTATGTGTTACTAGTGACTTAACAAAGGGTTTGGGGTGTTTTTATCTTACTGTTATTGTATGCTTTTATTCAAGCATCATTGTGCAGAGCGATACACATACCCAGTATATTCACTGAAGGGAGAAATTTTCAGTTTCTGAAAAAAAAGCCCCTTGACTGAAAATCAATCATAGTTTAATATGCAACTGGGGAAGCCAGATGTAAGCATTTGAAGGGTCATTGTTCAAAGACTATGGCAATGGAGACGGCCCTTAGTAGAGGGATATCTTATTAACATACAGTATGTAGAATAAGGATGAGACCTAATAAAAGTCTTTGAGGATTGGACCACATCATAACAACATTTGAGGGGGCGGTTAGAGATAAGAGTTGTCGAGTAAATTGTAAGTGCGAGTCTGGATATGAGAGGTTGCTGAATGTCATGAGGGGTGGACTCATGGGACCTCAAGCTGAATACAACATGTGAGTAACAAAGAGTTTCATGAGAGTTACATTAAAGAAAAGAGATTTAAAATTTGATTGACTGATGGAGGTCATGGTAAAATCTGGTGAGTTAAAACATTAAAATGAGAAGCAACAAATTTCCATAGTAAAGTGATTTTGAAAGGAGGTGGGGGTGAAAGAATGAGACACGAAGACAGTCTTTCTGGTTGAATTTATGCTCAGCTTCATTTTATTGATTTATAATACTAAAAGGGGTTTGGGGGTTTTCTGGTTGTTCTCGGCAGTTAATGTGCTGACTAATAATATAAGTAAGTAGCCTTGAAGAGATCAAATGGTATACTAACAGTGCAGTACTTCAGTAGAGTGTTTTAATTGTCAATAAAATATAAATATGTGAAGTATGACAGGCCTGCTAAGGTATGCTTGGTTGCACAAACTTTCTACAAAGGGTTGATGTATGTGGGACTATGTCTGGTAAATAGTGATATACGTTTTTTTTTTTATCACGCTGTAATCAGTTTAGGTATCTTATTGGGTATAAAGAGGGGAAGAGGAGAATATCTCAAAAAGTGAATTGGCAATGATCATTTAATGACTTTTTAAAATTGATTGCAAATTATGAGTATTGACACTTTGTCTATACACTATACTCCATTATATGTACCTTTCATGCATAGAGTTTACTTTTGATATCAATTCTCCTTTTTACAAAATTATTTAATTTATTTAACAATTTAACTTAAACTATAATGACATGCTTGTGAGCATTAAGAGACAGTTTTTATCTGTTAAAATTTTGGCACAGATGTCAGGGCATATTTTAAGGCTTGAAATGTGACATCCACAATTAGGGAGGACAGCTTATCTGATAAGGGCTTGGGCCATTGTTTACAGCTATAAGTAAGACTTAGTGAGGACAATGTGATTACGGGACCATCCATGCTGTGAAAATGTCACTGACACTGAAAGATAGCAGGATAAGCTATCAGCCCTGATCTCATTATAAACCTTTAAACTGTTCTTAACAGATGCTTAATGAGCCTTAATTACAGTTAAATGTATTGATTAGCAAAGACCCATTGGTTATTTGCACTGAAAACACTGCACATTTATAGTTTCACCGCTTGTTGTTGCAGCTATTTTTAATCAGAATTTACAAAGTGGGAACTTTTTTTTCACCATTAAACCAATCTAAGCTCCAGATTAAACTTTTTTAGATTTAATTTGGTAATTCTTCCATTTGTTAAAAACACATTGTCTACAGCTTCTCTCAGTGCCACTCCACAGTCACAATTTGCTTCTCAAACTTTCACATGCTGTAACTGCAGCCTTTATTTACCTTGTTTTAATCACTATAGATATTTATGAGAAAACAGACCCTCTAATTAGTTAAACCACAGTCTGGGCTGCGTGCCCAAGAGGGCCCTCTCAATTCATCAGCTGTGATAAAGGGAGACAAGCCAGGGCCTGTGTGGCTACTGCACCTGGGGCAGTGGGCCGTTTTGACACGGGTGGGATTCTGTTTCCATCAACAGGATTAGGCTCTCGTGACTTCGTTCATGGAGTTAAGATTGGAATCTGTTTAGGGTTTTTCACAGCGGCTAATGCAACAGAATTTCACTCTAATTGTTCACCAAGTCAGCCCCGGCAATTCAGCGTCAATTAAACAAAGCCCAGTAAACAGAGACATTCAGCAGCAGCTCAGCGACGAGCTGTTTGAACAGAGGGGAGTTTGTGTATGGTCCTGTTACCAAGCATCCTTGTTTGTTGGCATCTTCAGTGTCTAACAAGGGTGCAAAGTCTTAATTACAGCAAAGTCAATGGCTGCGAAATAAAAAGAGTAGACAAAGAGTCCTATTTTGGATCTTTGTGGTACTGCTTGGAAAACATGTGGCTGATTAGAAATCCACAAGAACCACACAAGTTGATGTAGACCCTGCACAATTGGACTTGAGGCTACATTAGAAAATAATGCTTATTTCACACATTTTAATGTGACAGAATAAACTTTTAAAATCTCTGTAGGATTCAATACATCTTGTCACTCTCCCTGTAAGTTGGTGACAAAATGAGGAGCAGACTTTGCAGATTGTGACAAAAAGAGAAAAATAATATTTAACAAATGAAAATTCATCCTAGACAAATAATAGTTTCTTTCTTTAACTTTTAGGCAAAGCTGTGTTTCTAACATCATAAGTTGTGGTGATCACAAGTTCCTTGTGTCTTGATTAAATGCTCCTCCCTACACCACCGTTTCCTAGTTTTGGTTTTCAGAAACAATCAAAGGATTGGATCATTATTTGGAACAAAAGATTAGCCTAGAAATTATCCAAAAGGTTAACTAAAATTGACAATTCAGTGATATCATGTTGTATGCAATGACAAATCTTTGACATATTTTGTAGGTGTTAAAATAGTAAATGTCTACATTTCAGAATTGGCTACTGATAAAGACAGGTGATATAAGAACCAACTTAACAATTTATCTTCAATACAAAAATAAAAAATGCTATTGTGTGTTAGGGATTAATGATTTGTCTTAAAGGTCCTATAAAGGACTTCAGGTTTTGTTGATTCTAGCGCATCCCTGGACAAAGACGTCAATACATATCCCGTCCTTCACAAAGTCAAGCAGCATCTTCTGCCCGTTTTACACCTAACCCCTCTCAAAGACTCAGGCATTAAAATTTACAATGTAAAAATCAGCAGTTTTGTCACTAATGAATTTAAGTAACAGCAGCTTTAAAAGGTACATTTAAAAAAGAAGAGGTAATTTCAGCTCTGTAAAATACTGTTTATGAAAAGTGTAATGGAAAAAAGATAAGTACCTCACAAATGCGCTTCATTTGAAAACTTTTCAAACAATCTTAATTCTCATATTTCCTTTAATCTCCTTTGCTTTCACAGCCGACAGCTGTTGTGTTATCAACCACTAGAGAAAACCAGGAGCTAGTCCAGTCCTGCATCACTTTAGATGTGCTCACCTGTAGCTGACTGGTGCATCCTGGCCTCTGTGAGAAGCAAAGAGTGCCTGCAGGAGGGATTATCTGTCCTGACAATGCTGAGATTTGATCAGCCGAGCAAACAAAACATAATTGTGCTCACCTCAAATGTCACAGACAACACAGCAGTATCAGTGCTCGTGCCGTTTGGGGGTCATGACAAAAACCGCAGAGTCAACTTTCTAGAATTTACCTGTACCTCCAGGCTACAGTAAACCAACTAAGACTGTGTCAATTTTCAACACAATGAGCCAAAGATAGGATAATGTAACTGGTGAAAATTTTTTTTCAAACTATGAACAGCTTAGCAGTATTTATAAGGCAATTATATAAGATGTGAATTTTCAGAGTTCTTACAAGGTTACTTGACCTCTGTGACTTGGAAGCAAGGATGCAGTATTTTGTAATGACCACAAGATGGCG